GCAAGAAGCATGGATCAGCCCACCAGAACAAAGAACAGAAGTTCTCAGGTTCTTGATATCAGATCCATCCATCCATCCATCCATCCATCCATCCATCCATCCATCCATCCATCTTTGTTAGTAGAATTGCTTGTTTTATATGACATATAATTGTTAGCATCTTATTGTTTGGCTAAAAAACAAAATAATGATGGAATACAACTGAGGCTATAATAATTCTTGAGGAAGGGAAGTATTTCCACTACTAATTAAAAACTAAGTGCAAGTCCATATCTGGAGATGAAAGAAGAGAGGCTAGAAATGTCCTGTGCTTTGGTAATCTATCTCCCTTTTCCCAGCTGCTGTCATATTTGATAGCTTACATATTTTGTTGGGTTGCCCCATTGTTCATTCAGGTATATCTGATCAAGAATTTTTTTAAAAGGAATCATCCTAACCTGCTCAACCATTGCTTTGGTAAGTAGACTTGGGTGGGCTCCCTCATATAATGCCAGGGCACTTTGGCCATCCTATAGTCAATTTCACCACCTAAGGAGAGAATCTAATCTAGATAATTTAATAATGTCTTAGTGTTGGAATATTCATGAGCAGGAAGAGTCATGTGGTAACTCAGTCAGCCAATGTGAAGAAAGTGCTACTGTGCAAAAAGGTATTGAGTTGGGAGCTGGATTTCCAGTCTCAGGTTTGTCTCTGTATCTCTCTGTAAGAAGTCTTCAATTGAGCTATGTTGCTGTAAAGAAGAATGGATGGTATTGTAAATATTTTGATATGGATATAAAGAAGTTATTTTGAATCAGCTAAATGCAGTCAACTGTGAGAGCTTCTGATTTATTTTTTCACCAATAGAGAAATTAAAATTCTCTAACACTTAGTTTCAGAACACTTACAGAAAACTTCTAGCTGGTTTTCCTGCGGTTGTAGGAATAGTGTTGTGCGTCCTCTCCCTAGTAGCTTCCCTTCATTAAAACTTAGAGTACAGGTAGTTTTGACTTACAACCACTCATGCAGTGACTATTCAAAGTTATATTGGCGCAGAAAAATGTGATTTACGACCGTTTTCCCCACTTATGACTGTTGTAACATCTCCATGGTCAGATGATCAAAATTCAGATGCTTGGCAACTGGCATGTATTTATGACGGTTGCAGTTTCCCAAGGTCATGTGATCACCTTTTGCAACCTTTTGATAAGCAAAGTCATTGGGGAAGCCCGATTCACTTAATAACCATGTTACCAAATATGTTGCAAAATGGGGCAAAACTCATGTAACAACTGTCTTGCTTAACAAAATAAATTTTGGGCTCAACTGTGGTCATAAATCAAAGACTAGCTGTATTATATTTTTAAGTAGATTTTATTTAGTAGTGAAGGAATGCCTATCTGTAATATATTTTTTGTGATGGGTCTTTTAGGCAGCCAGCAAAAAGGGAGGATGTGTGTGTGAAGAGATAGCACTAGGAGACTAGGCTAGAGGATGGGCTGTTCTGTGAGCAAGGCAATGATCACAAAGATAAAACAAAGATATTCCAGGTAACAATGAGGGTGCTTATCGCAAAGGAAGTAGAGGGTTTGGTGAACTGGTGTAACAAAAACAACCTCTTTTTCAACGTAGGAAAAACCAAAGAGATCATTGTTGATTTCAGAAAAGACACACACCTCTGTGTATTAATGATTTACCTGTGGAGGTGGTTATCAAGTTTCTGGGTGTGCAGCTAATGAGTAGACTAGCTTGGTTGCTCAACAGTGAGACATTGATGAAGTGGGACACAACAGCACCTGCATTTTTTGCATCACATGAGAAAAGTACATCTTCTTTCCCCTGTCCTTACCACTTTCTACAGAGCGAAGATCAAGAGCATCATGTCATACTGCATTACTGTCTAGTTTGGAAGCGTTACTGCTTTAGACAGGAAGGCGGTGCAGAGAGTGGTGAGGATGGCAGAAAAGATTATTGGCAGTTCACTCCCTTCTATCCAGGACTGCAGGATTGTCTGGGACACTACATATCTTCTTCACAACTTGTTTTCCTTGTTACCTTCTGGAAGGTGGCTTCATGGTATCTGAAGCAAAACATCCAGATTCAGTCACAGTTTTGTTCCATAAAGCATCAACTTTGCAAACTCTCAAGTTTCCTCTTTCTGCAATGTATTCAAAATGGACAGTGATTAATATGTGTGTGTGTGTGTGTGTGTGTGTGTGTGTGTTTAGAGAGAGAGTGCATGTGTATATGTATATCTATATAGCACTTGTATATGTGTGTTATGTATGTGTATGGCTGGATATATACTTTCTTTTGAGAGCAGATAACAGAATTTCATTTTTAATGTGGGCCAGTGTGCTCATAGTAAAAAAATGACAATAAAGTTTATCTTGTCTTAACTCCTGTATAGAATAACTTTTCCCCATTTCCATTGTTCTTAAATATTTCTTGGCAATGAGACAGGCTTTTGAGATATCTTTATAAACCAGGAGTGTCCAGCTATGGCAACTTTAAGACTTGTGGGCTTCACTTCCCAGAAACTGAAGTCATGGCTGGCTGGAAAATTCTGGGAGTTGAAGTCCCCAAGTCTCTGCTTTATACTCTTCCCCTGAACTTTTTGCCTGATGATGAATCTAGTAACAAAATCTGTAATTATTTTTTAAATGACAAATTCAACAGTACAGAATTTCATCTCTGTCAATTGTGACAGAGGTGGGAATGGGATGCGTGTCACTCATGGTGATTTGCAAAGGCATATGCTCTGAAGGATGATTCTGCTGTCATGCAGCTGTTAGCCAAGAGAGGAATTGTTCTATTATCTAATATCTATGGCTGAAATCAGACTGAGGAAGGAAGGGATAAACCATGAGTCTGTCAGACCTTATTTGGAGCAGTTAATAAGTTGAATGGCTGCTGATGCTTTCACTGCCTTACTCATAGTTGTGGCACCCCACCTATCTTTCTTCTTAACACCAATAGCATAGGAAGTACTCATTAGGGAATATCCTGCTACAGAATTTCATTCTGCAAAGCCTTACAAGATTTGCAAAATTCCATTAGGTTCCTTCAGTTCATCTTTCACCAGCTTCTATTTCTCTTCGCCAATGAACTGAGATTAGTTGGCTTTCTATATTTTTGTTCCTATCAATTTGTTTCAGGGTGGTGTTTGACTTGTCTAAGATAACTGCCAATTGCTGGAAAGAGCATCAGGCAGGAATGAACTACATTTGTCAACTCACAAAAAATCCCAGAAATAAAGAGAGTAATATTATTGAAAACAATAGAAACCATAACAAACCAGCAACTACATTGATTTAAGAACAAGGCAGGTTAGAAACAAAGTTCAAATTCTCTTAATAGTTTTTTCTTTTTGCCCAACACAATGGACAACTCAGTCTCCTCTTTTGGGTGGGTGGGATGGCTTCTGTCTAGCTGTTTTTTCCCTGTGTTTTGAGCCTGTGTTGTTCCCTGGCTATGTGGGAACTGACTCTTGTAGTTGATTGCTGCAATTTTATGTTTGTATGCCATTTTAAGTAAGCCTAAGATTTTCAGAACTATATTTTCTACTCTTAATCAGAATGACCCCAAAATAGAATCTGCCCAAATTTTAAGTGGTGATTCTAGCAAAGATCACAATTTCTGTTTAGATCTTCGTGGAAATCAGGAAATGTGATCCACCTGCCCTATTCTGTTCTGGGCTAAACTACACTCGAGTCCTTTCTGCAGTTGATCTTTAATAATGTGTAGCTTCTTTGGCTTAGCTATCATTGCCACTCTTCTCTCATCTCCTACTTCTATCTCTGGATATTTTGGATTACATTTCCCAATGCCCCGGTCCGTTATTCACGCTGCTTGTAACTGATGGACAACTTGTCCATCCGTTTCCATCCTCAGTGCAGCTACTAAGCCCCCATCTGTCTCCCTGAGAAAGCAGCTCACCTGAAGAAGTATTTCATCACAGCGACCTGTAGTACAAAATCCTCAGCTTATGCCTATGTTTTCTTTCAGCCTTTCTCAATTTTGGTTGTCATCTGACTTAAAAGTTAAAAGCTGTGGGAGATATTGCTGAAGACTCATTCTCAACCAACAGAGAAGAATAATATTCATTCATTTATGGAATATTCATTGCAGAGCACTGCAGAAAACTTAAGAACTTTTTTGTGCAGTCAGATTGATCAAACACACAATAGCTACATAGAAGCATCTCTGTGCATCTCTGTCTAAGGCATTTTTATAAACCACTTTTTTGGCTTGGGCTCAAGCCTCGTTTATCTCATTGTTGCTTTGTTAACAAATCTTCCCAGTGTCCTAAGCCATCCTCTATGTTAGGGGTGTCAAACTACTGGCCCGCAGGCTGGATGTGTCACGCGGAAACCGCGCCCACCCCATTGCTGGCAATGGGGAAAAAGCTCCGATATGTCACGCGATGTCATGTGACATTGCACGTTTGACATGTCTGTCTATATTAATTACATAACTTGTTCAGATGTTCGGGCAAAAATGGTTTCAAGTGCCTATAATATTTTAAAGATGGTGTCAGTAATATGGTATCCATAACAATCCCATAAATTAAAATATTTAAAAAATCATACAACTTATTTAAATTTTCACCAAAATCTGGTGGTCTAATGTCAGATTTAAAGTTTAGCCTTTTCTTTTGCCTCCACTTCACAACTCATATAGTAAAGATCAACTAAATTCATAATAATGTACAAATAGATATTTGATTCATTCAAATATTTCCTAATCTCTCTCACATATACTAATCTTCTACTAACAACAGAAGATAGGTAATAAAATTGTTACATCAAAGTTTTAACCAGTCATAATTTCAAGCCTATTAGATACAGAAGCTATTGGCTCTGTAGCTTTTTGCTTTCTACCTACATGTCAGACCCCACAAAAGAATGAGAGGTAAATTGCCCACATCATTGTAGGACATGGATGTCCTTCCAGGCAAAAGCAAGCCAATGTCTCAGAAGGCCACCTATTAGAGCAATGAAGCAATACTGCAATTTCTGGCCAAGGGCACCAGGTTGGGGAAAGAAGTTGTAAACAACTTTTGGCTCCCCAGCTGGACTGATTTTCCAATTAAGTTAACTGGGAAATTGGCCCATGTGAGTTTATTATATTGAGGTAGGTTCCTGCAACCCTCTGAGGTCCCCAGCTGGTTATATCAGCAGCTTCGCAGCTTTTCTGTCAGTGCTTAGTTTGCCTTTGAAGAGATGTGGAAGCATGATTGATGCATGCAGAATTTGGTTGTGATCATACCTTATGTGATTGCCGCCTTGAGTGGGTTTGAAAGGTGGGCATCACTGACAGGAATAGTTTGCAGCACATGTTATGTTGTTAAATCCAAATGTAGTAAAGTGGGGAAGAATATTTAAAGGAAGATGTCAGTGGAATTTTTCTCTACAACCTAAAGATTATCAGATGATAAGTATGACAGTTGCCTAAAGCTTTTATTCTCTGGTCTGGATTGAGGCTACTGTAATAGACCAGAAACTCTGTGCTCTAATTACATCTCCTGTAATTAGACTTACCCCTGTCAGTAAGTGGGAAACTGACTCTGATTAAGGTAGGTGACAGGAGTATCCTTTCATCTCTCTGTTCTTGGATTGTTGTGAGATGATTGCAAAACCCTACTTTATTTATTTATTTTTTTGTATTCTTTTGGCTGCTTAGGAAAACATTAAAAGATTTGGGCAATCTATGAAGGCCCAGAGGACCAAATGAGTATACTGTACATGCTAATAACTAGGATGTGGAAGTTTTCATTCCACAAAGTTGACATATTTCTTTATCTGCCCTCAGATCTATATCCTCATCCACCGGGGTCTTCAAACTTGGTCCTTTTATGACTTGTGGACCAACTCCCAGAATTCCTCAGCCAGGCACGCTGGCTGAGGAATTCTAGGAGTTGAAGTCAACAAGTCAGAAAAGGGCCAAGTTTGAAGACCCCTGTCCTGCACCAAGAGTTTGCTTTCCAATATCTTATGTGAACCACTTTTGGTCCCTGATAAAACTAACCTCAGTTTCTGGAAATAATGATTATTACATAATTAAGAGTGTTACATTTGGAAAATATAGATAACACATTTGCAGAATACTGTATTTGTTGCTGCTGGATATTTTTAATGGTTCTTTACTTCAGAATCCAAGGCATCTTGGTTATTATATTTCATTTATCAGGAAAACAGAATAAAGTTTGGTGAAATTATTTGTGCATTCAATTGTTACCATAGCCATATCTGCACATAAAGAAAGCAGAAAATCTGCATGTATTGAATTTGTTCTGAAAAAGACATTTTTGAAATGGATATGGTTAAAGAATGTAAGGCATGCTAATTGGACCAAAAGTCTAATGCAGCTTTTTCTTCCCAAAAAGGGCATCAGATATCTATGGAAAGGTCTAAAGAATTGTGAGTACACTATCCCTATTGCTTGTGTTGCTGAGCAACCAACATTGAGTTGAAGTATTGCAATATTCCAAATACATAAATGTGTGGCCGGGAAAATTACCTGGGAATATTTCCAAGTGTAAACTGAACATTATGTTATTTTTCTATCCTACTGAATATGTGGTATGGTAAATTGCAAGTTTCTCCTCCCAAGTAACTTTGGAAAACACAGTTAAGCAAATATTAAACTTTAGATATTGGTAAGCTTAAATCTTCTGAATTTTGTTTTTTTTGATAACATCTTTTGTTGAGCTAAATGGAAATCCCTTTTAGGTCTCTGTACACAGCTTCAGGTATGGTTCCAAAAAGAAGCTTCTGAAAGCATGGACACAAATGTAGTCTCTTTCTGCAACTCTTTCGAACAGTATCATCTTTCCCCAGAATGATGGAATTGGTTTAAAACCCCATAAAATAGCTCCTGAATTATAGCATAAACAAAAATGCAGGTCTAGTCTACATGCCTAGTTCCTAACTGAAGAAACTTGCTACTTGAAAACAAATGTCTAGAACAGGAAAGAGTTTGTTCAAATTACGTGATGACCGATGGGATTTGCTGAATCTGAAATCTCTAAATATGGTTTTATGTTACATCACAGAAAGACATTTATCTCGATTTGAAGCTGATTAATATAAATTCATACAGTTTATAGGTTTTAATCTATAAAGACTTTTATACCTCTGCTACTTTTGGATTAGTTGCAGGATCACATCTCTCATTAGAGTTGACCCAATTATTTTGATTGTGCCTAGATCTTCATTTGTCTCCAACATTATCTGCTTTCTGGGGGGAAAAAAATCAAGACAGAGCTATTCCAGGAGAGGTCTGGGCTTGGGGGTCTGATAGCATGTATGATTTTTAATTTTATATGCATTTATAAGATATTTTGTTTGCTTATGTTTATTACTCTGAGTGGTAAGTGTCTATATGGGATCAGTGGTCACTGATTAATAAACCAATTGGTCTTGAAGTCCTGCTGAATAGTTCTTGTTGCTACTTCAATTCAAACTTATTTTTGGAACCCAGTGCAGAATATAGGGAGCTATGCTTTCATAATGGAAGCTAGAGCTATCTAACATACCAAAGCAGTGGGAAATTCCAAACAACTTTAATGTGTATATAATATTGTGTATGAAATGTGTATTTGTACCAAATTAATTCAGGTGGCTTTGTTCAAATCAAAGTTGAAAAAGGGTGAATGGATGCCTTGAATGTGTTTATTGGAAGAATAAATGCTTTCCCCACCAGCATCTCTATTCTCAAACACATTTTGTTTCTTTCCTATGTCTTCCACTTCCTTTTGATGCTGGCTGTACAGACTGGACCGAGAATATGCTGAATGGCACCTCAGCCCCCAAATTCATGCTGCTTGGCTTTCCTGAGCTTCAGGAGTTCCAGTTACTCTCCTTCGTCATTCTCCTCTCCATCTATCTCTTCGTACTCCTTGGCAATGGCTTGATCATTGTCCTCTCCCATATAGATATGAACTTGCGATTCCCCATGTACTTTTTCCTGAGGCATTTCTCGTTCCTTGAGATGTGTTATACCTCAGTTACTCTTCCCCAGTTGCTGAGAAATGTCCTCAGGGCATCCTGTGCCATCTCCTTCTGGACCTGCCTCACTCAGATGTATTTCTTCTTTTTCTTTGGCTCCACAGAGTTCCTCCTCTTGGCTGCTATGGCCTATGATAGGTATTTAGCCATCTGTCACCCATTGCAATATCCAGTGCTCATGGACAGCCATGTTTGTGTCTGCCTTGCCTTGGGTTCCTGGCTGATTGGATTTTTGACTCCCTTCCTGCCCATAGCCTTCATTTCACAGTTGCCATTTAACAGCAGCAACCAGATCAACCACTTCTTCTGTGACACGGGGCCCTTGATTAAGCTCTCGACTGGAAATACTTTTATGGCTGACACAATGGTATTCCTGGTCTCCGCAGTGATTGTTCTCATATCTTTCCTTCTGACATTGACTTCATACGCGCTGATTGTTTCAACCATCTGCCATATCCCTTCTGTGTCAGGAAGGCATAAGGCCTTTTCTACCTGTTCCAGTCACCTCATGGTAGTTACTATCTTCTACGGAACAGTAATCTTCACATATCTCTGCCCTCATTCTGATCAGACTTTTGATATGGAAAAAGGTGTCTCACTGCTCTATGCTGTGATCACTCCAGTGTTGAATCCAATTATCTACACCCTGAGAAACAAAGATGTGAAAAGAGCTGTGGAAAAGATCCTCTACCACATAAAGATCAAGCAAAGAAAAATGTCATAAACCTCATCTGACAAAACTGGCAAGCTAAGGGAAGGTTGTAGTAAATAAACATATCTTTGTACAGAAGACACTCGCATGTGCTTTTAACTGACAATAAAGTGACATTCTCGAGTCCTTGTAAACATCAGTTTATATATTTTTATGCTGTGTATTAGCACATGACATACACTGAGGAATTGTCTTCAAAGCTGTATTATTGTTGGAAGGGTTTTTTTGTTGTAACAATTAGCAAAAAAATTAAAGCCAAACAAGGAAGAGATTGTTTTTTCTTGAAACAGAAAATAAAATATGTTTTCTAATACATTTGTACAGTAGTGATTCTTCACCCACAATAGCTCAATACATCACGTGGGCTCAATAAATGTGCAACAAAGAACAGTCCAGCTTTTGGAATACTAAGAAGAATGAAGTGAATTTCTAAATTCAATCCATATAAATACAGAAGTGATCGAATCAGTAGTGAGCCTTGAGCAGAATTTAGAGATAGATGCCCACTTCTTGATCAGCAGAATAATTATAGCTGTTTCTAGGTGGATCTTTTATCATATGCTTGTGAGATTTCTAGGAAGAACTTTTAAGGTAGGCTATTGTTATTCAGGCTGCAAAGAATCGTAAAGGATAAATGTCCATCAATTAAAGATTGTTCAGCCCTCCTAGAACAGGGCTCTTTACCCTGTGCTTCACAAATCATAGAATTTCATAAGAAATTGATGGGTTTCTTTGAGTGACTGGGGGCAGGTTAGTTTATGTCAGTGGTTCCAACCTTTTCTATTCTCCGCACCCCTAGAACGCTTCTGATATATTCTCGCACCCCTTACAAAAGTTCAAAATAATGGCAATTAATTATGCATGTACACTATAATTTTGAAAACCCAAGTTTTTGGACCATCTGGAATATCATCTTGCATCCCCAGGGCACCCCTGTTTGGGAATCCCTGGTTTATGTGAACAATTTTCTGTCACTAAAGTCTTGAGTCCAATCAGGGTATGGGAAATTTGTTTTTAACTAACTGGTTCCGTAGCTGAAGAAGTATGAAAACCCGTGCTCTAGAAGATAATGTCTAATCCATTACTGTCCACTGAATAATTCCTGCCTGCTATTAATGGCTGTAAATAAGAGTGTCTTTCATTGTCATAGATTGGAAGAATGCTAGATAGGAGGATACAGCAGACAAGTTGAAATTTTGAAATGGAATGTTGTTCATTTCTTTTTAAAAGGGAGAGCAAGCAGGCAGTGCTGCATGTGGAAAGGGGTGATAATTGAAGAAATCTTAAGAAAGAAGAGAATTTGAAGTGGGCAAAGCAAGGCTGTCTGTGCCTTTTCTCACAATTTGTATTCTGGGGGAGGAATAACCCAGGAATGCTTTAGCTGTATTATTTGACAAAAGTGACCTGAGAGGTACATTGCAAGGGACAGCAGAGAATGGTGAGTAGAGGGTTGGTTTGAGGATTGGGAAGAGGTGTTAAAATTGCCTTCTGACCATGAAGTTCACTAGTTTGGCTTTGGGACTAGTTGCTCTGCCTCAGCTTGACTTATTATGCAGCACTGTTGTGGGAATAAAATTAAGAGGCAAAATTCTGGAAGGAAACTAGGATAGAAATGCAAGAAATAAATAAAATGAGTCTTTGTTTAGCAAACACAATTGGAACTGGCAACTCAGTTGTTAAGGAAGACAGTTTGTAAATGAAACTTTAATTGCACATTACTTCAGCTTTCCTTCGCTCTACAAATCTGCAAATATTTTAAGTGCAAAGATTAGTTACAAGATGCTTTTTCATCACTGTTCTGAGACAGTCAGTAAACGAGGATTACTGCAAATGGTATATTTATCAATTGCAGTCTGCAGTTTGGGGCAAATAGAAGAAACTGTTCCCTATCATAACATAAGGAAGATATTGTGAGTAGGTAACACTCCTCCCCAAGTCACCCTTGTCACCCTGACCACTTACAAACCTGGCCATCCCTGACCTGTCACTGAACGCCAAGCAATAAAAAAAAAACAGACTTAGGTTTTCCCCATCCATATTGATACTTGAGGTAAAACTGACTAAGCAAGTCTCCAGCTAGGAAATTGGCAAATATCATCAACTCAATCAAAACCATAAGAAATCCCTCAAGATATGGAAATCCTTTACATACACACTAAGAACTATCCACTCAAGGTCAGCATCTGGACACACAAAGAAGTGAAGATTATCTCATTCTGCAGGGTAAGAAAGTGGCTTTTCCTTTCAACCAGACACAGTTCTCTCTCTCATACACACCCAACAAGAAAAACCACATTCACGTGCTTTCTAAAACAAAGACCAAACTTTGCAATAAATAATTCAAGCCTTGCCTTTTAATGTGTGGCTACCTTCAATTGCTAAGTTATCCATTTTGTTGTCAAATAAATTCTATCTCTGCTTCAAGAAGTTGTCCTGTGTTCTTTGACCCAGCCCAGAAAGATCCAGAATTTCTTTCAACAATATGGTGAAATTCTGTTCAGATAGTGCTTGACTACCATCATTAGTATGCCCAAGACAAATGATAATTTCAAATTAAAATACACAGTAATTGTTTGCTACACACTGGTTACACTCATTCCTGGGCCAAAGAGTCCATTTCACAGTCACTCACATCCTGGTCATCTCATATTTGGATTAATGCGCTCTATATGAGGCAGCCCTTGTAGAGCATCCAGAAGCTGTAGTTGGCTCAAAATGCAGCTGCCCACATGGCTTTGTCCAAGTCCAAATTTTTACATGAATCACCTCTTTTGTGGAAGCTGTACTGATTGTCAGTTTGCTTCTGGGTGCAATTCAAGGTGTTGGTTATTATCTATAAAGCCCTCCATGGCTTGGGGCCAGGTTATTTGATGGACCGCCTCATCCCAATTCCATCTATTAGGCCCACCAAAACAGGAAGGTAGGGAATGTTGAGTCCCAATTGTTAAGGAAGAAAGTACATCTGGTGGGACCTGGGAAAAGTGCTTTCTATATAGTGGTTCTCTCCCTTTGGTACATCATTCCCTAAATAATAAGATGGGCACCAAACCTGTTGTTTTATACAAGACTTTGAAGATATGGTTTTGTCAGCAGGCCTGGGGACCCCATTCAGAGCCGATCAACTGGCTTGTTTGATTCTGTTGTCACTGCCGTGGGATGGGAGGGAGGTTAAATTGTAAATTTTTAACTGTGAACTTTTACAGGATCCACTCTAGGACAGTCAACGGGTCAGAGGTTTAATCTTCTGAGCTTTCAGACTCGTGCTGGTCCATTCTCAGGAAACTTCTCTCTAGCAGAATGTTATTTGCCTTCATTTGTGGACTTTTAATGTTATATGCTGTCTGGAATTACAGTTTGTGAGTTGGGTGTTGAAATTTGTTCAATAAATAAATTGCATTTGAAATTTTGATTCTAAACCCAGTGTAGTCCTGGACAAATCATAGAAGATACTGCATGTCCTTTCATTTATTAACTCCTGTAAGGAAACAGCGAGATATGCTGTTCCATGATGTAGCAAGGAGGATTTAACTAATGATTGCTACCAAGTAGCTGGTTCCAGGAGAGCTTGGGATCTGCAAGAAGACAGATGCTCTTACACTGAGCACCAATTCCTACATAATAAACTATGGCAAAACTATCTATCTATCTATCTATCTATCTATCTATCTATCTATCTATCTATCTATCTATCTATCTATCTATAGGTCTTTGGTTATTCGGGTTTTCTCCCGCGTAAAATTGGAAGTGTCTTGGCCAAGACACTTCCAATTTTACGCGGGAGAAAACCCGAATAACCAAAGACCTACATACAAACAAATTCTGGGCTGTGCACAGCAGTTGGATGAAGTACTGAAGTAGATATAAAAACAACAGATATAAAAAAGATAAAAATCTATATTAATACATTAAAAAATACATATACAGACCCTAAGTGAAGGAGAATAAGAATGACTACCTCAACAAGGGATCATCTAAGCATGTCTACAAATGTGTGTACACACATATACATATATATACACACACACAATATTTGTACTACCGTTTTGCATTTTTTGGGTGGTTAGAGACTTTAAGAGATAAAATGGGAGCTGTAAGCCTTGTAAGGGCTTATATTGTCCATTTGATCCCTGAAACCTCTTTACAAAAAGGACCCTGTCCTTGACATGGTCCACAAGGTCTAATGTAGCTCCTGAACTAATGACTGGCACACATCCGTGGTTGTAATGATAAAGGATTCCTTCCAGGAATTAAAGAAGACTTGGCATAGGTAACTGGTGAAAGATTTAGTCATGCAAATTTCTATTCTTTTGCCAACTTCTCTATTCCCCCCCCCCATTAATTATTACTTAGCAGCAACATTAGGGAACTTGTTAGCTTAAATAAAACAAGTTTTTTTTTCTTTTTTCTATCTCTTTAGAGATTTGTCTCTGTTTTGGCTCTAAATAACAACTCTATAATTATCTTGTTGATTTAATATTTTAATGCATTTATTCATCACTGTACAGTAGTTATCAAAGTCAGTGAAGCTTATAAAGAAAAACTAGGAATCTCATACGAGTATAAATTCAATCTTGTTCAACTTAGTATATTTTCAGGTATCTAGGGTTACAGTATACTCATAGAGTATTTCCACACAGCTACTGTATATACCTCACTCCTCACACAATCTTCTCCAATTTCACACCAAATGTGGTAGTCCAGAGAAGTTACATGCTGTCTGCCATTTTGTCATGTGGTCACCCATATAAACTGTGCTGATAAGCTGAAGCCTGGCAATTAATTAGGGATGAAACAGGTAGTTTTCACACAGAATATCTTGGGCTGGGAGGAGATAAAGTTGAAATGGTTAAGAGCTGTCAGGAAAGGAGAAATTTCACTAAAGTTTGGAGGAAATGGAAAAGAAGATGACTACCAAAGCAAGCTGAATTTAGGTAGCATTGGCTGTTGAAGATTTGCTGGTTCCAGAGTGGAAAGAAGAGCATTGAAATCATATCAATAGAGCAGGGGTGTCAAACTGCCAGCCTGTGGGCCAGATGCGTCATGCCAAAACTATGCCCACCCCAGCTCCAGCAATAAGAAAAAAGTCAGGATACGTCGCAACACATTACATGACGTAGCGAGTTTGACAACCCTGCTATAGAGGGAGTCCTAAGTGACAACAATAGCTAACAATATGGTATGTCATGATTGAAGTGGGGGTGTATTTTCTCAAAATACAGCTAGACAGACTCCATGTGATACAACTAGAAGAGAAGATATGTAGTTCAGGGTTGAACTGTGAGATTCTTGGTGCTCCTTGAGGTTGGTTGTTTGCCTACAGATGTTTCATGATCTGAATAATAACAATCAATACTTGGCTAATATCAGGGGTATTGCTCTTGATCTAAAAAAGAGTACTGTGCACCCTGCTTTAGATAAACCTATGGTCTCACCAAGTAAAATATAGTTTTCTATGCTCACGTCAACATCCCAATCAGTTCTTTGTCTGACTACATTGAATTTAGTTTTCTATATACAATAATGAAGAATTCTGCAATAGCATTAATGATTGACACTAAAAATTACGCCCTCTGTGTATTTATTGATTTGTATTTTGACCACTATTTGAAAATGAACTCTGGTGAGGACCTGTATGTGTGTCTGCATGCCCTGATGTTCCCTAGTTACTCATTAAATAATTCCTGGTGTCTCTTAGAGACCCCATTCCCTGATCAGGATCATAGGGAGGCTTTGTAGCAATCATATATTTTTGTCTTTATTTCTTAAACTTACAAATACACACACACGAACACACATTCTGTATCTCCTCTTGGTTCATAACTGCTGGTTAGTTGTACTCAAAGGCAAAGATATGACTGAAGGAGGATGAATCATGCCAAACTGTGTCCCTGAAATCCTCTGATAGAGAATAGCAATAGAAGCAGACCTCAGGAACCATTTCTTGGAAGTGTAAGTAGTGAATATTGCTATCCTAGAATATGTTTCTCCAACCAGTAATAGGAACTTCTGGAGCCCACCAAGCTAGAGAAGACTGGTACAGAAGGATGACTAACTGTAAGGAATTATATAATAGGTTGGATAAAGTTAGTACCTATTTTTTTTCAAGTTCTTGTTTCTATGCCCCGGTGCCAGTTTTATGGCTACCAGGAAAAAATTAATAAGCAACAATTCATCTGGAAGTTTTGCAATATATTTATTATTCATTTATTAAACCAATTTATATAACCATCTATCTCACAAACAAGTGACTCTGGATGGTGTACAACAGAGCTAAAAACAGTGAATGAGTACATTAAAAAGTATAAAATCAAAATATTTTCCAACCAAAATTAAAATGATAGAGATATGAATTTTGTGATAAGCTGCTGCATACAAATGACTTATAATGAATGCAGTGACACTTGTTCAGTGGAAATTATTAAAGTATATGGCTATGTGTAAAGATTACAGAAAGAATGCTTACATAGGAATATCATATACGCACAGTATTTATTTAAGTCATATATAATGACTCAAAATGCAGTATGGAAAATGACCCTCCCTCCTTGCATATATACAGAGCTTCGCTTAAAACCAAACAAAATAGCCCCAATTTTGCAAGGGATTTTCAAGAGCTGCTTTCATTTTTTCCCCTACAATCTGTAAGCACTTGGTACAAGATTTATATAAATTTGTTTAATAAATAAATTTATTCAATATGTTTTGTATTGAGATGATAGTTAAATGCACTCGGTTCACTGATAATCATTCTGTTCATACCGGGTTGGGTTTTTTTGAGGGCATTTCTTTCATCCCTTAGAATGGAAAGATAACTTGCAAAACTCAAGATTCATTACATTTATTCTGAACCTTGAATGTGAAGAATAATCTCCCACTATTATTTCTATGTCCTACTATTCTAACAATTCTGTGTTGACTCCTAGATGCAGTCTCCACGTGAAAATTGGACGTTGGTGACAGAATTTGTCTTGATAGGCTTCACAGGCATCCAGGAGGCATGGTTGCCTCTCTTTGGCTTCTTCCTAATCATGTACTTGCTAACCCTGATGGAAAATGGCATCCTGATCTTAGCTGTAGCCACAGAAAAGCGCTTACACACCCCCATGTACTTTTTTCTCATCCATCTCTCATTCTTGGACATTTGGTATACTTCTCTCACTGTGCCCAAAATGCTGGCTGGGTTTGGATATCCAGCAGGTCAGAAGATCTCTTATTCTGCCTGCTTGACTCAACTTTACCTCTTCACTTTCTTGGGCAGTACAGAGTGTTTCTTGCTGGCAGCCATGGCCTACGACCGCTATGTGGCTATTTGTATTCCTCTGCGGTACCATGAGATTGTAGATCAAAACACCTGTCTGATTCTGGCAATTGGCTCATGGTTAGCTGGTTTTCTTACCCCAGTGCTGCCTGTTTATTTCATGTCACGGTTGACATTTTGTGGCCCCAATGTGATAGATCACTTCTTCTGTGATGCTTCACCACTCCTTATTCTCTCCTGCAGTGACATTTCACTGAAGGAATCAATAGACTTCTTGGTCTCTCTTTTGGTACTGTTGATCTCCTCTTTGGTTATTATAATATCATATGTTCATATTATCATTACAGTGCTCAAAATTAACTCGCTGGCGGGACGGCAACGAGCCTTTTCAACCTGTACTGCCCATTTAATGGTAGTGGCTGTTTTTTATGGGACACTCTTCTTTATGTATGTCCGTATCAAAGTTACTTCCTCAATTAATCTCAACAAGGTGGTGTCAGTCTTTTATGCAGTAGTCACACCTGTCCTTAATCCTCTAATCTACAGTTTAAGAAATACAGAAGTGAAGGGTGCTTTATATAGAATTATTTCTGAGAAAAAACCAGTTGTAATGTGACATCAGCGATAAAAGAAGCATTCATATTATTATTATGGCTTTTGGGAAGAGCTAAGGGAAAGCAAGATTAGTTCAGAATCACTAATAATATGCCTCTTGTTTATTCAATTTCTTGGGATTATAGAGAATGGAAGCGACTGCTCAATTTTAGCTGGAGATTCTTTTAATTTTGAGTGCCATTTTTATAGACGCTGAAACATTTCACAGTATTGTCATTTATACAAAATTGTTATCAGGAAAATAGCTGGGCCAAATGAGAAACTATTAGAATAGTGGCAGGAAAACATTTTGTATTACTTTTTATAACGTATTTTTTTCTTTTCCAAAGAGAATCCTAGGCGTTTTATCAGGAAAATAAAATTACTCCAAAGTTGAGAACCAAAACAAGCGTGAGTAATATATCAAACACTACAAGCAATAGCATCATAACATCATTGCATGCCTTATGATCAGCACTGTCATCACTGCAGAATTTTAGAGTAGAGGTCCTGGGTCCCGTTCTGCTGAACAAATATAGGAACCCTGCATACATTAGGACAGGCTCACAGTATTTTGAAGTAAATGCAGTAGTACATTTATCACTTCATGAACTCCCCTAAATTAAATAATTAAGCTCAGAGTTGAAATCACCAAAGTGCAACAGTGTTAGCTATGATAGGTGTTGCCATCTGATGTAGATACAGTACCAGTTCTGGTTGTGGCAATGAGAATATAAGGTCTGACCTGATCTGCTCAGATATGAAAGTAAAGGTGGTGGCTTTCCAGCAGACTTGTTAGTGTTCTGAGGAACAATCTATTAGACTTCTGGCACATCAATTTTCATATCCTATTGTTTTATTTTTGTGGAAACCTAGTCTTGAAATTGGAATTTACGCAAAGGAAGGCTCATTTCATTCTTTGCATCTTCTTGAATATAGGGTGATACACTTCTTTATCATGTAAGTCAGAGGTCCCCAACCTTTTGGGCACCAGGGACCGGTTCTGGAGAGAGGTTTTTCCACGGACTGCAGGGTGTGTGGATTTGTGTGCTGCCTGCATCCTGCAGATGGGGCTTTGCTTGTTTGCTGGTTGCTGGCATGCCATGGCCCCATACTGGTCCATGGACCGGGGGTTGAGAACCCCTGATGTAAGTAACAATAATTCTACTAATATGTGAGATTTATAGGTTAAGTGAAATAGTGATCTCACTATTTGCTGAAGTCATCAAAGTGATCTGATTTGGAAGGGGAATTTAAAGCTAATGTGGGTGTTATAAGCCTTAACTAGTCTGCTTGCTTAGTGTCTTTAGGAATTTTTTATCAGTCATTTTTCATTTTCATCAGAGTATGCTTGTTTAATTCCATAGATTTCTAAAGACAAATGTACTTCAGCATTATAAAAAACCCTCTGCTCCATCAAAATTATTTTAACATTAACATTAGAATCTTTTGGGGATGGTTGTGTGCCATCTTGAACTGTATCTCTTTAGTCTATTGTTTATTTGGTCTAGGTCAGTGATGGCGAACCTTTTAGAGACCGAGTGCCCAACTGCAACCCAAAACCCACTTATGTATTGCCAGATGCCAGGTGGGCATGGCCCATTGGGTGGGCATGGCTGTGGTGGTCATGGCAGACTGGATGGGTGTGGCCAAGGTGGGTGTGGTCACCTCGATGTTGCTCATGGGGAGGGATGCCTGTGGGGGCTGGGCAGGGTTGGGGGAGATCCATGGGGTCTCTGGCAGGTGGGGCGAGGCAGGGCAGGGGTGCCATTGTCGCAGGGCAAGGTGAGGCAAGGGCTGGGGTGGCTGCTGCTTGACACCATCGGCCCCTGCATACAGAGGCCAGCGAGCGCATGAGGGCCAACAGTGTCTGTCAGCAGCCACAGCCTGCCAGCCCCTCAACTGGCGCACTCTGGGGCTCTGCAGCCCACCGCCAGCAGTTCAAAGAAGTGCTCACAGAGAGAGCTCCGAGTGCCGCCTCTGGCACGCATGCCATAGGTTCGCTACCACTGGTATAGGTTATATCTTTTGTTTTGAAAAAATGTTTTTCTAAAATTGTACTGCACAATGTGATTTGCTGTAGACGCTTAGGGTTGTTGTAAGCCTCTGTAAATCTAAAAAGTTTAACAGTATGGAAATGTAATGAATAATGCAGGGCTTTTTTTGTCATAGAACTCACCAGAATGGAGTTCCGGCACCTTTTTTCGATGGATTTTCCAGAGTTGCCTTGAACAAAATCCTAGTCTTTTAGATAGACTAAAAATTGAAGAGTTTTTTTTTCAACTACAAAGGTAAACCTTGTAGGGTAGGCAAGGCAAGTCGTATGACGTGTGTGAATTCCAGCATCTTTTTTTTTAACAAAAAAAGCACTGCCCTTTTGCATCCATGTCCTTTTAACTGTAAAAGAATATTTTTTCTATTACATTTTATTTAGTCTCTCATGATTTTTGGACTGGTTGCTCTTCCCACTGAACTGTGTGTTTTCCAGATTATAAACTATTTTGATAATTAGGGAATGTTTCATTTTAAATATAATTCATAGTGAGCCAGGTGGGTTATCATCATCACCACACCACCACCATCACCATCATCGTCATCCAAATCAGTTCACTGCAGGATGAAGGTCTCTTCAGCTACTTTACAGCACTTCACTCAGTATGAATTAGCCTTAAGATACCTAGAAAATGCTTGGAGGGCTAAGCAAATGATGTAACTCCAATCAAAGGACCTATTAGAAATGACTTTATACTTATATAATCATACCAACTTTGACATTGAGGAAATTTGGTCCTGCTTGAAATGCAACTTGGATATACCAAGTACTGTTGTTACATATACGAATGGGACAGCTTTCCAAGGGAGTCACATTACATTAAAAAGAAATGGTCACTCTGAAGAAATTTGGTTTCAGGACAGAAAAATGTGGTACATGAACCACTTGTTGACTCAACAAAGGTATTTTTGCCTCTGCTGTTGCTGAGAATTTTTTGGGCAACTACAGAGCACCAAACTATATTCAGCTGGTTGACAAACTTCTTACACCATATAAGACCATGACCCACAATGTCACTGAAGATTCATTTTTTTCATTCACACTTGGGCTTCTTTTTTGAAAATCTAGGTGCAGTCAGTGACGAAAATGGTGAAAGGACATTGCCACAATACAAAAACAGTACCAGGGCAACTGGAATCTATCAGTGTTGGTTGCCTATTGTTGGATACTGCAGCAAGATGCATAGGACACTGAGTACAAATGAAAATCAGCAGCAAAACATTTGTAGCTCTGTTGAATTAATGCAGTATATCAGAAACATTATGCAATTAAATACATTGTAATCATTAAAAGTTAATTTCATATTTCTCAAGATCTCTGTATGATAATCATTCTGAAATTGTATTTGTGTTCAGTATGAATAGCTCTATCACAGTGGTGGGGAACCTATGGCACGTGCGCCATTACCCCAGCCCCACCTCCCCATACGGTCCCCTCCTCACCAGCAGCCCCCCTGGACAAGAGTCGCCCCCGGGCGTGGCCCGTGTGGAACAGCACAGCCAAGGACATGGCAGCCGGACAGCAGGGACAAGACTCCGCCCTTGCGCCCGTTGCACGCAGATGATGCTGTGGGGCGCGGGCAGAGGGCGTGGCCACTATGGCGCTGCAGGGCCACCTGGGCGATCTGCTGCAATGGGCCATGGAGGCGGTAGGTGGCCCTGTGGCTGAGTGTGGGGTGGGGTGGGGCAGGGGGGTGGGCGGGTTTTGGGCACTCAGTGTCTAAAAGGTTCGCCATCACTGGTCTATCATAATCACCAAAGGTTTTTTAAAAAGCAAAACTTTTGAAAAAAAAATGCTGTTCAATGTTATTAAATGCTCACCTGAGAGAAGATACTTCCTTCTTACTTCTCATGACTAGCTTTTTAGCATTTGATTTTGTTTGGCTTTGATTGTCTTTACCCACTACAGTACCAGATTGACAAGTTTGATTTGACAGATGAGTGATTTTTTTGATCTTTAATTTTTTCATGTCTGAATCCTTTGGGATGAAATATTTCCTCGTGGACTACAACCCACAACCTATTGATTGCCTCGGGCAGTGAAATGTAGACAGTTAGAGATTTACTTATAGAGTTCCCTGTTTTATTTTCAGTCAGTATGCTCTTAACTAAAGTAGCTTTGAGTTTAATACGATGCAAGAAGTTAATCAATTCAGGATGATTCAACAAACTATATTTTTGCAAAAACATGATTTAACACAATGCTTGACTTTAGTGACAACTTCAGTGTAAATGGGATGGCTGTCTATTTTCTATTACTATTCTGTCTCTCTCTCTCTCTCACACACACACACACATATGCACACACATTTTAAAGCTGTATCAAAAGGAAGCTGCTCTTCCCCAGCAATTTATCACTGCTTGGAGGGAAGAGGGAAGCAGTAATATATTGTTGCCAGTTTTTTTTTTAAAGTGGTAAGAACACTGTTTTCTATTGATTCTCAAACAGACATGCTCTCCCATCAGCTACCGATAAAATTATCAATCAGAGAGAAGTGGATAAAACAAAGTCTCCCATTGGAGGCAGTGCAAGTGCTGTTGCCCACAGACGCCGTGTTTTGAAGGGGTCTTCTGAACAAGGTGATGTGGGTAAGGTGGCTGCAAAAACTACCTCTGGAGCACAAAGGGGTCTCCTGGGCCTCTTTGCCCATAGCGCTTTGCTCTGAGAAAAAAGGCTCAGCATCAGAACTGACAGATTCTTTGGAGCTTAACTCTGGCTGTCCTCCTACTGCAGAGATGGCGAACCTTTTAGAGACCGAGTGCCCAAACTGCAACCCAAAACCCACTTATGTATCAGTGGGTGCCGGGTGGGCGTGGCCCAGTGGGTGAGTGTGGCCAATTGTGTGGGCATGGCCCACTGGGTGGACGTGGCTGCGGTTGTAATGGCAGACTGAGTGGGACTAAAAAGTTCAATCAATCAATTCCAACTTTGCGAGATCTTTTTTTCCCCGCGAGAAGTTGAAATTGATTGATTGATTGATTGATTGAACCTTTTTTTTTTGCACACGGCAGTGGTGGCCTAAAGCGAAAAGGTTTTATAAAACCCAGCTGAAGGCCTAGGATGGTGCTCATGCCCACAGAAAGGGTTCTGCGTGCCACCTGTGGCATGCGTGACATAGGTTCACCACCATGGTCCTACTGTATCAGTTGCTTCAATAAGAAAGCAAACAGAAGAACAATCCAGAATTACCATACGATGCCTCCCTCAGGTGACCATTTCCTTGGAATGAAGCACTAACTCTCTGGAAAGTAGGTGTGTCCAGCAGGAGATTCAAGATGGCTGCCACAACTATTTGAACAAAACCTTCTCTCTTTTTTTTAGGGGTTGGGCATGCAGTGCATATAAAAAGAGGCAGGGCTCCCTGCCATTTGACTTTTTTTTTTGAAACACCCTCCCTGCCCTCCTTCACAGATGCTGCTAATGGAAACTATCATCAGCTGCATTCCTGTAGGATTTGCCCCCTGCGTCACTTCAAGGAAGGTTGATGCATGTTATGTTGTGTTATGTTGTTATGTTATTATTTATTAAATTTATTTGCTTTCCATTTCATCTAGAGGCAACTTTGGGCAGCTTACAAATATTAATAGTAGTACACATTAAAAGGGATAAAACAATAAATGACATATTAATAATTTATCATTAAAAGATGGGGAGGAGGAGGGAGCACGAAGAACACAGGGAGAGATGGGGTCTTTTAATCTAACAGCTACCTCCAGAATGGTATCCTCCCCCCATTGGGGCCCCAGGCCAACTGGCAGAGCCTGGCCTTTAGGCCCTTACAGAAGGTCAGTATAGATCTCATCTGGGGGGAAGCGAGTAAGATATTCAAAAGGGCAGGAGCCCCAGCAGAGAAGGAACTTCTTGACTGATGGAGCCCACAGCATGCCCTTTCTGCCGGCATGGGTGAGGCAGACCAATCCCATTGTTGCTGTTTTTTTAACGCTTCCTTATTCTCCTTTGCAAATCCTCCAACCAGTTTGGTTTAGTTTGAGCATTCAGCTGAGAAAATAATTAAAGAGCTATTGGGAATAGTGGTTGTAAAAGAAAATCAAAAGACAAGGAAGGAGCTGTATCACTGCTGTGGAATGGGAAACTCACCAGGGACAATTCGCCACAGCCAACTCGCCATGGGACAACTTAACAATTCAATTTAATTATTTAAAATAAATTAAAAAATATTTTAATTTTTCTCATTCACATTTCACTCTCTTCCCCCTTTTGCATCCTTTCGTTAATGATTCTTTCCCACCATTTCTTTAATATTAGTGTAACTCTTGTCCGGCAGCAAATTGTCCTGTGGTGAGTTGGCCATGGCGAATTGGCCATGATGAGTTGGCTGTGATAAGTTGGCCATAGCAAGTTGACAGCGGCAAATTGTCGTAGACCCCATGGCTGTGCCCTACACATGCTGTCCTATTAGTGCCTTCATTTGTGCATTCACTCTGTCATGAAACCATAAATAGATGACCTAATATTTTCCTCAGTGTCTAGCTTCCTTGAAGTTATTCTTTCAAGTTATCAAACTCAATGTCCAGAAGTATAGTCCACCTCCAGAAGCAAAGCAATTTTTCTGTGCAGTATTTAAGAGTCTTAAGGGCATCCATTCTACAAGACATTAAGCAGTTAGTGGGATAATTAATCCTTTTGAAAAATTCAGTGGCTGAGGACTTTCTTCAGGGCTACCTTCATTTCTTTGTTCCTTAGACTGTAGATTATGGGGTTGAGTAATGGTGTGCCCAGAGTATAGACCATGGAGAGTAGCTGGTCTTGCTTTGGAGAAAAGCTGGTGTTTGGACGCAAGTACATAAAGCTGCAACAACCATACTGGAGGGCCACCACAGCTAGGTGGGAAGAGCAAGTAGAAATAATCTTTTGATGAGCATTGGCTGAATGGATCTGCAGCACTTCAATCGTGATGAAAAGATAAGAGGTGCAGATCAATATGAAAGGCACTGCAATGGCCATTACTCCTGAAAACAGTATACCAACTTCATTGACTTCAGTTTTGTTACTTATGAGCTGGTATATAGGGGGCACATCACAGAAGAAATGTTCAATTCCAAGCTTAGCACAGAAGGAGAGGTGAAAGACTAACCATACCAGTATCAGGGAAATCAGGAAAGCAATAATCAATGAGACAACTACTAGCTGAATGCATAGCTGCTGAGTCATGATGAAATTGTATTTCAAAGGCTTACAAATAGCCACATAACGGTCAAAGGCCATGATAGCCAGCAAGAAGCAATCAGCACTACCTAGTCCAATGAAAAGAAACATCTGAGCACAGCAACTCCTAAAACTGATGAACTTCTTCTTTTGCAAGCTGGACACCAAGATCTGTGGGACCACAGTTGCTGTATAGCAGAGTTCAATCACAGAGAGAACTCCCAAAAAGAAATACATAGGGATGTGCATATGAGGGTTCCTCCAGATAGCTAATATAATCAGTGTGTTAGCTGTAATTATGATTGCATAAACTGTGCTAATGCCCAAGAAAAGCAAAGATTGATTCTGTGGTTGAGTGGGAAAAGCCAAAAACATAAAATCCAGCATTGCTGTACAGTTCTCCTGAAGCATCCAGAATGATTGCCCCTGTCCTAAAAGTAATCCAAATAGAAAATAAGAAAATCTGTGATCAAGTCAGTGTACAGAAGGCACATGATACCTGAAACAGAGGGTTTGATATAACAAAAGGGTGAAGGTCAATGTGTGGTTCTCTAATGTTGAGCTGAAGTTTCTATGAATCCTCCTCAATGGGCAGGAAGATGATGGGTTAGAGAGAATTAGAATTCAACAGCCTCTGGAGTATCACATTAGTAGTTGCACTAAATGAGGGGAAAATATGCAAGAGGGCTTCCAAGCACTATAGAAATTCATACCAAACTAAAATAATGCTGTTCGTATTCTTGACTTACCATTTTTATTGTGTATGGTGCAAATATATCCTTCTGTATGAGAAGTTTAATGAACACACCTACACCTGGTTATCTTATGATTCTGGGTCTAATTTTGATTTTTACTGAATCCTTGATTGCTGCTATTGCAGTTCATGCAATAGCATGAATACATATTCATAATCAAAAAAATAAGCAACACAGAATCACAAAATCTTGTTTCATGTGAGCATTTCCATATCAGTGTTGTTTTATAATTTTTGAATAACTGCTTTTTGAACTTTTGAAACAACAGGGCAAGTGGGGTGCATTTTGAGAAACTGATTTTTCAACTGGAAAAATGTCACTTCCTGCCACCTCCTGCTACAGAACTGTAGAGGTGCAAATTTAATTTTTTTAAAAAAAAACATGATTCCAAGAGAAATGTTGTATTAAATAATTTACAGGACTAAGATATGTTTGAGATGTTATGACAAGAAAGCAGAAAAAACTTTTAAGATTTTTTTTTTATCCTTTAGAAAAAGAACCAAGTGAGCCAGCTTATAATTTATCTTTCATAAAAGATTATACATAAGTTTAGTATATAAATATATGCATGGATTGTTAATTAAAGTGATAAAACTAATGTCCTTTTAATTTTGATTTTTCAGTTTAAAAAGTTCACAGGTCAAAAGGGGGAATGGGATGAAACACTACAGCTTTCATCCACACCATAAACGTAGAAAAGACTGAGTCAAGCTATGGGGAGCTGGAAGTAGGGTAAGTTTAATATGGTTTGCATTCTTTGTGTTATTTCAAAATTGGTTCTAGGGATTTGTGTTCTTAAACAATCATTTGTGTTCAACAGCTGGGCAAATTTATTTCTGAATCAGCTCTGATTTACTTGAAATAGCCAAAAAGTTATTATTTCCGTTTTGAGGAGTGAAGTTTGGCAATTTGGAGGAACTCTTGACTCATCCTGGTTTTAGAACTTGACCTGATATACAGCATTCTGTTCATCACTACAACCATTCCATTCTGATTTTTGACGAGGGCCAGACAAACGAACCCCATTCTGCAATTCTACTTTGAAACACAGTTGGAATGAGTCTGAACTATTTTGATGCTTTGTGGCTTCTTGCAAATCCCCAACCCTCAAGCATACTAATCTAGGCAGTGAGTGAGCAAGTGCTGGGGAGAATTTGGCAAGATTTCCATTTCCTTTTCTATTCTGTGGCAGGATCTTTCTGATGCAAAGCACCAAGTTGCTGCTAATTTTTTTTAGGACACTGTCTTGTGGATGGCAGGAGGGAATGCTAGCAGTTTCTTGCTTGCTGAATAGGAATGTATGATTATCTGCTTTTTTCAGAACCATCTCTATTCCCCACAATTCAAGCCTACTTCCCTGACCGCCTTCAAAGTTCTGTTTCTGGTGATTGATTGTAGGTATTGTTTTGAATGTCTTTTCTTCTCTCCTCCATAGCAACCACACAGAGTGATGTCATGGTCTCCACTTGTATATGGTAAGGTCTTATACAGCCATCATTGTCCCAAAATAACTGTAATATAGATAGGCTTTATATTGTCTCAGTGATGGCTGGATGGTAATAGGCAGCAATACTTTGCCTATGTGTTTAGCTACTGAAAAAAACAAATGGTTGTAAAACTGAGGCATGATACTGTATAGTTCCACTACCACAACTAGCAATAGATCTTAAATGCAAGGAGGAATATTCAGAAACTCTAGCACAGGGGTCTTCAAACTGGCCCTTTTATGACTTGTGGACTTCAACTCCCAGAATTCCTCAGCCTGGCACGCATGCTCTAGCATTTCCCATGAAGTTGGGATGAGTTCACAGTTGAAACTATGAAGACTTGAAGTACTGAAGACTTGTTAGCATGTGGAAAATGTCTTAATGTTCTTTAGCTTTCACAATTCACTTTGCTTCTAACATTATACTGGACAGCTCCAAAATGTATTGGAGTTCAAACTAGCCTGGTTCAAGGGGGCTACAGAGATTAAAATCCAACAATTTGGAGATCAATAGGTAAGGGGAAACTGCTGAATACTAAATAATGTTAATATATAGTAGCTAAAACTCGCTTCATGTTGCTTGTTCTTTTTGTTAATTACATGGCCATCCTGCACAAGTTGGAATATAGGATTCCATTATAAGTACTTCATTACTTTTTCACTGTTTCACTTCATTTGGTCATTTAATTGGAAGCTAAAGGACCATCATAATGCTCCACTGCTTTATCTTCATGCATAGTTGATGTGGAAAAATCTTCACAAGCTGATAAACATATCAGTACTTCAGCACTTGTCATATGTTGTGAACCATCAAGCAAATACTTCTTTGGAACAAAGTGGTGACCTGACTCCCTTAGTTTTAATTAGATGTCCCATTAAGGCATAAACAGCATTTGATAGTAAATATAAGCATAATCCCCACTCCTGATTGAAAAGACATGCAAAATTAGGCGATGAAAATTCTTTTCAAGGAGATGTGCAAGATAGGAAATTTGCACACCTGAATTCATAAAATTTCTTCACTATTTTTCCCTATTTGTCTAGAACTACAGCTTGGAACCTTAGTTTCCATCTCAACCAAATTATGAACAATGAATGCAATGAAAAGTAAGTGATTAATCTGCAACTCCTCCAAAGTTTCTCTTTTCCTTCTTTGTGTAAATATGGAAAATACTTTGGTGGGGAATTCTGAATGTACAGAAGAACCACAAGGGAGGAACAAGTTTGGATCAAAATAGCAGGTCAAAAAAGATCTATAAAATTTAGATCCATAAAGCTTTCTTTGCTCTAATTCATAGACACCTTACACCACAAGAAATGCATTAATTTAAGATACCACAAAATTCAATATTGGTTTCAGGAACAAGAACCAAAAAGCAGAAGGAGAATACAGAACAAGAACAGCAGAATAACAATAATTCAGCTGACATTTTAAAACTCTTTGAAAATATTTTTTGAAAGTTCTACTACTTATCCCGAAGAGTAGTAAAAAAATGTAGCACATCAGTAGAAAAGCCTTCTCTTAGATTGCAGTTGCCATCATTGAGTAGGACCACTCATGAAGGACTTTATATATAGGACAAGGATAGCCATTCCAATATCTCAGCTAAGTCACAACCCTTTATGATTTTCCATTCTTTTTCCTCAAAGCTGATTTTTTTTTTAAAAAGAAATTGCTGTTAATGCTGTATTCTAAATGCTTGTTTGCACATGTCTATAGGTAGTCATTTGTGCTGAGTTAACAAAACATGCCTTTTTGCTAGATAGTGATTTAAAAAAAACATTACTTCCTCTCTGTATCCTAAGAAAATAATGTCATTCTCTGTATATTTTTGTAATATGGGCATCTGTCATTCAATAGAATTGTGGTGACAATGAATCCATGATTTCTATTTAAGATCATAATGTATTGACTGGCACTTGGAAAATGAGAAAACTAGTTCATCCTGACAAATCATTTGCCAATAGATTGTGTTGTGTTTGCTTCAAAGGTGCTGGATACACATGAACATCTACCAAAGGTGTATAGAAGGGTAACTTTCATCCTTGTTTATATTCTTATCTCTCAGGCCATCTTACCATGCAGATGAGAATTGCGTTGAACTTAAGACATTAGAGTCACCTCGGATAGTGAGATGGGTGGCATATAAATTTAATAAATAAGCAAATAAATAAAAATTAGAAAACAGCTGAATACAAAATGGTGCAAACTGAGCAACTTACCAAGGAGGATAAGTGGCAGCTGCACTGCTCCTCTCCTGATTTCTGTCTGTATTTGAACTGCCAAGATGAAAAGATTGTTCAGTCATAGGTTTGATCAGGAAAAAGAGGAATGGAAGTTTTTTGTAAAAAAAACCCCAGTTATATAGATAGGTTAAAACAGGCAAGGTCTTACTCCCTTGCTGAAGAAAGTGGTTCTGCTTGAGAATGTGTGTGTTCACCTGCCTGTGAAGTGCTATCAGTCTCTGGATACATCAGCCAGACTTTTCTGTCTTGTTCTTTGTGGAATCCCTAAGGTGCAGTTGCTTAATCTAGATGGTTTATGATATGTGTCTCAGCTCATATGCCTCCATGGAATATTTACAATTACTTCTCAGGATAATTGTATACTAATTTGATTACTACAAAAATGGTTATATCTGTACCGGGTGCAACTTTGCTAAAGATGTTCTTTACACGTAACTGGATCTTAAACTCAACGTAGATTCTATTTTGTGAGGAATTTATACAGCTTTTACAGCTATAATGAAGTACAGCTGTTGTGGATCTTAAACATTATTCTTTATTTGCAAGAAAAGAAAAATGGCAAATTGGACTCTGAAGAGCATGCTTGATCAAGGAAGCCTTTCTTTTTTAACAAAACCAGTAGTCATTTCTGAAAACACACAGTATATGGACCTCATTCTGATAAGGGCTATCAACAAATATGTCTTTGTTCTTTGCTCTTTATAAATATGGGCTATCTATGTGGTTTTATATTTTAATCTGTTTTTATGGATTTTTCAGTTTTGTACATTTTTTTTCATTGATTAGAGTATTGTTTTCTGCCTGATTGTTTATCTGGTATTGATCTCTACCTATCTGAATGTGGGCTGTTGTAGTCTTTTCATTTCCTCCCTAGCATTTTTTTTTTTTTTTTTTTTGCTCTTTTGAATGGTCTCTAATGTAAACTCTACAGTTCAACGCTGAGCTAAGCATGTTCTCTTCTATTGGAGGTTTTTCTTGAAATTTGATACCCTCCTTAACCAGGTACCCTATGTGATTGGCTAATTTGCCCATACTTTGAGCAATAATATGTTAATATTGTTAAATTTGATTAATAATATTAACAACAATAAAGACTGCCCTTGGTTACAGATATGGAAATTTATTTCGGCCAAGTTACAGATGGGGTCAGGACTGTCCCAAAGAATGCTGGCTTTTGTTTTGATATCTTTTGCAAGATCATTCCTCAACCTGATGTCCATAATTAAAAGATCTCAGGCTGACTCAGATCTATTAGACGTCCATACCATAGTGTAATTAATTAAGCAGATAAGAAATCAAGAACCAGCAACAAAATACAACCCAGAACCCCAGATAATATGAACAACATTAAGAGACGCTGGGAAATGTTCAGCAATTACCCGAAGGATTCAAGATTCCTCCCTTCTGTCCTAATGCTAATTCACAACTGGTTTTGAGGGTGTAATAATGTTACAGATGAATTGAGACTCAAGTCTGAGATGCAATCATTTTCTTCATGACCTTCCTTAAAGCCTGCTTGATATCTTTATTCCTCAGGGTATAGATCAAAGGGTTCAGGAGGGGAGTGACAAAGGTATATATAAGAGCCAGTTTCCTATCCTCATCCTCTGAAGTGCTGGACTTGGGACGCAGATACACAAGGCTGCAGACTCCATACTGTAGGATCACAACTGTCAGGTGGGAGGAGCAGGTGGAGAAGGCCTGGTGCCGCCCAGATGTGGATTTAATTCGGAGAATGGCAACTACAATATAGACATATGATATGCAAATCAGAAGAAAGGGAATTGTTAAAACCATGATGCCAACACCATATAGGGCAGTTTGGTGGAGATGGGTGTTAGCACATGCCAACTGTAGCACAGGTGGTACATCACATAGGAAATGATTGATCTTGGGTTGGTAACCACAAAAAGGCAAGTTGAAAATCAAGATGGTTAGCTGCAGACACAGTATTATGGCAAGGATCAGAGAGCCAATCACCAGCCATGTACAAACCCTCCAGGTCATGATGAGGGTGTAGCGAAGCGGGTGGCAGATGGCTACATAGCGATCATATGCCATGACAGCCAACATAAAACAATCAGTGCTTCCTAGTGTTGTAAAGAAGAACATCTGGATGCCACAGTTCACCAATGGGATTGTTCTGTGGAAATCAGAAATGCTAGCAAGCATTTGAGGCACTACCACAGTAGTATAACAAATTTCCAGGAAAGAGAGGCTGGCTAGGAAGAAATACATGGGGGTGTGCAAGGAATGGAGAGTACAGATAATCCAAAGGATGGAGATATTACCAAAAAGGATTACGAGATAGAGTAAAAGAAAGAATGTGAAGATAAGATATTGTATCTCAGGAACAGTGGAGAATGTCTGGAAGATGAATTCATAGGCAATGGATTGATTATCCCAGTTTGTAATTGTCAGGTACATCTTATCTATCACTATAAAAAAGAAAAAAAACATAATTATATATAGCATATTTCCATAAGTTTCAGAGTCAAAAATCTGTGGAGTGTATGATATTGAGGTCTGATACATGAAATCTCAATGATTAATCCTAGTTTTTCATTTCCCTTCATCTCGCAATTAGCCTCTACCCAAGCAAATTCTAACACTCCCAGGATATTATTTTAGATGCATTACAATATCAATTGTCCAAAACTGACCAAATAGATACAAAAGCTGATATTTACAGAACTTGTCTTATCAATAGGATGCAAGCATTCTCACCCTTGTCCCTACTGTATCAGGAGAGGGCAACCTTTGAAAGCAAGAAATTACATTAAAAGGCAGGAGATGAGTCCAAGTCCCATAGATGTTTGAGATCAGACTTTGGTTTAAGTTCAGTTGTGTGCATTTCCCATCTCCCAATAGAGCATGGAGAGGGGTATATTTTCAGCTGTTCTGATGTAAGACGGTTAAGACCTATGAAAACAAGGGGTGGAAGAGTTGAAGCATAGGCTGAAAACAATGCAACTTTGATTGAGATTATTTAGTAAAATAGCTGGCGTCCCTCATATAGCATTTCTTTTCACTTTACATTTCTAGTGATTCAGCTCTCTTAAGACTTACCTCCATCAAAGAGCCAGGCTCTACTGATGCTTTTAGTATAATAATTGCTTATCTTCCCAAGGAAATTGCTTTCTCACTTCCAGCTTCCAGCTTCCATCCATTGCAGTATTGCCCACTTTAAACCTGTGAGCAAGGAAACAAAGTGGGGAAGATAAGAAGGCAGCCCTCTGCATAAATACTGTATTTGGAGCCTGGGAAAAGGCCCAGAATGCCAAGTGCAAATAGCAGGGCAACACATTAGTAGCAATCTTCTGGGCAACATTTCATGAATTAAGTCATTATATAATGACAGCTGGTTTTAGAGGGGGAAAGGGAAACTGTTGGGGGATGCATAATGGAATGGATTGCTCTTTAGGCCACGGTTTTATTCATTATTTTTTGAAAGACAGTATCACTAAATAGAGTCACTTTTCTTACAAAACTTTACAAGGAAAAGGGGAGCATTACATTTACTTAAAAGGAAGTAATTCCTAAATTGAAACAGTTTCCACCCCTATCACTCTGAAATATTAGACAGCATCCATTGTTATACTCTCAGTTAATCTTTGCAGCTTTCTCCTTTTAAAGGTAAATTATTTGATGTAAAATAGTATTGTTTTTAGGCAAATATAGTCTGTAAGTCGTCCCACATGTATTCCTAGATCACTGTGCTCTCATAAACAAATAGCTACAGAAACTGATTATATCATCCATTCCAATTCTTCCTTTCTCACTGTTATAATTGATTTTAACAATGCCCAGAATGTCTTTAATAATCCCAACTATGGTCTTGAATTGGCATGTTTTCATTTACATTCTGCAGTCCAAGACCATAATTGTGAAAAGTGTTTTGAATGTCAGCACTATCATCCTGATTTTGGGAAGTAAAACATTTAAACAACTGTCATCTCCTAAAATCTTTCTGTTTTTGCTCAATGCCCACTGCAGACCCAATGCAGAAGAAGGAATAAAAAAGAAATGAAAATGAGGTAAAAAATCCCCACCCACCCCTGCTTCTCTAGATAAAACTTGAAAATCTCTGACTGAAATCCAGAGGAGTGCCAGTCAACACCCCCCCCCCCACCCCCAAATAAAGGATTTAGCTAAGCTCACCGATGCTCTCTTACCTTGTATGATGCCTCTGATCCAGGACTGCAAAACAAAAGGGGGGGGGCTCTCTTCTTCTTGGTGATGTTTTCTGTCTCAAAAGATGAAAGGGGAGTGAATTTTTTTCAACTGTCTATGAACAGGATGGTGAGCTTTCTAGCTGGATTATCTATGAGTTCTTTTCTGGGATGAATCCAGTTTACTTGTTAGACTGAATATAGCCAGGTTCCTCCCAATTCACTGAATCAATACAGGAATGCAAGCAAAGGTAGCCACTTACTCAGCTATTCTCCAGCCAATCAGGGTAGTCTTTATTTTCTTTGCAAGGTATTATACCCAGAAGACATGTCAAGTATTTATTATTTAAAAATAAAAGCAATTCTCCTTAGGAATCCCAGTGTTACCAAGTTCTTAAATAAGTAATTAAAACTTCAGAGGCCAAAGGCTTGCAATAAATTCATTTCAGCATTCTGTGTAGAAGGTTTTCGACAAACTGTAGCCAAATCAGCTGGTAGGATCCATCTAACACTTTCAAAAACGTTGAATACTCTAGAAGCTAATGCATTATGTTCAAAATTAGCTTTGCAAAGCATTGTAAAGAAGAAGCTATCAACTTCATCGATCATTCATATCATTTCTGAACAATCCTTTGGTCCTGGGGATGCTCTTCTCTCTCCTCCTTATTTATAATTATATTAAATAATAGGAACTGCTCCTCTATTATCACATTTCAGATGCATTGAAAATGCATGTGGATATACAGTGTGTATATAAATAACTTCAGGTCTCTGTGAATGGAAAAAGCTCTATTCTGTTCTGTTCTATTCTAAATATTTTAGGTTCTTTTCAGCCACCATGTTTCAGGCAATCATGCTTTCTAGTTTTTGCTTTTAAATACTTTGGTTTAAAGAATTCCACTTTGCCTCTCTCACACTTTTTAATGTGAGTAGGAAAATATACTAAACAAAGATGCCATACAGCTATTTGGTGTCAGGTGGCATTGGTTTATGGGTCCAACTATTTTAATCTATGAATTATGGTTTGTGTTCAAACATGATATGCAAATGAGGCAATGATAATTTATTCAACAAACCATAGTTAAAGATCCAAATTGTTCTAATGGTTAGGGCATCATGCTAAAAACCTGGAGACTGTGAGTTCTAGTCCTGTGTTAGACATAAAGCCAGCTGAGCAACCTTGTGCCAGTCCACCTCTCTCTGCTCTACAAAGCAAACAATGGCAAGCCACTTTTGAAAACATTGCCAAAGAAACTGCAGGGACTTGTCCAGGTATTTGCCAGGAGTCAAAACGGACTTGAAGATACTAATTTCCATTTTTTAAAGTTAAAATACAGCATAATTTGAGAGCACTGGACTCTGCATAAATAAAATGAGCTCATTCCCTGGTTATTATGAAATCCAATTTTCTTATCTGTGCTGCAGATAAGAAAGAACACAACTGGGTCTCTTGGAAGATTTTGCTGAACTGCTCTTACTTGGAGGCAAACTCATTTCATGAAAACTGGCAAACATAAGATCTTTGCCCCTAGTGATCATTTATTTTTACTGGGCAAATTCATTTTTACAATTACTGATTTTATATTTTTATTAAATAAACAAAAAGGACATATAAGATAGAAAGATTGTTCAACAGAGCTTCTCCTCATCCACTCTGATTGATTAATTACATTTTTCAGAGAAACTTTGAAGGAAGCTTGAAATGAATGAGTCACTCCAAACCATTTATTATATGCTTATGCCTTGTTATTTTCATTTATTTGGTCTGATTCTTTCTGCTTTTTATTGTTGTTTGCTGCACAAAATGATCAACTCTTTGTTTTTTCATTTTTATTTTATCTCTGAAATAAAACCAATAAAAAATTTCCCTTTAGTGCACCTCAGCAAAGAGATCGATCGCTCCATACGGCTGCTGGCTTGAGGTGGAACAATTTCAGGGCAACAAATGATGGGCTCCTGCTGTCCTTTCCCTCCCCTATTTGCATCATCACCTGCCGCTATCCTGAATGGAAGGGAAGAAAAGCTGAACAGGTAGTATATCCTTCCATGCACAACACGGTTGATAGTTATGGACTAATTCTTTCAAAGTTCTAGCCATAGGACTAAAGTGGTGAATGTCAGCACTGAATTAATTATTCTTACATTCAGTAAGAATGTAGCTCAGCTCAGCTCAGTTCTGTTGGGACCTATGTGTAGGTATTCTACCTGGTTTTTCTTTTTACATCTTCCAGGTGAGAAAAGAAGGAATCTCGAAATGTAAACAATAAGGAGGAAACTATTCTAGGTGAGGGGGATTGCACTGATTTAACAACATACATCAGAAAATTGTGTAGCCAATAGATTAGCAAGAGAGGGGGCACTGATACCTAAGGAGCAGGTTCTAAAATTGCGAGAATGTATGTGTTACTGTCAATGTGTGAAATTAGACATTTATAGAATGCTTAGGAAATCTATAGAATGCCAAAAATGGGACATCAAAGTATGAAACACTTAATATTTCACACATTTTCTAGGCATTCTATGCCGTGCCAAAAGCAAACTGGGGAGGTATAAAATGCTCCCACTAAAATGCCATTCTAGCCTTCCTTATTGCAACAGATCAATAGTGGTCTTTTTTCTTGGTGGTTTTTTTTTTCCAGTAAGTCCTGTACTTTATTTTGCATTTCTTCTTCATTTTCACATATGTCTTTTCAATAAAGATTTAGGGTTATGATCAGTGGTGGGATTCAAATATGTGAACAACCGGTTTTTGCTTTCAGAAGTCCATTCTGGGCCTGGGCAACAAAAAAGTAGCTACCGGTTCTGCCGAAGTGGTGCAAACTGGCTGAATCCTATCACTGGTTATGATTAGCTTAACCCCAACCCATTTCATGACTCTCTTTTCATATTTTGCCTAAATAGTTTTTGTCATTCTGCACAATGTCTAGGTTTTATACTGTATACAATGCCTACGGAGAGTATATAGCATATTCTACAGATTTCCTAGGCATTCTATACAATGCCAGCTTTTCACACATTGCTGGTAACATATACATGGCCAAACCTCATCTTCTTATGTCCAGTGGAGTTTACTCCCAGTTCTACATAAGAAGTGGATGCTGATCAGAGGTAACACATGCTTTGAAATGCAGACTGCCCTTCCAGTTTGGGAACGTGACAGCCTTGGAGCCTGTTTTTGCTGCCACCAAATGCACTGAAGCCCCCTACCAAATTCACCCTTGGTATCCAATGTGACAGATCCTCCAAAGTGACACAGGAGCTGAAAAGCATGCAAAAATTCCTACAGCAATATAAAAGCTTTCTTTTTTTTTAAAAAAAAATCATCTGATTCCTACCTTTCAGGAGAAGAGAAGCACCTGTGAAACCTTTGCTGCTGTGGAACTATAGAAGTGATAACTTTGTAGAAAACCTATAATTGATCTTCCACGAGACCAATATTCCCATGAGCAAGCAAAATACACACAAAGACCCCAAAGCCTCTGCCACTGACTTTTCAGATTCCTCAGGCAGCAACAAGAAAACTGGCCCTGGAGGCCACAAACCTCCAGCCACATAAGAGTCCTACAGCAGAACAGATGTTGCTCGGCAGATCACTGGCATTTTTAGTCCTTCTTCCATGTCCACTAGGTTGTTTGCATGGATGTCTTCTCCCAAAAGAGCACAAACAATATTACTTACTAGTTGGAATACCGTAAGTGGCTTCAAGATGCCTCGGCGTGGGCTACTTATGAGATGGAGCATAGGCCCAGGGCAAACAGGAAATGGGGCATTTTTATGTCATGATAAGCAAGCCATGTGAATGACCACTATAGCTTTCTGGGGGATTAACAGGGCAGCCACTGGGAGGCAATTCCAGAAAGAACCTCAACTCTGAAGTCTTTCTTACCCCCAGTTTAGTGATGACTAAGATAATGAAAATGAAGCCCATCCATATATATATGTTTGTGTTCATGTTCACTGAACTGACTTGGATTTTATTTTTATTTTATATGAAAAAAATGCTAATTATGTGTATTTAATATTTCAGCAACTTCTTGAATAATTCCATTATGCATTTTGTGTCTTCTCTGTTTTTATTAGGATATATGGCAGTGGTGGGGAACCTATGGCACGTGTGCCAGAGGCGGCACTCAGAGCCCTCTCTGTGGGCACGCATGCCATTGCCCCAGTCCTAGGCCTTCAGCTGGGTTTTATAAAACCTTTTTGCTTTAGGCCTCTGCCGTGTGCAAAAAAAAAAAAAAAAGGTTCAGTCAATCAATCAATTTCAACTTCTCGCAGGAAAAAAAAAGATCTTGCAAAGTTGGAATTGATTGAACTTTTTAGTCCCACCCAATCTGCCGTTACCACTGCAGCCACGCCCACCCAATGGGCCACGCCCACCCACCACCCGACGATACATAAGTGGGTTTTGGGTTGCAGTTTGGGCACTCGGTCTCTAAAAGGTTCGCCATCACTGATATATGGTGACTGATTCTGCTTTTATCTTTATTTTTACATTTGTTCTGTTGTTACACAGATTGATTACATCTCTTTTGGGGTCTTTTAGTCCTGGTTTTCTTGTCTGGTTAAATGTTTGCTGTTAAGGCCAACCCTAGTAAGAAAGGCAAGTACAATCTATTATTTAGGAAATTCTCATGGCAAGTACAATATGTGTTGGCAGTGGAGGCATCCTGCAGATCCTGTCAACCTGATTATTCCAGCTGGAGGAGTCCAGGAGGTGGGTCTTTTCTGCTGTTGCTCCTGCCCTCCAGAACATCTTGCTCCCCAATGTCAGGTTGCCTCCAACCTTCCTATCCTTTTGTAAGGGCTAAAGATGTGGCTCTGCTAGTTGGCCTGAGTGGGGAACAGCACAGTGGAGGTGGTTGATCGAGTAACAACAGATCCCATCTCCTCCCACTCTGCCTCCCATGTGTCCTTAGGTTTTAATGTTTGATTTTAATTTATTTATGTTTTAATTGTATATGTGTAGATACATTTTTCTGACTCTAAGCCATCCAGAGTTACCCTATGCGGAGATGGACAGCCAATACATTTTATAAATAAATAAATAAATATGACAAGGCTGAATTTGAAGGGGCGGTCAAGTGTGTCATCAGTTTGGAATCCCTTCATGCCCACCAGAGATCCAGCCCGGAAGTCCAGCCTTCCTTAAATTCTGTTGATTCTTATCTAATGCCAAGTTGCCTTGATCCTTGCAGTGATCTAGGATGCATTAAACTTGTACTCATTTGAACAACCTTGGTTCCTGATTTCTTGCACCTGACATGACAATGTGGAAAGAGATTGCACAACTTTGCAATTCATGTCCTTAGAAACTTAAATTTTATTTTAAAAATGTGAATACTTGAATAACAATCAGTGTACTGTGAATTAATTGAAGAAATAATAATAATAATAATAATAATAATAATAATAATAATAATAATAATAATAATAATAATAGAGAAAGTCATAGAAAATGATAAAATTAAACTGCTCTGGGACTTCAGAAATCAAACAGACAAGCACCTGCAACATAACACCCCAGACTTAACAATTGTCGATAAGAAAGACAAAAAAGTCTGGATAGTGGACGTGGCAGTGCCTGGAGATAGCAGAATAGAAGAGAAAGAACTGGAGAAGATAACAAAATACAAAGAACTACAAATAGAAATAGAAAGACTGTGGCAAAAGCAAGCAAGGGTAGTACCAATAGTCATGGGCGCCTTGGGTGCAATCCCAAAACAACTGGAGCACCACTTGAACACCATTGGCATTGACAAATTCGCTATTAGTCAATTGCAAAAGGCGGCCTTACTAGGAACTGCTTCCATCCTGCGACGATATCTGTAATACCATCAAACATCCACATCTCGCTATCCCAGGTCCTGGGTAAGGACTCGATAGGTAGACAAAATGCCAAATCCAGTCTGAACATTTGGCTGACTGTGCGATGATGATGATGATGATGATAATAATAATAATAATAATAATAATAATAATAATAATAATAATAATAATAATAATAATAATAATAATGTTGGAAGGGACCTTGGAGGTCATCTAGTCCACTCCCCTGCTCAGGCAGGAGACCTATACCATTTCAGACAAATGGCTGTCCAGTCTCTTTTTAAAAACTTCCAGTGTTGGAGCATGCACCACTTCTGGAGGCAGGTTGTTCCACTGGTTAATTGTTCTAACTGTCAGGAAGTTTCTCCTTAGTTCTAGGTTGCTTCTATCTTTGATTAGTTTCCATCCAAGTATTTTTCTTTTGGGTAAAGCAGGAATTGAGATTAGTTTTACTATAATCAGGAAGTGAATATGACAGAGTCAGAAGAACAAACTGCTTCAGTTTAATAAAATTCAATAAAAATCTTCTGAAAGAAATCCAATATTCCTATAAAGCCATATCTTTATAAAGCCACATGAAATTCCAAATTAACTTTTAAGCTCTCAACTTGTAACCTCTTCCACTTTTTAATTAGACACCATAGTAAAAAATAGGGAAGAGAAAATTAATGCAGTTTCAACTATGTATGTCTTATACTATAGTCTTCAACTGAACTGAAAGAAGCAGAGTATTTGCCTGCATTTGGTGCCATAGGCAAAAGATAAAATCAATTCTCCGTACCCAAATCCCAAAGAAAATATACTTTATATTTTAAAACTGTAGATTGCTTTTTGTGGAATTCTTGATGCTATCTGAACTTAGTGGTTTGCTGTATACATTACCTTACCCAGCTAAGTAATATGATCAGTGCAAGTGAGTGTGGTATTGGCTTCATCTTTATATGCAGTAGTTTGCTCTGCCAGATTTGGTGGAGTGTAGTTTCTCCATGATGGATCTATAATTAGAGTATTGTTTTCAGCCTGATTTTTTGCAATGGGTGGAAACTAATCAAGGAGAGAACCAACCTAGAACTAAGGAGAAATTTCCTGACAGCTAGAACAATTAATCAGTGAAACAACTTGTCTCTAGAAGTTGTGGGTGTTCCAACATTGGAGGTTTTTAAGAAGAGATTGGACTAAAAGATTTTCTATTCCTACTGAAGATCTGGTTTTTTACTTATAAAAAAGTAAAACTGAAAAGATTATAAAAACTTTGGACTTAAAAGAAAATTTTCAATGGTAGGGGTGACATCTTGTGGCTACACCTGATATTACAACTTGTTATTACTTCAAAGAGACTTGGCCTGTAGCCCAGACAATAGATAAGATTTATGCAGCTTTGAGACATCAGCTGTGAGAAGCCCAGCTGTGTTCTATATTCAGTGAGAAACAATATATATATATATATTTTGCATTCTCTAGTTCTACGGCTTTTAACCTAATACACTACTAAGAGAATATGCTAGAACAATTAATCAGTGGAACAACTTTCTCTAGGAGTTGTGGGTGCTCCAATATTGGAGGTTTTTAAGAAGAGATTGGACAACCATTTGTCTGAAATGTTATAGGGTTTCCTACTTGAGCAGGGGGTTGAACTAGAAGACAGCCAAAGTCCCTTCCAGTTCTGTTATTCTGTTTGGTGTTGATCCCTGCTTATCTGAATGTGGACTGTTACAGTAGTCTTTTTAGTTTTTTTATTGCCTCTTTTGAATGGTATGAAATCTAATCGGGGAACCACCAAAGAGGAACATACATTCCCACCAAAACTGGCAGGAGAAAGTAGTACATAGAAACAAGGAGCAAACCTCACACTTGTTCGCACTGATGACGTTACCTTCTTGGGTAAGGAAATGCCCACAAGCTAACAATCAAGCTCACAGTACCAGAACTACACAGATCAACCACAAGCAATGGATATCAGGTTTTTTTTTCTTGAAATTCGGTAGCCCACTTAATTAGGCACTCAAGGTGACTGCCTAATCTGCCTATATAAACATACCACTGTAAGATACAGATACAGATATGGAAATTCATTTCTGCCAGGTGCAGAATTAGAGTATGCTGGAATAAGGCTTTTGTTTTCGTGTTTTCTGAAAGATCTTCCCACAGTCCATTATTAAACTCCATTATTAAAAGATCTCAGGCTGACTGAGGTCAATTATAGAAGTAGACAACCTGTGACAAAATACAACCCAGAACCCCAGATAATAAGAACAACGCTAAGAGACGCTGGGAAATGTTCAGCAATTACCCGAAGGATTCAAGATTCCTCCCTTCTGTCATAATGCTAATCCACAACTGGTTTTGAGGGTATAATAATGTTATAGATGAATTGAGACTCAAGTCTGAGATGCAATCATTTTCTTCATGACCTTCCTTAAAGCCTGCTTGATATCTTTGTTCCTCAGGGTATAGATCAAAGGGTTCAGGAGGGGAGTGACAAAGGTATATATAAGAGCCAGTTTTCTATCCTCATCCTCTGAAGTGCTGGACTTGGGACGCAGATACACAAGACTGCAGACTCCATACTGTAGGATGACAACTGTCAGGTGGGAGGAGCAGGTGGAGAAGGCCTGCTGTCGCCCAAATGTGGACTTAATCCGGAGAATGGCAGCCACAATATAGACATAGGAGATGCAAATCAGAAGAAAGGGGATTGTTAAAACCATAATGCCAACACCATATACGGCAGTTTGGTGGAGATGGGTATCAGCACATGCCACCTGTAGAACTGGTGGTACATCACATAGGAAATGATTGATCTTGGGCTGGTAACCACAGAAAGGCAAGCTAAAAATCAAAGCAGTTAGCTGCAGACACAGTGCTATGGAAAGGATCAGGGAGCCAATCACTAGCCACCTGCAAACCGTCCAGGTCATGATGAGGGTGTAGCGAAGTGGGTGGCAGATGGCTACATAGCGATCATATGCCATGACAGCCAACATAAAACAATCAGTGCCCCCTAGTGTTGTAAAGAAGAACATCTGGATGCCACAGTTCACCAATGGGATTGTTCTGTGGAAATCAGAAATGCTAGCAAGCATTTGAGGCACTACCACAGTAGTATAACAAATTTCCAGGAAAGAGAGGCTGGCTAGGAAGAAATACATGGGGGTGTGCAGGAAATGAACAGTACAGATAACCCAAAGGACAGAACAGTTACCAAAAATGATTGTGATATATAACAAAAGAAAGAAAATGAAAATAAGATGTTGTATCTCAGGAACAGTAGAGAATGCCTGGAAGATGAACTCATGGGCCATGGACTGATTATTCCAGTTTGTAATTGTCAGATGCATCTTCTCTGTCATTAAAGAAAAAACAAGAAGGAAAACCAGTTAAATAGTAATATGTCTTTTCAAATGTTTAAAAAGCCATGTCCTGTGGACTGTATGATACTTAGATCTGATATGTGAAATCTCAGTGGTTAATCCTAGACTGTTCACTTCTCTTCATCTCGTAAATTAGGCTGTACCCAAGCAAATTCCAGCACATCCAGGATATTATTTTCAGGTGAATACAATATCAATTGTGCAAATCTGACCTAGTAGATATAAAACTGATATTTACAGAGCTTGTATTATCTGTAGGATACAAGCATTCCACCTGTGTTTTTCTTTTTGAAAACAAGCTCCTACTATTATCAGGAGTGGGCAACATTTTCATGAGTGTATTTTCAGCTGCTCTGATGTCAGAAGGTTTCAGACCCAAGAGAACAAGAATGGAAGAGTTGGAGGATAGGCTGAAAATACCACAAATTTGATTGAGATTATTTAGTAAAACAGCTGGTATCCCTGCGCATAAATAGCATTTCATTTCACAGCACTTTACAGTTCCAATGGTTCAGCCCTCATAAACTTACCTCCATAAGAGAACCAGTATTTATTTCACAGCATTTCTTAATTCCCATGGTCCAGCTTACCCCCATTAGAGAATCAGGTCATCTCAGTCCCTACTAATAGTTTTAGTATAATATCTGCTTGTCTTCCCAAGGAAGCTGCTTTTTCACTTCCAGCTTTGGCCCATTGTAGTGTTGCCCCCTTTGAGCCTGTGACAAGGAAGCAAGGTGAGGAAGGTGAGAGGGCAGCTATTGGCTTCCCTTCTTTGGCACGCCAGCTGTCCAGGTTGTATTCCTAGGATATATCACTGATACCATAGTAGAAACCTGCAAAGAGCTTGCTGCAAAAATTTGGGTAAAGAGAGCAGGTTTATACTAGGTGAGGTCAGGGAGAACTTATTTCTAGTTAGAAACCTTTAGGGTTAAAATAAGAACAAGTATGGCAAAAGTACACTATGCCAATCTGTCATTAAATTAATACATTGCCATAAACCATGATTTATTTTACCTGTTATTTGTTGGATAAGTTTTAAGGGCTGAATTCATATTTAGCACAAAAATAGTCTCCTTTGAGTAGAGCTCAGGTCTAGTCCTTTGAGTAGAGCTCAGGTCTAGTCCTTTGAGTAGAGCTCAGGTCTAATCCTTTGAGTAGAGCTCAGGTCTACTCCTTTGAGTAGAGCTCTGGTCTACTTCTTTGAGTAGAGCTCAGGTCTACCCCTTTGAGCAGAACTCAGGTCTACTCAATGGACCTTTCATGGACACATCCAGGTCATTTTCCCAGCAAGGGAGTAAAAGTAGTTTGCCACTGTCTTTTAGATGTTTATAATTTTCTATTTGAGCCTTGATTCTGCTTAATGGAATTCCATTCAAGTATTAATCATGCTTAGCCTTGCTTTGTTTCCCACAGCAGATAGGGTCATACATGTCAAAAGCAAAAAGCACAGTTATAGAATATAGACCTACCTTGTGTATACAATTCAGTGTTCAGGATTTTATAGGTATTACAGATTTAAATTACTCTCAACATCTATGCTGCCAGCTTTTGTGTTCTGAGTAGAAGTAATTTTAAGAGCAGTGAGAAATCTACAATTTTAACTACTTTTTAAAAAGATGATAGCTTTAATATAGTTTTCTACTGTTTATTTTTCAGGGAAAAATAAAAAATCTGGTAGAAGAAAAATGATTGGATGAATAGAAATGTGAAGCTGAAAAATATTTACAAGGAATAGAACAGCATTACATTTACTGAAAAATTCCTGAAATAAAACACCCCAACAGTCTGAAAGATTAGAGAGCATTGATTGTCATATTCTCCGTTAATTTTTGCAATTTTCTCATTTTAAAGGTAAATTATTTATATAAAAATAGTATTGCTTCTAAATAAATATACTCTGTACATTTCCCATATTGACTGCTAGATCATAAACTTATAGCTAAACTGATTATATCATCTATTCCCCTTCTGCCTTTCTCACTGAGCACTGTTATTTTAGCAGTGCTCAGAATGTCTTCATTATACGCAACTATGGTCTTAAACTGGTACTTTTCATTGTCATTTTGAATGTAATCCAAGAGCATAATTATGAAAAGCGTTCTGAATGTCAGCAAAATCATTCCTGAATTTGGGAAGAAAAGCATTTAAACAACCATCTCTTAAAATCTTTCTATTTTTGCTCACTGCCTACTGCAGACCCTATGCAGGAGATGCAATAAAAAGGAAGGAAAATGAGATAAAGGAACCCTTCCTCCCTGCATCTCTAGATGCTGGAGTAAGAAGCTATTTAACATGAGTTAAAAGTAAAATCCCTGCATCTCTGCATGAAGCTGGAAAATTTCTGGCTTAAATCCTGTGAAGTCCTTGACATTCAAAGTCCACTCAACTCTCCCAGAAACAGACCAAAGATCTAGCAAAGCTAAATAATGTAGTCTTCTTACCTTGTAAGAGGCCTCTGATCCAGGACTACAAAAGAGCTCTCTTCTTCTTGGCGATGTTTTCTGGATCAAAGGGTGAAAGGGGAATGAAATTTCATCAAATATCTATGAACAGATAGGTGGGGGGTTTCTAGCCCAGCTTTCTAGGTGGGTTATCTGTGAGTCCTTTCCTAGGATGAGTCCAGGTTACTTGCTAGATTGAGTATAGTAATCAGGTTCCTCCCAATTCATCGACTCAGAAATGGAAGGCAAGCAAAGGTAGCCATCTCTTCATAGCCATTATCTTTTCTCCAGCCAATCGGGGTAGTCTTTGTCTTCTTGCAAGATATTATCCCCAGTAGACATGCCAAGTATTTGTCATTTAAAAAAAACACAACAGTTCTCCTGTGGCATCCCAGTGTGACAAAGTTTTTCAAGAAGCAATAAAAACTTCAGAAGCCAAAGGCTTGCAAGAAATTCATTTCAGTATTCTATGTAGAAAGTTTTGGACCAACCGTGATCAAGATGTAGAAGAACAATAAGACCTGGTTAATATAACTACTTCACATCATTTCTTTGTTGTCCGTCCTGTTCTTAATGTTTTGAGAGTAGTAATTTTGATAGTCGAAAGTCTATTCTATCTGCCTTTCTCTGTCTCAAAGATTCAATAGCCAGGGTTTACATAACTATTTCAAAGGCCTTCAGTATTCTAAAAACTAGTGCATCATGTTAAGAATTAGCTTTGAAAAGCATTATGAAGAAGAAACGATCAACTTAAACAATATTTCTGAACAATCTTTTGGTGCTGGGGATACTCTTTTCTCTCGTCCGTATTTATGATTATATGGCATAATAATCAGGATCTGATCTTACTATTGTCACATTTCAGATGCATATGAATATTTAGTATGTATATAAATAGCTTCATGTACCTATTCGCAAAGAAAGCTGAAACCCTATAAATAAATACAGATTTTTAAAAGAAATTTATAAATCCTATTATAATTTATCAAAAAGCACAAAATCAGAAGTGAATTCTTTTATAGCTATACAATCATGTGCACCATAGCCATTGTTATATCTTGCAATATGATAGTGTTTGCATATTGATTAAAATTAAAACAGTCATTAACTTAAGAACTGCCAAGATGTGAGTAGGTTTCAACAATCAATAAAAGGGAACAAAGTCAGGTGTTCATCAGTTGTGATCCTGTGGAGCTTAGGGGAAGAAACTGAGTGGCTAATGGGGGATGACACACTAGAAGCTGGAAAGGATATTCATGCTAAACATAGCAGTCTCTGATTTATCCACATTAAGGTGATAGGATAAGCAACTGGATAAGATGAAGATTACATCTCTTTTGTCTATGCATCATGATCAAAGATCACCAAGGAGCAATAAATAGCATTGTAACAATGATACTAAAATAATTTTGAAGCTTATAAGCATAATAGAATTCAGGATTTATGAGAGATACATTCTGGATTGGGGAAATTTTCAGGGCTGAAATCCATCATGTTATATTATATTGTATATTGTATTATATTGTTATATTATATTATATTATAAAGAATGAGAAAACAAAAAAGATTTGAACCATTGAAATGCACTGCCATTGACATCTAAGTAGATAGCAGTTACTACTATCATATGTGAAAACACTGCTGTCAGGTTCAAAAGAATGCAAGGCATTGGGGTGTGGCCACCAAAATATTCAGAATTCATGGAAATGCTTTTGAATGGCGTGCACCAAATCCTGTTTGACATGGAGAAGATTATAGTGCTGAATGTCAGTACTGAATTAATTACTCTTACATTCAGTGGCCAGCTCAGCTCAGTTCTATTACAGTAGGGACCTATGTGTAGGTTTTTCTTCTTACATCTTTCTCCAATTGAGGAAGGAAGAAATGTGGAGCTGTAAAGAATATGCTCTAGTGAAGAAACTATTCTAGATGAGGGGAATTATATTGACTAAACAATATTCACCAGAAAAATGTGTGGCCAATAGATCAGAGCAAGAGAGGAAGCAATGATATCTAAGCAGCAGGTTCTAAAATTGTGAGAATGTATATATACCCTAACCTCATCTTCTGTCCAGAGGAGTGTACTCCTGGTCTACATGACCTACATGGTGGTTTGTTGGAACAAAAGCTGGGAAATATAGACCACCCTAGCAGTTTAGGCTTGAGGCTTCTTTTTTTTTTTTTTTGCTACTAACAACTGCACTGAAGCTCCCCACCAGATTGGTATCCAATGTGGCAGATCCTTCAAAGTGACGCAGGAGCTGAAAATCATGCAGAAATTCCTACAGCAATGCAAAAGTTTTCATTAAAAAAAAAATCAGCTGATACCTAACCTCCAGGAGAAAAGAAGCATTTGTGAAACTTTTGCTTTTGTGGATCTGTCGTAATAATAATTTTGTGTAAAACTTATAATTTATTTATTTATTTACTTACTTTTAAAATTGTATTTATTTATTCAATTTTTATGCCATCCATCTCCCATATAACATGAACATGGATAGCTTACAGGTTATAAACAAATTGAAGAACAATTAAAATATATTAACAAATTAAAACTAAGCGGGATTAAAATTTTACAAATTATTCAAAAAACCCAAACGAAGAGATGGACGGGATGGGGATACAGTCTTCTTATCCTGTCAACCACTCTAGCAGTGAGTGCTCCTTCAGAGCCCCAAGCCAACTGTCAAAGCCAAGTTTTAATTGTCTTCTAAAAGGCCAAAAGGGCGGAGCAGTTCTTACTTCCAGTGGTAAGTGCTCCACAATGGCTCATTTCCTTTAATTGATCTTCCATTAGATCTAATTGATCTTCCATGAGACTATACTCCCATGAGCAAGCAACATACATCCAGAGACACAAAGTCTGTGCCATTGACATTTCAGATTCCTCATGCAGCAACAAGAAAACTGACCCTGGAGGCCAAAAGCCTTCAGCCACATAAGAGTCCTACAGCAGAACAGATGTTGCCCAGAAGATCACTGCCATTTTCAGTCCCTCCTCCATGTCCACTAGGTTGTTTGCATGGGAATCTTCTCCCAAAAGAGCACAAACAATATTACTTACAAGTTGGAACACTGTAAGCAGCTTCAACCTGCCTCAGCAGGTTATGAGATTGAGGCTCCACTATGAGAAGATGCCAAGGGGAAACAGGAAATGGAGCATCTTTATGTCATGATAAGCAAGCCGTGTGGATGACCTCTATAAATTTCTGGGGGACTAAACAGTAGCTATTGGTAGGCAATTCCAGAGAGAACCTCAACTATGAAGTATTTCTTACCCCCAGCTTAATGATGAATAAGATTATGAAAATGAAGCCCATCCATATACATATGTTTATGTTCATGTTCACTGAACTGACTTGGACTTTATTTTTATTTTATATGAAAAAAATGCTAATTATGTGTATTCAATATTTCAACAACTTCTTGAACAATTCCATTATGAATTTTGTGTCCACTCTGTTTTCATTAAGATATATGGTGATTTATTCTGCTTTTATCTTTATTTTTACATTTTTTCTGTTGTTACACAGGTCAATTGCATCTCTTTTCTGATCTTTTATTCCTAGTTTTCTTGTTTGGTTAAATGTTTGCTGTTAAAATCAGCCCTAGTAAAAAATTATGTAAGGCAAGTGCAATCCATTATCTAGGAAATTCATCATGCAATGCAGAAAGAAATGGTACAGCTGTGCAATTCAATACTGTTAGACTAGAGACTTAAATTTTGTTGTTAAAATGTAAATATTTGAATAACAATCAACTTACTGTAAATTAACATCATTTCTTTCTTGTCCATCATGTTCTCAATATTTTGAGAGCAGTAATTTTGAAGTCGAAAGCCTATTCTATCTGCCCTTTCGAAGAATAAATTGTCAGGGTCTATATAACTAATTCAAAGGTCTTGGATTCTCTAGAAGATAGTGCAGCATGTTCAGAATTAGTTTTGCAAAGCATCATAAAAAAGAAACTATCAATTTACAAGTTGGAACATGTAAGTGGCTTCAGCCCACCTCAGCAATGGGCTACCTATGAGATTGAGGCTCCACTATGAAAATATGCCCATGTAAAACAGGAAATGGGCCATCTTTATGTCATATTAAGCAAGCTGGGTGAATTGACACAGATTTTATTTTATTTATTATTTATATAAAATAAATACAAATGATGTGTATTTAATATTTCAACAACTTCTTGAAGAATGCCGTTATGTACTTTGTGACTACTGTTTTCATTAGGATATGCAGTGATTGATTCTGCTTTTATATTTAATTTTTACATTTGTTTTCTTGTTAACATTATTATTGTTGAATTATTGCATCTCTTTTGGATCTTTCATTCCTAGTTTTATTTTTTTATATAAATTTGTGTTGTTAGAGCCAACCCTAATAGTTCTCTCCCTCCCATCCAGGACATAGCACAGAAGCATTGCTTGAGCAGGGCCCGTAAGATTATCTGGGACACTACACATCCTTTTCACAACCTGTTTCCCTTGTTACCTTCTGGGAAGAGGCTTCGTGGTATCCGTAGCAGAACATCCAGATTCAGCCATAGTTTCATTCCATACAGCATTAACCTTGTGAACTCTCAAGCTTCCTCCTTCCATTATATATTCAAGATGGACAGTATTTAATATTTATTTGCTACGCATATGTTGGGGTGTGGGTCTGTACATATGTTGTTCATAGTATGTTTAGGTGTGTGTCATGTGTGTTTTTCACTTGAGAGCGGACAACTAAATTTCATTTTTGATGTGTGCCGTTGTGCCCACAGTAAAAAAATGACAAAGGTTATCTTATCTTATCTTATCTTATCTTATCTTATCTTATCTTATTTATCTTAACATAGTAGAAAGGTTACTTCTTATTTTTAAGCTGATTAGCATCAATCAGATTTGCATGCAAAATATTGTAGTTCTAAAAGTCAAACACACATGACCAACAAGAAAATAAAATTTATTGTTCTTTGTGTATCATTTAATTGTTTAGAAACGAAGATAACAAAGACATACTTCATCAGTGTGTATGACAACTTAAGAAGATTAAGGGGAGGATGAATATTCAAATAATCTGGCAAGAGGCTGCTTGCATACATACTGTACATAAGATTTAGCAGATTAAAAAGATAGATGACTGATTTTGCTAGGGCATTATGATACTAACCCTGAGAGATGAGCTATTTATATAAAAGATACCTTAATGGAACTCTGCTGCCTGAGCCAATCAGAATGAACAGAATCAGATGGCCAAGATGTAGTGTAGCACAGGGAGAAGTACACCCTTTCCACATCGTTTACTCCACAGACTATACTTGCATCTGTAATGCAATTTTGCACAAGTCTAGCATTAAAAAGCTATTGATTTCAAGATGCATTGGTATATCTTCCCCTTGTCATCTAAATACAATTTTAAATGAGATTATCCTACTCGGAACAGTTGTATCCATCCTGATCAGGAAGTAAGCCTAAGTGACTTTTGAAAGATTTTCTATAATTTGCAGCTTATCTACTTCAAGATAACATAGGTTTCTGCTATTAGTTACATAAGTTATAGAAATAATGAAAGATATTTCTGCAGATGAATATGTATTAGTTAAAAAACCAACTTGTTGAAAAAAAACTCAAAAAACTTTTCAGAGAAGAAGAGCTACTATTTTTTTTCATTTTAATGTGTGTGTGTGTGTGTGTGTGTGTGTGTGTGTGTGTGTGTGTGTATGGGGGGGAAGAGAGAGAGAGAGAGAGAGAGAGAGAGAGAGAGAGAGAGAGAGAGAGAAGCTGCTCTTAATATTTCTAAAAATCACAAATACCCAGATAATGAATTCTAGTAAAGTTATTTAAGTTCAACACAAAAGGTACATGCCTAACAGCTGATTAATTTGAAAACATTAAAGTGTAATAGTGTGCTATAATATTTAATGTTGCCTAATTTGGTGGAGTTTTTTTTTTACTCAAGAGAAAATCTCAGGAAGCTCTATATGCCAAGGAATTGTCCTGAGGCTTATAGTCTTAATATTTCACATACTTTTAAGTTAAACAAAGAGTTTTTTAAAGCAAGAGTGACAGTAGGTTTTACCATTCTGCTCCTGAAAAATACCATTGTGCAACTGAGTAAGGCAAAAGGCACAAACAAAGTGCTCTGGGTGAAACTTGTGCCCCATGGCACTGACACACCGCCCAACAATTGGTTTTCCACAACCGTGACACACGGTTCCCTGATGATGGTGGAAGTGAAGCTCACAGTAGGGCTGGCCTTTTAGTTCGAAGAAAGAACCATCAGTAAAACTGCAGCAACAATCCTGAAAACAGAGGAAAGGAGCCTGTGTCAGGGCATAAAAAATATTACTGAGATTGGCATAGGGTTAGATTCTTCCCAATGCTGCATTGACAAGAGCACATTCATTGCTAGTCCACTACTATTTAAAATAAATAGGTTTGGCTGGTTTTTTTTCCTAATTCATCATTTTCTTCTTGGAATTATGTTTGAAACATAAATCCATCCAGGATAGAAGCTTACAAAAACAGCTAATCCTGGCCAAGGTTTTTCAATGCAGGTATCCAGGTCAATAGACACTCAAGAACGGAGCCACTTTTTGCTAATATGACAATTTGAACTGTGTTGCAGAGTGTCTTCCCCTTTTAATAAAACTAATGTGCTGCCACCAATATTTGGATAGTGGGTATATGTGTGTATGTGTATACATGTAGGTATGTGTGTACACACACAAAAATACACACATGCTTTATAGTACAGGTTTAATATCATATTTTAATATTTTTAGTTTGAGAGACTTTCCTATATCAAAATATAAATAACAAATTAATTAGCTGGGATTTAAGAAGTCTAATTATATTCAAGATTGTGACCAAAGTCTATTTAGAGCCCCTTAAATATTGGCTGTACCACTAACCCAAATGCCACCACATAAATGTTCCATAACTACCGTACTTCTGCATGCTTACCCTGCATACAAAACATTCGGGGTGCCATACAGCATTCAGAGCTGACAAATATTGATTCATCACAGGACGATCACAGCCTCTGCATTTGGGAGAAAAAATGCTTTGGAAATCTTTCTGGCAGTATGGCTTTCCATCTTTCACATGGTAACCTACAGGAGAAGGTTTGGGAAGATAATCATTAAAAACAGTGAATTCCTCTCACACAGACACAAAGGCATGCTATCTCTTTGATTGGAAAAGCAGTAGGAAAAGAGAGACTCTTTTATTAGGGTCCCTGATCCTCAGCCTAGTTCAACATTGATCTGTTAAAGATCTTGCTACAAAGCAAGAACTATTTTGATATATAGTTGTTTTTATGAGTTCTTACAGATGCATGTTTTGCCATAAAGGCAGGAAGAAACAGGATAGAGACAGGAAGAAAAGAGAGATGGAGACTTAAGAGACTGGTAGAAAGGAATCTGTAATTAATGGCTTTCTCTTAGCTTCCATAGAAGAAATGCAGTGGAAGATATTACATCACCGGCATTTAACTCTAACTAGATTAGCATGAATGATCCATAGTCATTCATCAAATTGTTATAGGGCTTGGAATCAGAAAGGAATACGGTATTTTTTTCAGTTGCGGTAGACTTATGAAAAGGTAGTGAATTCCTGGAAGATACTATTCAAAGAAATTAGAATAACAACAAACAAAAGAATAATAACTAAACAAAAAGTAGAATGTGTTCAATTCACATTGTGGAATTGAATGATTACATTGTGATTATTACATTTTATTGAGGGAGATAATTCTAAATAAAAAGTATTGTATTCTTACTTCTGGCTGCAGAATTGAAAGTTGCTCAAAACTGAAATTTCTAGATAACCTATCATTGAATAATTGGCATGCAAAAGTATGGTTAATTGTTCTTATGGAAAAAGTGACTGATAAAATTTGAATGCTGACTTCTCTAAGCAATGAATCACATTTTTATTGGTTCTGGAAAAATTAAATACAGTATGTTGTGCTGCTAATAATAACTCTTCTACTGATAAATTGAATGTCATAAATAATCTATGATTAAATGTTGATAGTTTGGCACTGTTATTTTATATTCTTGTTTCTTTTTGGCTTTACAGAATATTAAACATTAAAAATTAAAAATAGATTGTGATATTCTACAATATACAATAAAGGAAGCAATACATTTTTAATGCATGCATGAATGACTTACAAATTAAAAAATCTAGTTCTAAAAATAACACCTGTAATGGAATAGCTATGGCTAAGCAATGATGGATTGAGATAAGCGGGCAAAGAATTTGGTTATAGGTTGGGTATAATATTGTGACCATGACCACATGTGCCCTAAGTCTATTTATTTATTAGGAGTTTTGAATAATGGTAGCTTGATTGCTTCCTGGGAAGAAAGTGTCCAAAATGGCCACATAAGGCTGCACTGCAGTGTCTGTATGGTGGACAATGAAGCTGCCCCTGTGTTCTTGTCACACCCATCATTCTCTATTTCCAGATGAGCCTCCGCTCACAGCCAGAGGAGGTGTACTCAGGGAGCCAGACTGATAAGGACTGAGTTTCTGAGCCAAAGGCAGCCAGGAACCTCCAGCTAGAATGTATCTTGGATAGTTACCTTCTGTATACCATAAACAGCTAGATAGACAGACAGCGACTAAATATTTCTGCTGGTTTCCAAGGTTTAAAGACTGAATTACAACATTTTCTTACAGAACACAGAATAACAGAACTGGAAGCGACCTTGGAGGTCTTCTAGTCCAAGTCTTAACTTTATTACTTAATGTTGATTAATAATAATTAATGATTTGTTAATCATTATTTATTATGCATTATTTCATTGCATAGCTTAGTAAAAGAAATGTTATTATAATCCGATTCACCGGAGTAGCCTTTTAAGATGAAACAGAAAAGGTGCGATAAACTGGCAAAAAATGACATCTTAGATCTCTGTGGAGCAGCAACACTCAGGATGTTCTGAGATCTCATTTGTGCCAATGTATGTAGAGAGTCTATGTAGTATGCATAAACTCAGCATGGAGGGATTTCTATACATTCCATGAATTGGTGACCAAGCTGGACAAAGAAAATGATGCCGATAGGCTTTCCTGCACCCTTCTGAGTATAATGGAGCTTTATATTTTCTAGGGGGGAAAAAACTGGCCACTTTTTACGACCCAATTCTACTCCAGCTAAAGTTTTCATATTGTACTAGAATGAAATACTTTGTTTGAACAAAAAATACAAGCATGCTGTTAATCTGTTAATGCATATGTTAATTTACAAAAACTATAATAAAGAAAGGGCATTCACAAGACGTTATGTGACAAATATTTTCAATAGGAGGCTGTACAATCGGAGTAGATGCTTTGCATGAGCTGGCTGTATCAGAAAGTTTAAGAGTTACTGAATCAATTAGTAAAGGTTAAAAGATTTGCTGTTATGACCACAAGAGGATTCCAAGAAGTTAAGCCAAGAACAGATAAATTATCAGTGCAGATGAACCATTCTAGACAAAATTCTGGTACATTAAGTTCTGCCCCCTTATCTTTCACACACAATAGATAAACATGAAAATTTAGATTTTTAGATTTGCTCTGTTTCAAGAAAGCCTAAGACTCCTTACATAGCTTAAAGAAAAAAATCATCACAGGAACTACAGCAAAGGCAAATTGCTGTGATGCAGAAAAGTGGAGGATTTTTTTGAAAAAGATTTTGAAGCAAAAACAAGGATGAGCTTTAAATGAGAAGCCATTAAAGATAGAGTTTGATATTAGGAACATCTGCAATTTGATTTCCTCTAAACTTTTACTATCTCTCATTTGGTGCAATACCTTGTCTAAGAAATATTAGTATGGTTAATATTTGAGTGAGATACTACCCAGATATCCCAGGCTTTAAAATGGCAAGTATGCAATCATCAGCTCAATTTGCTAAATATTTACTTTTTAGATTAAACTGAGAAGATGAAGAATATTCTAAGAGGCAGTGACATCATGCTGAAACCATGCCCACCCCAGCTCCAGCAATGGGGAAAAAGTTGCAATACGTTGTGACACGTCATGTGACGTTGTGAGTTTGACACCCCCGGTTTAGAGTCTTTATGTAACCTCAAATGAACTGCATCCAGACCCCACTGAAACTTAACTTAGCTCTAACCAGGTGCTGACTGTTAGTTGACATTTCTATGCATAGGTTTTTAGCAATAAATCAGCTACCGTAAATTGAACGCTCAAGTGTGGACCTGGTTTCTCATGCCTGACAATTTCAGTGTTAATTCAAAATAGTTACTTGAAATTGATAAATTGTTGAGGAAAGTTATATAAGAAAATAGAACACCTAGAATTTATTGGCTTAATTAAAAATCTCTTTTGAAAAAGGTACTTTTAATTTAGCAATTTTTCAAAAATATAATTGAACTTATTTTTTTTATTACAGTACAATATATCTTTGTGGAATGAAAATTCAGCAGTGAATCAGCTTTTGTTGGCTTTATTGGAAAGCTTTTGCTCATTTCCATTAATTGCTTGGACTGATAACATAGTTGAAAGGGTGTTTGGTTTCTGAGACTGTGAGCTACTAGATATGTTTGAGCTCTGTTGGTTTGTAGACTGGATTTTTATGTTAAGGCCTTTTAATATTTAGAGAAATAGTTATTTATGGAATAATTCTATTTCAAAAATTGGGACCAAAAATCTATTGGACAGATGTGAGCAGAATCTGGAAAACAGTTAAATTAAACCTATTATTACAATGACTATTTTAAGGACTTTTCTTGACTTCAAATATAATTTTTGGGGAATAAAGTGTTTTTCTTTTTTAAATTTTCTTTTCCCCATTTTTATGTACAGGTAGTCCTCAATTTACAACAGTTCATTTAGTGATGGTTTGAAGTTAAAATGGCACTGAAAAAAGTGATTTATGGCCATTTTTCACACTTACAACCATTGCAGCATCGTCATACTCATGTCATCAAAATTGAGACACTTGGCAACTGATGGACATATGATGATTGCAGTCCATAAATTGTGTCCAGCAAAGTCAATGGGCCAGCCAGATTCATTTAACAACCATGCTACTAACTTAACAACTGCAGTGATTCACTTAACAACTGTGGCAAGAAAGATCATAAAATGGAGCAAAACTCACATGACAACTCTCTCACTTAGCAACAGAAATTTTGGGCTCAGTTGTGGTCATAAGTCGAGGACTACCTGTATTTCTCTTTATAAAACATGTTAAGGTAAAATAAATAAACTTGATTAAATAAATAAAAAGTTTCTGCTGCCGAATCAGAATTCACAACCTAGTCAATGTGAGCTTCCATAGTCAAGAAGAGAATGATAATTGTACAAATCACCCCTGCTCATGCCACTAACCAGCTTGCTACCATTCATTCTGGTAAAAATATAATTTGGTTCACCGTGGGGTCAGATAATCCCTTGCTAAACTTCTGCAATTCTTACATGTTTCAAGAGAAACAATCCATAATTGCACAATGCGGTTACCACACCAAAGATGAAGAAATTGCTGCCAATGCAATAAAGTTCTGAAAGTTGCTTCCAAAAGCTTGAAGCAATAATTCTGAGCAATGCTCAGGGAAAACCCTCCCGCGTGGCCAAGAAAGAATGAATAGTGCCCTTGGGTTGTTTAAAAGACTTAATTTAGGAAGAATCCAGCTCATCTCTAAATTGACCTGTAAAACTTTTTGCATTCTAGTTCTAATTAGGAGCTTGGGGACCCGAGTTTACCGATATGGGCTCAGAGATCCCCCTAGGAGCTAATTACTGGATCTCAGTTCCTGGTGTCCTATTAGTGCTAGTCTGTGATCAAATCCCACTGTGAGTGTGCTGATGCTTTTCTGATTGTTGTTTGTCAAGCAGAAAAAAATAATTATTTGCAACATGCTACCCAGCAAAAATGAAATTGAAACATTTTAATCAGTGCTCCCCTCTGATGCTCTGTATATTGCTTACACTCAGGAGAGATAAAATGCATTCAAAGAAAACTATGATACCGGGTACTTCTTTAGTACTCCCCTTTTTTTAATCCAGTCCACATTCATTCAGTACCCATTCACTCATGTATTCATTCATTTGTTCTTTCATTCATTCTTGATCCTATCTTTTCTTGTTTTATTGTACATGTAAACACCCCACTTCCTCTGCATTTGTATATTTCTCCTGAAATATAAAAAATCTGACTTCTATATAACAAATGTGGACAAAAAGCAAACATTTATTCACAGCCATTTTTGCAACTTTCAACAAGATTCCTTACTCCATCCTACTGGCAAATTTCTAGTGGCATTTTCCATCTTTAAAAATGCTCCATCCATTTTCTCATTTGTAAATTCATATACAAGACATCCTCAATTTTTTCTTTGCTTGTGTATAATATTGAATCACTTCCTGCAGAGTAGGAATGAGACATTTGTGGGTAAGAATGCTTCTACTTAGAAATGTTTCACACTCATCTACCTAGATTACATTTATACCAATAGATATAGACACTAAACAAGCTTGCAAAAGCCAAGTCAGGAATTCTGAGAAATAATGACTCACCACCATCACCAAACACAGTCCCACAATGTGCACAAAAAAAATGCTCAGGATGCCAAGTCTGATCCATAGCTGTTAGGATTTTCTGCAAAGAAAGCAAGAAAGCTTTACTGGAATAGTGTTACCGGTATATATGACAAAGAAAAGATGGCAGGCACGAAAGATATATACCCAGCTTGTCCCTACTCTGAAACAGGCAAAATTCAGGTACAAAGCTTCCAGTAGACAAACAGAAACATTTACATTAATGGGCAGATCATACAGGACAGCAGTGAGGTGCTGAATTGCAAAGCCATGGGAACTTTGCAGCCTATCTTGCAGATCTTTGGCTAGATGATCAGATTTGGCGAAAGAGGTTTTTACATCCTTAGTGCTGAAAGTGCAATTCCACTGTTGCTTGGGCATCTTTGGTACATGGAATAGGAAGGGTGGCATCATTTTATCTTTAGCCCCAGATAGCTAATGTTTAGGACCAGTTATGAATGTCATAACCCATTTCTTTGTTGGAGGGTGGTTCTGTTCTCTTTTGGTTTCTTCCTATGGGTTCTGTCATTCTCCTGGGGGCAGGGGAGAGGCTCTACGGATTGCATCATTTCTCTTTTTGCTTAGCTACAATGCATCCTCTCTGCCTTTCCTATCTGCTTGCTCTTTGAACTGTTCCCCCTTGATGTCAACCTGGGGTGAGAAAGGAATGTGCCTCCGGCCATCTGGCTTATCTCTCGCTATGAAAGAGAAGGTGCAAAGACCCAACAACATCTTCACAAGCATGGGAATGGACTCCATTATCAGCTCCGTTCCCACAACGGACTGAACACCTAGGGATTGGCTCGTTTGAACTGAATGGATCAACTATTGGGGTGGGGTTTGCTTGATGCTCCTTTAACCTATTGATCTGAGTGGGAAACCCTCAGATCCTGCCTTCTTTGCCTGCTGTCAGCTTCTCCTAATAAAAGTTCCTTTTGGAATGGAGTTGTTCCATTCCAGAAAGTCCTGCTTTCTTGGGATGAGGTTTTGAAGCAGGTCCTTACAATGAAGGCAGTTGATCATCAGATGGCAGAAACAGTGATTCATACCTCTTTGATAGGCGCAGTACAGTAAGCACAGTGAGGAGAGAAGAGCTGATGGTAGTCTTCTTGGCAGTAAGCTTTGTTGTCCCGCTCAAAGAATGGCCGGGAACCCATTTCTGTTCCACAATGAGCACATGTGAAGTGTTCAGGATGCCATATCTTTCCCAGAGCTGTAACCACCTAGAATTCATTAAAGGTTTAGTTGAAGATATTGGGTAAAGATACTTCTTTCTCTACCCAGAAGTTACATATTCTTAAAGGTGCTCTGTTTTACATCAATCTCCCCTCATTGGCTTAGCGAGCAATAGAATCTCTTTAGGCTAAGACATAAAGATTCTCAGTAATAAAATTGCAAAAGAAGATACTCTAATTTGCCTTCTTGGCTATACATGCCATGCAATTTAAAAGTGTGACAAATAAGCAATTGATTGTAGCAATCTCGGTGAGATTGAGAATGGTAAAAAGAGGAGATAACTAGATCCTTAATTCCCATGCCCATGCGTACCTTTCCAGCAATAGGTTTGTGGCAAAAGGCACAGTTGCCCTTCGGCACAGTAGTAACACCAAGGTCCTGCATATCATCAGTCAAACTCTTCAACATGCTGTCTAGGTTGTCAGTGGTATTCCCTTCTGCTGATGTTGACTGGCCAGAGGAGGCCAGGTCATCTGAAACCTGCAGGAGAACAAATAATTTGCAGTTCTCTATCTTTTTGTATAACTTTCTCTGCTTCCAGAACAGGTTTTTATTGATCTATCAACCTGCAACATCCACATGCTTTTATAAAACATTTTAGATGACATATAACTCTCACATATATATCCTCACATCTTTTCCTTACTGAAAAAAATATTTGGAACAAATAGAACCATACTTTTCCATTTGAATAGCAAATCTAAGAAGTCTTAATTATGTAATACAGTAAGGACATGGTTTGTGTTCTGTTTTATTTTATACACTCATCTGTACAAGGCTTTTCACTCCCCTAACTTCCTATGTTCAAACAACCAAGATAATGTTACGAAAACCCTGTCCTACAGTTCTTTTCCAGATCTGAAGCATAGGTAGTCAGGGAGGCTGCAGTGATCAAAGACATAGGACCAGGAAAAAAAAGCCAAGAACAACATGCAGTCATAAAATAAACTAGATATATACAGAAGCATAGGATATATACAACTATCTTGAGAAGTAATTTAAAGACATTCAGAATAATAGTACTCATGATAGCCTCCATTTTTACCTCTTAACTATTTTTAAACCCTGTACTCTCCCTTTATGATTTTTTTTCCTGTCAATGTATATTTGAAGTATGCAAGCTGACTTGAATGTAGGCAAACTGTAGACATCTTTCCTTAATTTATTTGTCAGTGTTTTTCAACCTTGGGCAAATTCAGTATATGTGGACTGCAACTCCTAGAATTGGGAATTTATTACTGCTTGTATAAACAATCAGTTTTCATTTCAAAATGTATTTAGGTTAGAAACCCATTATTCACCTTGGATTGGATTGTTCCTAAACAAGCCAAAAGATCATCCAGTTCCTGAGCAATTGAGGTAGAAGATGTTTGCTGTGGAGGTAAAATTTTGCTAAAAAAAGAGAAATATTTATGATCAACCAACTGAAAGGAATAAAAAGTAAATCTTTAAATTTATCCTGTCATTATATATAATACCTGCTCAAAAACCAACCCACTATTTCAGTTATTTACTTACTGATCTCAAAAGTTCATCTCAGAATGTGGCTCAAATGTATGAATGGCAAAACCTGTGATTTATTTGCTGTTCTATTGTATTTGTATTAGGCAAGCAATAATTCTGCCTGTCCTCTTACTGATTTCCCGTTTTCTATACAGTACAGACAGATTGCATGCATGTGTAAGACAGCCCAATTTGTGAAATGCTACAGAAATGTAATGCAATATGTGGGGACCACACATTTTCATGTCATTTAATTTATCTGTCTTTTGCTCATCATCCTTAAGCAATGAACTGGCAAATGAAAATATTCCTTTTATAAAGCAGTTGAAACTTTCACTATGAAGAAAAAACATTGAGTTGCAACACTCAACTTTTATGCTAATGTCTGATTAATTTATTAACTTTAAGCCACCCTAAAATTTTCTGGTTAGATGGCATAAGTGTATATTATGGACGATAATAAAAAAAAATCCAGTATAATTTTCACCCACTCTGAAAACCAAAAATTACATTATATACTAAATCATCCAGGGTTCTTGGAAATAAGGATGACTAATTTCCAGTGCTTTATATTTCTGACTCATAATATATTTACATTCAGCCTTCTGAGTATTGTACAGACAAATATTAAATGGTATTTAAAATACCAACGATTCCGTTTTGAAAATTAATGTTATAACTATCGGTTTGGTAATGTTAACCCTCAGAAACTGAAATAAAGTGACTCAATTGTAGCATCCTACTAGAAGCTGATTGTGAGTAACCTAGAATTAATGGCTAAGGAGAATTGATAACCGTTTGCATATATAACTGACCAAATACACTCTAGCGCACATTTTTTATTGGGCAAGTTCCATCTCATTCCAATAAGGTGCCACACATTCTATCAAAATGCAAAATGTGCCTTGGTAGCTCCAACCTATAGATAGGATCTATTGGATAAAAAAACAGACATTCTTACATTGGTAAATGTGCTAAGAAACCTTTATTTAATCCATGGGAAAGTGATTAAAATGTCATGTTACAGACTGGAAATGAGCTTTTTGTAATGAAACTGATCTTTCTAATTTCTTTAGTAAGCAGAGAGAAGTGAGGACAGTGACACAGCTTTAGAAGACATGAATTGCAAAACAGTAGAATAATTTGAGGTCTGTTTATCTTTTTTTCTGTAATAATAGTTACCTGTAAATATTACCTGCATCTTCTTTATGGGTTTGAACATTGGGTGCTGGTTCTACCTGGAAATATATATACAGCAGATTTGTGTAAGAATACTGCCTAAAGAAAATGCTTGGTTTCTGGTTATTATCATGCTGATAACTTCAGCCATTCAGAAAATGTTGCACTGCCCTGTTCTTCTAAAGCAGTGTTTCCCAAACTTGACAATTTTAAGGCATGAGGACTTCAACTCCCAGAATTCCACAGCCAGCGTTGCTGGCTGTGGAATTCTGGGAGTTGAAGTCCTCATGCCTTAAAATTGTCAAGTTTGGGAAACACTGTTCTAAAGCAACCTCTAGTCTAAACTATCATCTCCCATTCTGGAACCAGTTCTTCTACATATTGTAATGGTCATCTGTGTTCCAGGTACAAATTGGAGAGAAAGGCAAGCAAATGGACTTCTCAGTAAAGAATCTGTTATACATCAGAACAGGGATAAGCCAAGGGCTGGAAAAAATTTTCTAGTAGGTTCAAATTTGTGAGCACTTCCTTTCATAACTTTTAACTTCCTAAGACTTATATATTTTAAAGAAAATACCTTTTTGGCTTCTTGAGGTGTTGATTTTGGGTGTTGGGTAGGATGGCTTTCTGTTATTGCTGCCACTGGTTTTGGTTTGTTGTCGCGCTCCAGAAGAAAGCAAACATTTGGGTCTGAGTCATTCAAACTCAGGCTCTCTGTGGTTTGTTCCAGTTCTGCCAATAAAGCATCTAAACAAAACCATTATGGTTTAAATATTTCTGTCTTGTTATCTTAGTTTTCTACAAGCCCTTTGGTATGTGCATCCCATCTCACTGTGAATTCTTTGGCAGCAAAATAACTACTGAATCTGTAAAACTATAATATTGCTATTAAACATCTCCTTGATCTATGATGGTCTACGGTGGGGCAAACAGGAGTGCAGGAAAAGACCTCTTGCTATTCCAGACTGCTGCCACTATAGAAAAAAACAAACTATATCTTGTAACAGAGAGGCAAAAAAGAATTTATCATCAATTTAGGGATTATTCTATCCTTCCCAGAATAAATGTATTCACAGAAAAAGTTGGAGCCAAAAGCTAAGTATAACCAAGAGATGGAAACCCTAAATTACTATGATGCAGTAGAAAAACACAAGAAAGAGATTTAGCATTCACACAGAGTCATCCTTTTGTGTGTGAAGAAACAATGAAAAGCTAGAAACAGGAAAAACATATAAACTATGTACTTGCAAATTTAACCTATTTGTCTGTTTTAGATTGTAAACGCCATATATACTGGTAGCTTGAATGTTGATATATTGATTGAGGTTGACATGTGGTTGTTATCAAACCACTTTCATATCTCAATAAATCCCATTACTTTTAAAGGTTCTTCTTGCCAGTTATTTCTGATTACTTCTAATGAGGACTTGCAGCTATTTTTTAGACTGAAGAAATCTTTTGATAATATATCCTCACATCTGAAGACTGTAAAATTTTGATCTGGCTTGTAAATGCTGACTAAGAAGCAACTACATCATGTTGTGTAGGTAATGGTTAATCCTATAAATCCATATATATTATAGAATCAAAATATTTTAAAATAATAATGCTCGTACTAAATTTGTACACTCCCCAGCTCAACAATTCTGGATGTCTCGCAATTAAACAAAGAAATTACTTACAAAAAAAATCAATAAGAGATAGAGATAAAAGATGGCAAGTGTGATGAAGCAAGGGGTGTCACTCTCCCTCACCCAAAGGCCTGGGTGAAGAGCCAGGTATTCAAGACTTTTGTAAACAACAGTAAAATGGCGGCCATCCAAAACTTGGGAGGAACCACTACAGAGATGCTGCACTTCCAAAGCCCAGTAAATGACATTGTTTAATTGAAGGAACTCAGAGAGTGCCAACTTTGGTCACTACCCAGACTTACAATTTGGAAAGTGGGTGGTTATATAAATCAGTATAATAAATAATCAATTCTAAGCTGGTTTCTTTGATTTTTGTTTATCGTCCTCAACCTCTCTTTAGTTTTTACTACCGTGACCATTGTATTCATCTCAATTAGCATGGAACATTTTAATTCTGGATCAAGCTTCAGAAAAGAGTGCAGAAACTATAGGAAGTGTTTCACTCCTTTATCCCACATTATTAACAACGGTGTTAATAATTGTAACAGAACTGAATTGCTTGGTACCACAAAAATCTGCTGCTAAGGTATTGCACTCACCAAACTGAAAGTTTAAAAAAATCCTCCTGACAAAATTGGATTAACGAAGGCTGCTTATTTCATCTTCATATCATACCTCCTTGCCCACCAATAACATCGTGTAGCTGATTGCTAATTCCAAAATGATTTTGGTGGAACAGAAGTGGCACTTCTTTCCTTCCTAAGTCTCTTTAATATAATAATTGCATTTTAAAATACTGCTAAGTCACTATTAGTGGTATTATTGCATTACAAGGATGATAGAAACTATTTTTAAATCAGGAATGGGACTGTTGGTCACAGATTTGTTCACTTTTCATCTTTTAAAAAATATAAAGAGTATATAGGGCTACCAGCATGCGAGACGTAAGGGCAGGTTGGATATACCATAAAAAATGACAGAAATTATGATGGAATCCTTCTATTATTTCCTAATGTTGAAAACATAAAAAATGTGTAGTAAAATGTTACAGACTTCAAGAGAAATAGCTAGAGGGGTTCCAATCTCTGTGATATCTATGAGGACTAGCACAGCAGGATCAATATTTTCCTAGTTCTGCTCTGATTATGAAATGTTTGTTCTTTTAACAATTTACATGTTTTTCCCCTGCCTAAATATTCTTCTACTTATTGCACTACGTTATCAGGTTTTAAATATAATCTCATAGAAAAAAAATCCTGATTAAAAAATAAACTTCATCAGTTTCTGCTCCTGAGTTAGGTTCTTGGTTCCTCCAATATTATTTCAGTGTGGATTCACTTTTTCGCAAACCAACAACCAAACAGGTTGCTGTGGTTTACAGCAATCCAATCTTTATGGTTTGAGGAGGGAACTGTACTAATGTATACCCATCAAGCAACAGCTAAAGGCACAAAGCCTCTGCCTTGTGTTCAAGGTCTCCTTGCTGTCTTCAGTTTTCTGTTTCTCCCATTCTCCATAAGATGAACCTCTTTGGGGTACGATTACAAACCCATCTCTGCAGTCTTTATTCTTTTGCTATACTAAAAAAAGAATCACTTACCTAAATCATCCATGGCCTGTTTCCACTGGGTCTTCTTGCCCGAATCTCTAGTAGAGAAGCAGGCTTGTTGAGTAATAGAAGGGGAAATGAGCAAGATGGTGAAGGCGTAGGGCAGTACTTTGCACAGACTTTTTCAGTTCCTCACTCTAACTGCACTTCCTCTGTTTAGAGGTTAATGTTTCTTTCCTCTACTGTGGGTTACAACTTAAGCAGATTTTTCAAAAATTGTACTCAAATGGTACAAGAGAAAGAGATGTGTATCTGATATGATCACTGGGTAATCTTTCCTATAGATAGGAATTATTTCTCTTCACAGACACTAAAACACAGATAAAATACAAACTATACAACTTTAAAAAAACATTTATATCAGAAATGAAGCATATGTAGGCTATGTCCAGCAATTTCTAAAGCTATTGCTGTAGCACAAAATTTGCTCTTTTTTGGAAGCTTCATAGTACTGATCATTTAGCAAGAAATGTACAATTGCCTGTTGGAACAAGTCCAAACAATTCATGATTAATTTGTTCCTTCACAAATGATAAATAGCCCATTTTATGATTATATACACAACTGTCTTAATTTCAGGGTCTGAAAATATGCAAAGGGACCCTTAATAGCAAGCTGTGTTAAATTATCTCATCAACATCACTGAGGGCATTCAAGCACACTAATGTAAGCATTGTTCTGTTACAGCACAAGGATACACTAAAAATATTTGAGGATCTTAAAAACAGATGTGTGAGCTCATTATAATACTGATGTGAAATGTTAATTCTATCCCTTTGTATATCAAGATTTTTTTTTTTGCTTGACCTCAGTCCACACTTTACCTAAACCTAGCATAGAAAACTGGGGGATAAGTCCACAGTAAACCATATCAGTAAACTAGGTCAGATATAATTTGATTCCTCCAGAGCAGTGGTTTTCAACCTGTGGGTCGGGACCCCATTTGGGGTCGAACGACCATTTCACGGGGGTCGCCAAGCAACGCAATCCGCCATTTTTTTCCCCCTTTTCCTTAGCTGTGCTACTCCCTTTTATTCTATTGGCTTTTGAAAGCCAATAGAATAGACTCTCTTGAATAGAGTCTAATTCTATTGGCTTTCAAAAGCCAATAGGAATTGTCCAGGCTGTCTCTGCCCTGCTGAGCCCGCCAAAAGTCCCATTCTGCAAACGGTGCTGCACCAGTTGAGTAGTCCTCGACTTACGACCGGTTGAGTAGTCCTCGACTTACGACCGGTTGGGGGTCGCGGCATTAAAAAGGTTGAGAACCACTGCTCCAGAGGAAACTATGATTGGTCTATCAATACATGCTGGACTAGAGACTCACCGCCATATATTCATTTAACTGGAAGAACCTCAAACAGGCCTCAACAGAGACCTAGCCAAGTTCTAATGCAGTGGTTCTCAACATTTTTAATGCCGCGACCCCCAACCAGTCGTAAGTCGAGGACTACCCAACCGGTCGTAAGTCAAGACTACTCAACCGGTCGTAAGTCGAGGACTTTCCCTGCTCGGGAGCGCCGTGCATGCGTGGTGCTGCCCCCTGCACCGGCCGAGGCGTAGCTGGCAAGCGGCAGCGACGGCGCAGGCCAACCACCGGCTGGGCCACCAGCTGGCCCAGCCTGAGGGAGGTAAGGCACCCGCCGGGCCCCACGCATGCCAGCAACCCTGCCTGCACCCACCGGCCTCCCACCTCCCACCCCTGGCCCTCTTTTACTTACATTTTTAGTAGTTGCTCAGCAGGGAGGGGTAGAAGCTTCCAGACAGTTCACCTTCGCTGCAGACAACTTGCAGCAACGTTTGCAGAATGGGACTTTTGGCGGGCTCAGCAGGGCAGAGAGTCTATTCTATTGGCTTTCAAAAGCCAATAGAATAAAAGGGAGTAGCACAGCTAAGGAAAAGGGGGGAAAATGGCGGACTGCGTTGTTTGGCGATCCCCGTGAAATGGTCGTTCGATCCCAAATGGGGTCCCAACCCACAGGTTGAGAACCACTGTTCTAATAGGAAATGCATATTTGCAATTGAGCAAGGGGCTTGGAGCAGACCTCAGGAATTTAGATTAGGCTCCTTCTAGTGCAGTAATAGTTTTATCCTATATACACCCTATTTTTCACATATAGCAAATGATTTAGTATTTTAGCATTTAATAGTTTAATTGCTGTAGACATAGAGGTATCCCCTGTATGGCTCCATATCTGGTTACTGCACTGGAAGTTTTTTGTGCCTGTAGCATAAGGCTTCTAGATGGAAATTTCCAGGAGGCAGAGGACTGAAAATAAATGCCTAGATATTTGAAAGGTTTCATGGTTGCTCTTGTAAAATACTCCTGGTTGGCATGCCAAATTGGCAGATCATGCTTTAATTCTATCTTTGGAGCAATTTACAGTCCCTAACTCATGAAGTTAAACAAGTGTTAATTTCCTCTAAATTGTATGTGATTCACTCCATTCTTATATTTTGTTTTGATCCACTTGCACTGCTGATCAAGCTAAACATTGCTGCTAAACATTGCTGTTTTAAATCTGTTATTAATATATACCCCCGACCCACACACACATACTGTACATGTTTCACATACAATGACATCTGTAACTATTTTGAAGATTGGGTGCTTGAACTGACTACTTGGTTTCCAAACTTAGAAATGGTCCAAACATTTGGATGGCTTAGATGAGCTCCTTATATACAAATAACTAAAAGCTTTTCTCTCTCTCACTGTCCTGTGGATAAGGGACATATGGGGATGGAGATTAACTCAAAAGGTCATTAAATTTAGGCTCCTAATATTAAATAACTCAACTACAGGAGACTTAGAGAGAGAGGTCACTTTCTGGAATGGGAGAGGCATTCATATTCTTCAAAATAAGCTACTTTGCCTAGAAACTGACTATTTGCTGCACAAACCTAATGGTTGCCTATTTTCCAATATCAAAAGCCTATTAAGTTTTTTTACTAGTTAGAACATAGAACAGTGATAGCGAATCTTTTAGAGACCGAGTGCCCAAACTGCAACCCAAAACCCACTTATGCATCGTCGGGTGCCGGGTGGGTGTGGCCATTGGGTGGGTGTGACCCATTGGGTGGGCGTGGCTGCGGTGGTAATGGCAGACTGGGTGGGACTAAAAAGTTCAATCAATTAATTCCAACTTTGCAAGATCTTTTTTTCCACCGCAAGAAGTTGAAATTGACTGATTGATAGAACTTTTTTTTTTTTGCACACAGCAAAAGTGCAGCACTCTAACTGCACTTCCTCTGTTTAGAGGTTAATGTTTCTTTCCTCTACTGTGGAAAGCGAAAAGGTTTTATAAAGCCCAGCTGAAGCCTAGGACTGGGGCGACGGCACATGTGCCCACAGAGAGGGCTCTGAGTGCCACCTCTGGCACCCGTACCATAGATTCGCCACCACTGACATAGAATAATAGAATTGGAAGGGACTTCAGAGATCTTCTAGTCCAACCCCCTGCTCGAGCAGGAGACCCTATATCACTTCAGACAAATGGTTGTCCAGTCTCTTTTTGAAAGTCTTCAGTGATTGAGTACCTACAACTTCTGAAGGAAGTTATTCCATTGGTTAATTGTTCTCACTGTTAGGAAATTGCTCCTTAGTTCAAGGTTGTGTAGGAAGTCAGCCCCCCAGAGAAAGAAATATTAAAAGGGCAGAAAAATATATTTCCTCAAAGGATTTTAAAGAGGCAGAAAAGCATGCCCAGTTTTCTTAATAGCCCCAAGTCTCCTTCCCCCAAGCAGAAACCAGCTCTGTACAAATGAAGATGTAAATAATCCAGGAAGGTTGGAAGCCCCCAGCTAGAAGATTAAGAAGACAAAGACACTGAAAATCTACATACCTCACTCAAAGTCTAAGACAGGACATAATAGTATTAACTCACAGATGCTAAAGGGCACACCCAGACTCAGGTCAGAATACATGACATAGGAAATACAAAGCCTCAAACAGGAACAGGAAACAACTCCAAACAAAAGGCTCCAGAGGGTATAAAACCCCACTCCCTACATGTGTTCGCTCTCTTTTTTCCAGAGCCATCTTCCTGTCTGGCTCTCCTCTTCAATAAACTGCAACCTTCTTTCTAAAGCAGTCACCATGTTTATTCCCAGCTTGGACCGAACCACGATGAAGACTTTTCTTTCAACAGTTGCTTCTTTTCTTGGTTTCCAACCAGTGTTTCTTGTCTTGCCTTTTGGTGCTTTGGAAAATAGTTTGACCCCCTCATCTTTGCAGGAGCCTCTCAGATATTGGAACACTGATATCATACACCTCTAGCCCTTCTTTTCATTAGACAAGACAAACTCAATTCCTGTAACCATTCTTTGTACGTTTTAGCCTCCAGCCCCCTAATCATTTTTGTTGTTCTTCTCTGCACTCTTTCCAAAGTCTCAACATCTTTTTTGTATTGTGGTGATGAGAAATGGATGCAGTATTCCAAGTGTGGTCTTACTAAGGCTTTCTAAAGCAATATTAGAACTTCATGTGATCTTGAGTCTATCCCTCTATTAATGCAGCCCAGGATTGCATTGACTTTTTGGCTGCTGCCACACACTGTTGGCTCATATTTAAATGATTGTCTAAACTCCCTTGTAACAAGTGCAGGAAAATTGTTAGTGTGTGCTAGTACTTTTTAATGACACAAGGGAGATCTAGACTACTCTAGATATTTTCCAGAATATTCTCACCTCAATATAGAAATATCTAAAGCCTGCTTCTGTGTCTGTTCAGAATGTCCATAATGAACACAAGAATGGTGAAAATTGGCAGCATCTTGCATTGATCATCATTTTTTTCAACTAGCAACAATATTTCATAAAAACACTACAATAAAAGTTAGACGTATTAATGGCAAAAATTGATTGAGGCTATCCCAATGTCCAAAGGAGTCCAATGTCCAAAGGAGCCAAAAGATATATCCTGGATCCCTACAATATGACATCTATATTAATGATTCACTCTTTGTCTCTAGCTTATAATCTAATCTCCCAATATATGTTGATGATAGTGCTGCCCTTTCTGCAACCCAAGTGGATAACTATTCTAGAGGAATTAATAAATTGAATATGTATATAAAGAAAGTTGTTCAGAAGGATGCTATAAAAAAGAAAAATGTTGAAAAGATTAATTAGACAAAAATTGAAGAAATACACCACACACTGAGCAATCTTTGGGATAATATAGCTTATTTAAAACTGTAAAGAGAGAAAAGAAGATTAAGAAAGTCGGGAACAACCTATGATGAGGAACAAATTATATTGCTTTATAGTTTTTTTAAAGAAAAAATAGAAATAATGCAAAATAAATAATACATTCTAATAGAAAAATGTATTAGCAATGATTTAATGTATAAAAGATGGGGATTAAAATTTTAAAATATGTTAATACAAGAATTACTAAAGAACTAGAAATGGTTAATCAAAATTCTTAGAAACTAGTACTTTTGCATTCCTTCCTTCTTTGAAGTTTATCTATCCTTGGCCATATTAAAATTTGGTTTCATCTAGTGCACGGATATCAAATTCGCCACGTCACGTGACGTGTTGCGACACATCATGACTCTTTTTGCATTGCCGGCAATGGGGTGGGCGCGGCTTCAGTATGATGAAACTGGCCTGTGGGCCGGCAGTTTGACACCCCTGATCTAGTGATTTACTACTAAATTCAAAAAAGACAAAAGCCTTGTTAATGCAACATTTTATAATTTTCATTCAGTGAACTTGTTACCAGCCTTCAGTAATATAAAACAATCTGTATTATTTAAATGGGCCACTGGGTGTCAGAACTCTACTATAAGAGTAATAAATGCACAATTTTTGCATATATCCTGCCTGACTTATGCATCCATCTATACCTAGTTTACTGTCCAATACGAGAAGGCAAAACCAGCATTCACTAAATATCCATATTTTAGCTCATATTGTGCATATTTGTCCATCAATGAACCATTACTATGAGGGAGGAGTTGAAAAACCACAAATTCTATTTGTTTCAAATGGCAGCAAAATTTCTGTGGAGATAGAAGAGAGGCTGGGATGAGACAAGTTGAAACACGTGTAACAAATGGGATAATGACCGACTGGTAAGATAGTTAAGCTTTAACACTGCAAATAGCATCATCATCTTTCCTGCAATGGTAAATACTCTGCAGCTGAGTCAGAAATAAATCAGCTCAGCTGGTGAAATAAAGCAAAGGCTTGAGATCACACAGGTGCAGAGTTACTTCTAGAGTAGTGAAAATGAGGACTTTTTAAAAAGTGTATCTGTTATTAAACAGTAAAGGAATTTGCTCCTGCTTTCCATTCATTTTTACTATATGTAGCTATTGTAAAGAATTTTCTTTGCCTTTAAAAGCAGATTGTATTGAACCAACATAGATGCTTGGTTCATTACGCATTTTCAAAGCAATATAGTGAGAAATAGCGTCAAACGCTTTATTTTAACACTATGTTCCGTAATACTTGCTTCTCGTATCTTAGATTCCCCAAAATGCATTTGTGAACCTATCAGTCGCCTCAAAGAGATCAACAGAAACTGCACCTTGAAGTTTCCAGGGGCTTATGTTCTTTTTTTTTTTTTTTTAAAAACTATAACTCCCATAATGCTTTCTTGGACATGCGCTGACACGCGCAAGACGAGAACGGAAATGCGTGCGTACTCCATAAGTCCCGCCTCTCCCTATCGGACGCCATTTTGTCGCCGACTTTCACCCGCCACACGACGGTGCTTTTTTTTCTTAAAGGAGAAGCGACAATGTTTTTTTTTTTTTTTTAAATCCCCTGCAAGTATGAAACACCGAAAACTGCGGTCGATGTGAAAACGAGGAAACAAGTTTCTGGAAGGTACCTCCTCTCTAACGTTTCACTTTTGAAAATAGAAGCTCGGGGATACCAGACCGGCCGGACTGCGGGGCGTATTGTGAGGAGGAGGAGGAGGAGGAGGAGGAGAAAGTGGGGGGGGGCGACGGCAATAGGACGAGCGATACTTCTAGTTTTATTGCGGTCACTGCAGGGCAATAACTGTTCTGGAGTTCAAGATAAAGCGCGTGGGACATTTACAGACGCCTTTTCTGCAGGGCAACGGAGGGCATTTAATTTGGCGCGCGGGAGATAACTGCTAAAACGGCTCAGTTATGCGAAGCGCGCGCCACGGCCAGAATTCCGACAGCACACCCGCGCGCGCGCGCGCGCGTCCCCGGTGAACCTCGCCCGCTGATTGGCCTGTAGAGAACCAGCCCGGCTTGCTGCTGTTATTGGCTACATTGGGAGAGAAGTGGGTGAGGTGTGTCTTTGCATTTTTCTCCTGATTGGATGATACGGAGAGCACTTGTATCCTGTTTGAACTCCGAACTCGCTCTTGATTGGACAAAGTCACGCGAGGGGCGGGAGCTTCGTGGAAGAGGCGGAGTGAACGGCGGGTGCTGCTGTCAGAACCGGGGGGGAGCCGCTGTTGGGGCTTCCTCCGCTAGCTGCTCTAATGCCGGGGGCGCCCGAGCAGGCGGAGACCCAGGAGGAAGAACAAGAGAGAGAAGAGGAACGGACTCCGCCTCCTAGCGGCCGCCGGCGTCCCCTGCCCCCTCCCGTAGCCTCCACCGAGCAGGGGGCGGAGTCTAGCGGCAGTCGGGTCCTCCGTGGAGGTCGGGAGCGCGGACGAGCTGCAGCCGCGGCAGCGGCCGCCTCCCGCCGAAGAAAGGCCGAATATCCGCGTCGGCGCCGCAACAGTCCCGGCGCTCGGCAGAACCAAGAACCGGAGGAGTTGCTGCCTGCACCCGGGGTTGCAGCTGGAGCACCTCCGTCAGCCACTGGGACTGCTGGTAGAAAGGGCACGCCACGCAGCTCGTAAGTATCGAAGCCGTTCGGTGCTTTTGGGAGGTACTGTAGAAAGTTTTTGGCTTTAGTGGCACGGACGCAGTCTCTAACTTTCCACTGCAGAAACTTGCCGGTAATATCAAAGTAGGATTTAATATTAACTTTTCTCCGGTTATACACTAGAGAGGCAGTTGCCTTCCAGGTTTGTTGTAAGTTGGCTTGTTTAGAAGGGTATTGATTGGTGGATACCTTTAACTCAATTCTTGCACCCTAACTAAAGTTGTACTAGCCTTCTTCTTCTGTGTTACTTTTTTCATAGACATGTATTTTTCATTCCATGTAACATCAGTATTTTGCCTTTTATCCACTACAGTAAGTTATAGAAAAATGTTGGTACCTGTTTGTATAGCTTTAACCAATTTTCAGTATAGCTGCATCTTTATTTAATATAAGTTCCATGTATCTAGTAAACCTCAGAGTGAAGGGTCCTAAATTTAGATTTTAGATTAGAAATAATCTAAGCTTTAGGTTAGATTATTATTTTTATTAATTTGTTAATAAATTTATAATATAAATTATTTCCTTTATATAAATTATAAAGAAAATAGGAAAGATAGAGGAGGGAAAAGTGTAGGAAAAAGAAAATGTATTGACTTCCAACTCCCTTTGGTGCAGTAGAATAATAACATCAAATCTCAACTTTTTACTTTTGCATAATAGTATAAACTAGCCATTTCTATAACAACAAACCTATCTAATAGGTAAAACCCAAAATCAAAGTTTCATTTTTTTCGACCTCAAGCACAAAGTCCAGAAGCTGTTTCCAAGTAGAAACAAAAGTAATTATGTTTTTTCTTTAATCAAAGATGTCAGTTTAACCATCTTGGGTTAAACATCAACTTTTGCAGCCATTCATCCATTGTGGGTGGGGAGAATATTAAAAAAAAACAGATTTACATACCTATTACATTTTTATTTTCTTGTATTATGATAGAGGTAAGCATCTTTGATTTCTATAGGCCTCGTTTCTATGTGTGTAAGGTAGATGCTAGAAAAATACACATTTAGGAACTTTTATAAGCATCTACATCTTAATATTGGGCATTGTGCTAATTCACATTGTATGTTTAATTTCTATTTCAGGTGCTTGGATAAAACAACAGTGAAAGGTAAGATTTAAATTAGCAGAAGGATGGATGGTGATTGTTAAGATATATCATCAAGGGTCAGGAGCAATGAACATAAGATAATTGGATGTGAGCGCTTTTATATTGAGGTGTAGAGAAAAGCTTGTGATCCTGCTAATGTATTAATTTGCTATGCTTCTGACTGAATCCGTCTCTGAGATTGAGATGATCTGGAGAAGGAGATTTCAATCATCCGTTCCCATGATCAAATAATTCCTTCATCTCATTACAATTCAGTACTTCTCCTGGCCTTTCTGGACAGTGGAATCCATTTGAATGGTCTGTCTCAGACAACTAATTGGTTTCTAGCAGATGCTGGGGAGTTTCCTGACACTCTAGAAAGCAGATCTATCCACTGCTTGATACATAACTAGCAATAGGACATGTTGCTCTGAGCTTGATTGCCACAATCTCTCTTGGCAATCAATTTCAACTGGCGGCTAAGTTTTCTGCAGCTCTTTGGGAAGTAAAATGACATCTGGAGGAAATGCCAGTAGAGGAAAACAAGACGCTAATCTGGCTGAGCCTGGGTATGTGCCCATGTTCAAGCCTACACTGTTTCAGGAAGGAAGGCAAAACATGCTTATTTCTCTCCCTTATTTCATTAATGGTTTGCCATTCAGAAGCCTTATTTAAAGTAATTCCTTTCTGGGAAGAGACAAGATGAATCTCTCACATCTGGCTGCTGTGATTAATTTGCGTAGCACTTTGCTGATAAATTGAATTGGAATCTTTAATAGTGACTATAGCACCATGTTATGAAGTTTGGGACTCTTTTTGGTCTGTGACATCCAAGGAAGTCTAGCTTTTCATTTATAATTCCTTCTTGCCCCTTGCCCATCCTGGCTGTTGCGAGGCAGCCTGAATCCATAAAATTGTCAATGCTGTTTCTGAAGAGGACAGTTTCTGTCAGTGTTAAGGAAGGAGGTGGCATTCCCCCCTCCCTTAAGAAACTGTCCTTGGAACTATGGGTTTAGAAAACAACCATTCTGTCTCCAACCTTCCCCTTTGAGAAAGGATTGAAATAATTCACTGAATCTGAATCCTCTGATAATTTGAAGTAGATTATCTGGACCCCTTTCAGTCTAATTTTAGGCCTGGACATGGAAAAGAAATACAACCTTGATGTTGGAATTTAGATGAGATTAGTGCACTTTCTTCATCCTTTTGGATCTCCAGGTGACTTTTGATATTGCCAAACGGTTTAGTGTTTAGTGTTTTAAGTGGAGTACCTATGGAATTTTGTGATTGGACACAGTTTTTTAGTGGTTCTACTTCATTTGTTATAGGTAATTTTAATTGGAGAGGCAGTGAGGGGTTGGCTTGGTGTCTCTGATTTATGGTGTACAACAGATATTGGTCCTCTCTCCCATATTTTCTAATATCTACACAAAGTCTAGTGCAGGGGTAGGCAACCCAAAACACTTAAAGAGCCACTTGGACCCATTTCACACCAAAAACAAAACACTGGGAGCCGCAAAACCATTTTGATATCTAAAATGAAGATAACACTGCATATATCCTTTTTTACCTTTATTATAGGTGTGTGTGTGTTTGTGTGTGTGTATGTGTGTGTGTGTGTATATATATATGTATATGTATATGTATGTATGTATGTATACACACACACACACACACACAGGTAAAAAAAGGATATATGCAGTGTTATCTTCATTTTAGATGTCAAAAGGGTCTCTCTCTCTCTCTCTCTCCCTCTCTATCTGCCCTTGGTCTGCCACTCCTCTTCCCCCGCTCTCTTTCTTTCTCTCTCTCTCTTTCCTCTCTCTCTCTCTCTCTCTCTCTCTCTCTCTCTCTCTCTCTCTCTCTCTTCTCTCTCTCCTCTCTCTCTCTTATCTGCTGCTCACCTGACAAGCTTCAGGCTGTTGTCCAACAAGATCAGGGGTAGGCAACCTCGTCTCTTTTATGACTCATGGACTTCAACTCCCAGAATTCCTGAGTCAGCCTAGCTGGGCTAGCTAGCTCTCTCCTGCCCTTCCTGCTTCCTGCAGAGACGCAGCAAAGGGAGGAGCTCCGCCCAGAAAGCTTTTCAGCTCCTCGGAGAATACTGTGAGTGCACTCTCTTTTACACACACACACACACACACACACACACACACACACACAGAGAGAGAGAGAGAGAGAGAGAGAGAGAGAGAGAGAGAGAGAGAGAGAGAGAGAGAAGCAGGGAAGCGCAATTCCTCTCTCTGTCTCTGTCTCTCTCTGCAAAGGCAGAGGAGGCTGGGAGCTGCAGGGGAAGACTCAAAGAGCCGCATGCGGCTCCGGAGCCGCAGGTTGCCGACCTGTGGTCTAGTGGGATAGATCATGGTTCAGGGTATGCTGATGACATCAGCACCATGACTATAAGGCAGTGGTTCTCAAACAGTTTGGTCTCAGGACACCTTTACATTTTCAAAGATAGAGGACCCCCAAAATTTTGGTTAAGTAGTTTATTAACTTTATTAGAAATTAAAATGGATAAATTTTAAAATATTTACTTAACTAGACTTTGGACCTCCCAGGGCACCCCAAACCCCATTTAAGAACCACTGCTACAGGGGAAATGCCATTGACACCTTGTCCAGTGCTACGAGGCAATAAAAGTCTGGCTAGGAAAAAACAGATTAAAGCTGAATCCTAGTAGAACAGAATTACTGTTTTTGCATTCTCTGCTCTGGATTCTCTGTTGATGCTAATGTTGTCTCTAGATGGACAGACTACTAGCCTTGAAAGAGTAATTTTCTGTTTGGTGTTCCTTCTGAATTCGTGTCTTCTCAAACGGCAGATATAGGCTGTGGCGAGAGAAAACTACCTAGCTTTGTATGGTGCACCAGTTGCACTCTCACCTAGTGCTAAAGGACACAGTTACAATGACTTCCTGATGACATTGCAATTGCTTTAATATAGTTGTTCTTTGAAACCTAAAACTGGACCAGAATGTGATAGACAAGAGGTCCCCAACTTTTTTGGCACCAGGGATCGGTTTCACGGAAGACAATTTTTCCATGGACTGGGGGAGGAGGGGGAGGTTTCAGGATGATTCATTATATTCTAAATTTTCTAAACAAACAAATAATGCACTATATTTCTATTATTATTAGTATTAGTATTATTACATTTTATCAGATTAGACCAGTGATTTTCTGCTTCTAAGAAAGTGGGAAGGCAAAGAGGCAATCCTAAACTCAGCCTTCCAGCAAAGCAAAGCAAAGCCCCAGCATGTTGAGGAAGTGCTGAGAAAACCATTCAAAAAGAGAGGGAGGGCTCTGTGCAAGCCCAGCAGCCTTGGAAAAGATGCAGATGAGAGAGAGAGAGAGAGAGAGAGAGAGAGTCCCTTGGAGACACAGTGCTTAAGGAGAAATGTAGCTTCTCCCCTCCCCCATTGCAAGCTGGGTAGGAGTGCGCTTGGCTTGCAAACTTGAGAGCTGCAGGAAGAAAGGAGTGTGAACACACGCAGGCGCACACACACACACCAAATTAAACCATGAAAAGCAGACAGGAAATTGCCAAAACATCAGGCACCTGAAGCATCATCAAAACAAAGCAAAAAAACTCAGATTATTATTATTATTATTATTATTAATCATTGCACAGTCAGCCAGATGTTCAGACTGGATTTGGCATTTTGTCTATCGAGTATTATTATTATTATTATTATTATTATTATTATTATTAAGACCCAGTGCTTAAAGTGAAAGGTAGCTTCTCCTTGTCCCTATTTGCATCCTGAGAAAGGACCCTCACAAATACATACCTTTCCTCTCCAATGGGGTTTTGGGGAAGCCCATGGGTGCAAGCTGGGCTGGCGCACGCTTGCCTTGCAAACTTGGCGGAGCACGAGCCCAGCTGGGGTGTCGGAAGGAGGAGAGGAGGAAAGTGAGAAAGAAGAGAGAGAGGAAGCAGGAAGAGGAGGACGAGGCAGAAGAAGAGAGAGCACAAGAAGCAGGAGGAGGAAGAGGAGGAGGAAGGACGCTGAGGTCAGAAGTTTCAAGCCGGTTGCAAGCGCAGCCGCTGGAGAATCTTTGCATTGAGCAAGCCGGCTTCTGCCCTGCTGCTCTCCCGCCCCTTCCCAGATCCATGCAGACTCACTACATGCCTCCAGCTGTGAGGCCTGGTTCCTAATTGGCCAAGGACGGGACTGGTCCACGGACCGGGGGTTGGGGACCCCTCCTTACCAAAACTGAGAGAATATAACACCAATTTTGCAAGTCCCTCACTGGTAACCAGTGTTAATTGTATCAGTGAGATACAATTTAAGATGCTGATATTGACCTATAGACAGCCAGCTTGGTGTAGTGATTAAGGCACGAGGCTAGAAATCAGGAGGTAAGTTCTGATCGTGCCTTAGGCAGCGGGTGACCTTGGGCTAGTCCCCCTCTCTCAGTCCTAGAAAAGCAATGGCAAACTACTGCTGTAAACCCTTTTTAAGTAAACTGTAGGGACTTGTCCAGGTAGTTCTCAGAGATTTAAAAAGAACTGATTTGAAACCCCCCTCCCCCCCAAAAAAAAGATCTACAAAGCTCTTCTTAGCTTGGCACTTGGGTATCTACAGGACTGGTTTTCCAACTCCAATGGCTCAACTCATTGTCTTTAACAGCAGCCTAATCTATGGTTGCCATAAAATTATATTGACAATACGGGCAATCCTCACTTTCCAGCTTCTCATTTAGCAACTATTTGAAGTTATTTAGTGGTGCTGAAAAAAGGAGTTTATGACCAGTACTTAAAGTTGTGACCTCTGTATCATCTCCATGGTCATGTGATCACAATTTGGGTATTAGCATTTATGATGGTTGCAGCATCAGGTGCCCTTACCTTTACAGCCAGCTTCTGAAAAGGCAAGTCAATGGGGAAGCTGGCAAGAAATTGCAAGTTGCAATCACATGATAGCCTGCTTAATGACTAGTGATTTGCTTAGCGATCACAGCTGGAACATAAGTTGGAAGTTGTCAGGTGATATTTCACTTTATGACAGAGTTGCTAGTCCCAATGGTAGTTAAGTGAAGACTACCTGTAATGAGTTTTTCTTGTAGTTGAATGAATGCTTGTTCATATACTGTGTTTCCCTGAAAATAAGCCCGGGTCTTATATTTATTTGGGCCCAAAAATCCATTAGGGCTTATTGGAGGGTGTCTTATTTTTTTCACCACAAGGCCCAGCTGGGCTAGCGCCCCACCCCATCAGGCAACTCAGGTTTCCCTCAGTGTGGGAGGAAGGCTTGGGAAACTGCCTTTTCATTTACATTCATCAATAGTGTAATCCGTCCCTTTATTTTTCAAAAAATGATTTGTATTTACCACGATTAGCCTCCTTGATGGCCAGTAGGAAAGCGCGGTGTGAATTCTGCGCATGAGCTGCGGAAATACAGACACTTGCACCCTCAAAGCTTATGACGCTTCCTTGCTCAGGAAGCACCACTGCTTTACGTGAGTGTTCAACTTTGTGGCTCAGCTAAACAGCTGCGGCAGGCCGCAGTTCCCATCAGCTTCAGGAAGCCTGGGCAATGGAAACCTTAGACCAGGCTCCTCGCAGCTGAAGCAGTCCGGTTTGCCCGGGGTCAGGTTGGCCGTTACCGGAGGGGTGGCCCATCCCTGTCCTCCAGCTCCGCTGCACATGCTGGATGAGCCTCCCACAACAGCCAACCTGACCCTGGGCGAGCTTACAGGGAGAGGCTGCGCGTTGCAGGAGGACGACTACAGAGGGTGGATCCCTGGAGGCTCCGAGCGCTGTTTGGGTTAGTTCCATTTTTATGAGCTTTTTAAGGTTTTCTGCCAATTATATTTTAAAACTTAACATAATTGCTACTTTTTTTTCACAGAGTAATGTGAAACATAATGTTACAGGTAGTCCTCGAGTTATAAGTGTAATGGAGCCTGCCTATTACACTTGTAACTCGAAAACTCATAAAGTGACCTTGTACTTTGAAGGAGATCACTCCCTTGCTCGTTAAAACGCACGCGGCTCATTAAGCAAACATGAGGTATCTCAGGATGGGGAAGGCCATGGAGGGCCTATTGATGGAATAGGCCCCCAAGGCTTCCTCGACCTACTAAGATACTGCACGCTTCCCCCTCCCTTCCTGCCATGGCAGACTCACCTGGAAAAGATCCATCTCCTCTCTGCTGCCGCCTGGATCTGAGGCTGTTGAACACTTCCGCAACCCACCACGGCCCAATCCGTATTCCAGAGGCCTTTTCCAGGCTGTTGCTGCCCAGATTTGAGGCTGGGGAATGCTTCAGTACCCCCCTCTGCAGCCCAATCCAGGCTCCAGAGGCTTTTCCAGCTGCTGCCACCTGGATTTGAGGCCGATGAACGCTTCCATGCCTCTCCATGGCTGGATCTAGACTCCGGAGGCTTTTTCCAGGCCACTGCCTCCCAGATTTGAGGCCAGGGAATGCTTCCGCATCCCCCCCCACTGGCCCAATCCGGGCTTCAGAGACCTTTTCCACGCCACTGCCACCCAGATCTAAGGCTGGGGAATGCCCCCTCCTTCCCCAGAGGCCCGATCTGGGCTCCAGAAGATTTTTCTGAAGAACTATTCATGTTATTTTCAAATTAATAACTCCTGTCTTTTTGATCAGATATAGTTAATTACAGCATTTTGCCCACTTGTGACAATTATTCTGAGTTATTTTTCTCAAAATATTTAACAAGTGCAGCCTCTCTTGCTTTGTTAATTATGATCTGGATAACATAGGCTAATAGGATCTGAAACTACCAGTTGCTCTGTGGGACAAAGCCCTGAAGATAAAGAAACGAGACCTTCTTAGATAGAATTTTCCTTCTGGCCCTGATGGGAGCCTCCTAAAAACCTGCTTGTTCTTCAGAAACAAGCAAACAAATGAATGGCTTTGCCTTTCTAAGAGAGATAAATACTTCTTTGATCTGTTTCAGCTCTTTGATATTAAAAACTCAGAAATTTCCTTTTGTGATCCAAGTGTATTTTATATATATTTATATCACAGATCCCAAAGAAGAAACAGAGGAGAAGGAAATTGGTGGCTCAGTCACTACAACTAAACCCAGCCGGAGTTGGCGTAGCAACAGGGCTACTACTACCGTTCAGCAATGCGATGCAGAGAATTCCCGGAGTTCCAGATCAAAGACTGGGTCCCTGCAACTCATTTGCAAATCAGAACCCAATTCAGACCGGCTAGAATTTGGTATGATGTTTTTTATTACTGGGAAATAAAACAATAGTATTCTCAATGAGTCTGTGTAAAATGTATAATAAATAAATATAAAGTCACACATGTTCTATTGTGCCAAAAAAGATTGTTAATAGAAAGATAATTTTGGTTAATCACATGCAACAGAATATATTCCAAAATTATTCACTGAGCAATATATACATTATTTTACTGTGATATTTGTCTTGAGCAACTTTTTCCTTTATTTCAGGATTTTTCCAAGCCTGATCGGGCCGTGAGGGGGGCTGCAGAAGCGTCCCCCGGCCTCAGATCTGGGCGGCAGCATTTTGAAAATGGCCTCCAGAATCCACATCGGGGTGCAGAAGTGTTCCCCGGCCTCAAATTCGGGCAGCAGTGGCCTGGAAAAGGCCTCTGGAGCCTGAATTTAGGGCGTGGAAGCATTCTTCAGCCTCAAATCTGGGTGGCAGCAGCCTGGAAAAGGCCTCCAGAGCACAGATTGGGCCGCTGGGGGGCATGGAAGCATTCCCTGGCCTCAGATCCAGGTTGCAGCGGGCTGGAAAAGGCCTCCGGAGCCTCAATCCAGCCTCCAGAGAGACGTGGAAGCGTCCCCCAGCTTCAGTTCCATTCTCTGTTGCAAAGAACAGAGGCCTAAAGTACCATGAGATCACACGAGATCAGTTGCGTGAGATCTCGCCCCACTGATCTCGTGTGATCTTGCATTACTTTAGGCCTCGATTCTCTGAGAATGCGCCAAAGTCTGGAGCAGCCAAGAAAGCGAAGGATTTCGATCTTCGCGGGGAGAGTATTGAAGGCCTGGCGCCTAGGGAGACCAATGGGAGGAAGGGAATAACCAGAGTGAATGTTGCAAAGCCACTGCTGTCGCTCTTAAGGGCAAACGACTGCCGTGGTGCTGCAATATTCATAACTTTGGGACTTGCTCATAAGCACTAGGGGGCGCTCATCACGTATCTTTGAACTAGCATTAAGTGACGGCTTGTAACTGAGGGATTACCTGTATAAGACATACTCAGATCTCAGAGCCTTTCTAACACTTTCAGTTATAATATTGTAGCTTTTTTTTCAACCCATTTTTTTTAACCTGTTTCTTATGTAGCCATTCCATTGCCTTTCTGGTTAATATATTCATAATCCATTTATTTAAATAAAATACAAATAAATTATTAAGGTATTCTAAAATAAAACTTAGAAATTCTATTGCCTTTAAGATAAGTTATATGCTGTATTCTTTTGTGGATGTGGGGTGGAAGGATTGATCAGCATCTTCTTGGACTTGCTGGTTCTGCTAGCCAGTTGAGATTTGAAATTAAATGCCGCTACTGTAGTTGATTTCAGGAAGACTTTAGCTTTGTATCCAGGTAGTCCTTGCTTAATGACCATTTGTTTAGAGACTGTTCAAAGTTATGACACTGAATAAAAGTAACTTACAATTAGCACTCGTACTTACTGTCACAGTATCATTGTGGTCATGTGATCACAATCAGGTGCTTGGCAACCAGTTTGCACTTACAACAGTTGTAGTGTCCTGCAGTCATAATGATTGCCATTTGCGACCTTCCCAGCCAGTTTCCAACAAGCAAAATCGATGAGCAAAATCAGGAGACACAAGTCAAGTCAAATGAATTCTTATATCTTAACCATAGCAAAAGTCATAAAATCAGGACCAGTCACTTAATTGCTGCACTGCTTAACGATGAATTTTCCAGCCCTTATTTGTAGTCATGAGTTGAAGACTACTTGTAAATACTTATTTGTAAATGCTAATAAGGAATTGGTGATCAGCAAATTGAAAGTCTTATTTATCTGGAAAGCAAACATTCAGGAAACCAATATAGAAGTTAAACATATTTTATCTAAAAACAAAGCTCCCTTTTTATACCCCTGTAATCCCTGAATTCGGGGTAGAGTTTGGGCGATTGGATGGAGCTGAGTGTTTACTGGCCGGATGCTCTTACTGACGCCATGCAGAGTTCGCAGCAGCTATTTTTTCTTTGCACCCTAGGAGAGAAACATCTGCCTGTTACCTAGGATTCAACTCTCAACTTTCAAGTGGGAGGCAAGGGTCTTCACCACAAGGCCACCACGCTGCTCTCTTTATCTAAAAAAAAAAAAAAAAAAAAAAAAAAAAATTGAATAACAAACCAGAAGCTTTTTGTAGAGGTTTTTTTGATTGTCTGCAGTAGCTAAACCTCGCTGCAGTAGTATTCAGAATCAATTTTTTATGATTTGTGTTTTGCAATATTGTTGTGATGCATACCTTAATTAGGGTGGGTAAAAATTTAGAAGTAATTATAAGCTTGAACTTTATTAGGTACAGGTAATTTGATACAATTGACAAAGTTGTATTAGAATGTTATGTCCGGTCTTGGTTATATTTAGGTAACAGAAAGAAGGTGTATAAAATAACTATTCATGTTATTTTCAAATTAATAACTCCTGTCTTTTTTATTAGATATAGTTAATTATAATATTCTGCCCATTTGTGACAATTATTCTGAGTTATTTTTCTCAGAATATTTAACAAGTGCAGCCTCTCTTGCTTTGTTAATTATGATCTGGATAACATAGGTCAGGGGTAGGCAACCTCGGCTCTTTTATGACTCATGGACTTCAACTCCCAGAATTCCTGAGCCAGAGCTGGCTCAGGAATTCTAGGAGTTGAAGTCCATGAGTCATAAAAGAGCCGAGGTTGCCTACCCCTGACATAGGCTAATAGGATCTGAAACCACTAGTTGCTCTGTGGGACAAAGCCCTGAAGAGAAAGGAACGAGACCTTCTTAGATAGAATTTTCCTTCTGGCCCTGATGGGAGCCTCCTAAAAACCTGCTTGTTCTTCGAAACAAGCAAATGAATGAATGGCTTTGCCTTTCTAAGAGAGTTAAATATTTCTTTGATCTGTTTCAGCTCTTTGATATTAAAAACCCAGAAATTTCCTTTCTTGATCCAAGTGTATTTTATATATATTTATATCACTGACCCAAAAGAAGAAACAGAGGAGAAGGAAGTTTCCACTACTGCGACAGCTGATGCCTCAGTCACTACAACTAAACCCAGCCGGAGTTGGCGTAGCAACAAGGCTACTACTACCGTTCAGCAATGCGATGCAGAGAATTCCCGGAGTTCCAGATCAAAGACTGGGTCCTTGCAACTCATTTGCAAATCAGAACCCAATTCAGACCGGCTAGAATTTGGTATGGTGTTTTTTATTACTGGGAAATAAAACAATAGTATTCTCAATGAGTCTGTGTAAAATGTATAATAAATAAATATAAAGTTACACATGTTCTATTGTGCCAAAAAAGATTATTAATAGAAAGATAATTTTGGTTAATCACATGCAACAGAATATACTCCAAGACTTTAAAAGCAAAATTATTCACTGAGCAATATATACATTATTGTATATGTATATAATATACACTATTATATTTGTCTGGAGCAACATTTTCCTCTATTTCAGTTTAGAGGCTTAACATACATCACTTTAACACAGTAGCATATCAATATACGTTTGTATAAGTACTGATATGTAAGCTTATCATATTTCTACATCTAAATGTCTTTCTTTTTTAGAAGTTACTGAAGAGCATTCATCTCCAACTAGAATCAGGTAAGCAATTATACAGTTGCTGGAAAATTAGTTAGGATACAAAATATCCTGGTTCATAAACAGTAGTTTTTAAACTATAAAATTGTCCTTGAGTTGAACTTAATTCTTGGTGACTGATTGGTCATAACCATGTAGTTTTCTGGACAGTATTGCAGAAGTGCCTTAGGATTGCCATCTTCTAAGATGTTCTTTAAGTTTTGAGTATAGTTTATGGTATTTAGTTCTCTACCCAAGTAGTAACCAGGCCTGATTTCTGCTTAGCTTCCAAGTTCAGATGCCACCAGGTGCTAGGAGAATAGAAATTCAGTGAAACTTCATTTTGATCTTTTGAGGGGAATGTGTGTCTGTTCCTAAATGATTATTAAATACAAAAGTATACCATTGCTGAAATTTAGAGAGTGTTACCATTATGCAGGTAATATAAAATTATATCATTTGTGGCAAAATGACTATATGGAGATTTTCAATCATCCAGGTCATGGTTATCCCAAAGGTGTTTTTTCCAAAAGACAACTGGACTTTGTTAGTTTTTTTGTTTGAAAATGTATTGCTTCTCATCCAAAAAGCATTGGAAAAAGTACCTTTGGGATCATATGTGGCAATATTTGTCATATTGATGACATGCAAATTGTCACATGTAAATTTCATGAAATGCTTCATCCAAGATACTTTGCATTCAAGAATTTGTGTGTTATTTCTGGAGGCTGTCAGGATCATAATTTGTTCAGTTGCATTTGAGGAATGCTAAATGAGGTTCCATTAAATTGAGTCTTCACTTATATAATAAATATCTGTTGAAGTAGTGAATAGATTCATTGTTATGGGAAAGAACTGAGTTGCAGCATATACAGCCCAGGAGTTTATCTTGTTAAAATGATTTAAAATAGTAGTGTACTCAATAACCAGATGAACACTTCCTGATTTAGGGGAAAGGTTGTTTTTAACTCCAGGATGTAGGGGTGTGTGTGTGTGTGTGTTTTGTAAACTTCAGTGACTACATATTTCCTGAATAAGGAAATCCCATGGAATGAACACATAATCAATGAATTCTCCTGCAGGACTATTGTAGAATCATTATAGTGCAGTTTCATAGGAACTCTAGTGTCAGATTTTCTCTAACATAAACTTGACTCTTTTGAAATTACAGAATTGTTGAACGTATGTCTGCTGTATCTGAGAAAGCTTATTCTCTGGAGTCTTTAGTGCTCTCTGAGCTTGGTTGTTTTCATGCAGTTCTTTCCTTGTCCGTCTGGGTAACGTCTTTGGTGCTAGGAGGGAGTGGGGTTTGCAGCAGAGAGGACTCTACAGCGGGGCTTTTCAACCGGTGGTACGCGTACCACTTGTGGTACATTAATGAGTGGCAGGTGGTATGCAGCCCTGCCTAGCCAAGTGTAGTGGGGGAGGGAAAGAGCCAGCACAGGCAAGGACTTGCAGTGAGAGAGTCCTCTGGAGCTGCAAAGGCCCCAGGCTCACTTCTGGCTCACCCTCCCCCATGAGAAAGGAGGAGGGGGGCGAAGACAGGAGAGCCTATAAAAGGAGGGAGTTTGGGCAGGAGAGGAAGAAAGAGAAAAAGCAGCAGCCTTGGGAGGAGGTGGAGTCATCTGCACAGAAGAAGAAAGGAGGAGGAGATGATGATGATAATGATGATGATCAAGCAGGCTGGCCATGAGCCTATCTATAACTGCTGTGGCAGCCACCTGTGCTGGCAGCAGTAAACAGGCAAGAAATGCAGCGGGGGAGGGGTCGTCCTCCAAGAGGAATGAAAAACAGGTAGCAATGGCCGGAGGTGAGGCACGAGGGAGGGAGATGGAGAGTGGAAGGATTCTTATGTGCTTTTGTGATTTTGAAGTTCTGGGATTTGTGCACTGTGGGTTTTGTGTTCTTAAGAAGTGTTTGGCAATTTCTATTTGGCTGATGTCTCGTGTTAGCGTCTATTGCTCTGCTGTTGTTAGCTGTACATTTTGCTGCAAGGGATTTTGAAGTATTTTTCTCCTGAATGGATTTTGCCTGTAGCATTCCTTTACTTATGAATGGAGCCATTTGGGGAGGCTGCCTTAGCCGGCAGCCAGTACTTATATTTTTTTCTTCCTTAAATGCTGGCTGCGCTCTTTACTTTCCTTTCTAGCCAGTAGCTAATTCTTAAAGGGGAATGTGCCTTTTTAAGCTAGTTCACTCAGCAGTTTGTCTTTTCTGTCTCTGGAGGCCTTTCCTTGTTTGATCAATATATGGATGAGGGAAAATTTGAGGGGGGGGTTTCAAATTCTTCCTTCAGAAGGAGATGGGAATGAGAAAAAGGGAGGCAGGGAAGGGAGGGAGGAAAGGAAGTCCCACCTTAGCACTTGGCCACCAGCAGCTCTGCCATTGACTTTGCTTGTCAAAAGGTTGCTGAAGGGGATCACATGAGCCTGGAACACTGTGACCATTATAAATATGAATCAGTTGCCAAGCATCCAAATATAAATCACATGACCCTGAGCATGCTGCAATGGTCATAATTGTGAAAAATGATCAAGTCATTTCAGTGCAATTGCAACTTTGAACAGGTGTTTTTTTTTGTTTGTTTTTTTGGTCATCAAATGTTTGACACCTTGCTAGGTGGTACTCGAATATTGCCATATCTTAAAAGTGGTACAATCGGTAAAAAGGTTGAAAAGTGCTGCTCTACAGTTCAACCCTTAGCTGAATATATTCTCTTGTATTGAAAGCTTATTCCATTATATCAGGATCTTATTTCTTTATACCTGTTGTGGGAAAAATGTCCAGAAAGATTCAGGTCTGTGTTCTAGTGACACTTGCATTATAACTGACCGTAGTAAGCTGATGTCTGTCTGTAGGTATATAAATATTCTAAGCTGATGACAAGCTCAGTTGTGTTTTTTCTTCTGTGCATAATTATTGCCCAATATTTTAGGAATACAAAAAGATGTCTTTACAGGCTAAAAAAAAAATGTTAGAAAGTAAATGTTCTGTTTATATTTAGTAAATCATGTTGTTAAATTAATTGAACTGTTGCTAATATGATTCCTTATTGGATGAATATGTCCTTTTTAGCATATGTCCTGGAAAAGATCAGTTTGTATTAATCGAGGGCTGGATGCTAATACATTCGTGGAAAAATGATATTCAGTATTTTCCCTTTTCTTTCTCATTCTCAAGTGATGAAGAAGAAATGCTCATCAGTGAAGAAGAGGCTCCCTTCAAAGACGATCCTAGGGATGAAACTTACAAACCTCATTTAGAGAGGTGCTCTATTTTATTTTCAGTACAGAAAGCAATTGTATAGGCAGGGGTAGGCAACCTTGGCTCTTTTATGACTCGTGGACTTCAACTCCCAGAATTCCTGAGCCAGCATGGCTCAGCTTGGAAACCTCTCCCTTTGCCCTCAGCATAGCTGGCTCAGGAATTCTGGGAATTGAAGTCCACACGAGTCATAAAAGAGCCAAGGTTGCCTACCCCTGGTATAGTCACTTCAAAACAAGATGGGTAGCAAATAAATGTAATTAATTATTGTCAGTCTAGCCTGTTGAAAAATAATAAACTATCTCATTGGTAGAACTCTTAGTATTCTGTTATGTTTCTGCTATTATGGGCAAATAGACTATTTTTAAATAATTAAGACCAGGACTATGCATATTTAAAATTGCAGTTATGACAAATACCAAAAAGAAATTCATGTTGAACTGTCTAAAAACTTCAGTATGACTTTTAATTAGAAAGTGTTTATGTTCTTGGATATGTAATATATAATGGTTATCTGCAGAGATGCTCCAAAGCAGAGGAAAAAAACTGGGAAGGGAAAAGAAGAAAAAGAGAAACAGAAAGAGATTAAAGTGGAGGTGGAACTTAAAGAAGAAAGTGAATTTCGAGAAGATGAGGATCCGCCTAGGAAGTGAGTATCTGAGTATTAGAGGCTGTGAATTAGTGTAGCCAGTCCTCTAATCCTCAGTAATACCAAGACTTAGAAAAAAAAAACTAAAGGCCTGCCAATGCTTTAATTATAACTGGAATTCAAAAATAATTCTTATGTCTTTAACTTTATACGAAATTTGTAATTAAACAGTTTTGTAGATTTTTAGAGAGAGGTTGATTCCCTGAAAACTGTGGTCCTATTACTTGTGGAGAGCATCCATTTGGGGTTTTTAGGATCCAATCTGGGTCAGTCACTGGGAGAAGTTTTTGTCTTTCGAGCTTTTGGACTCATGCTGAAGACCATCCTCTGGGAATTTCCCTGTGTGCTTTGGGCTGTTCTGTGTGTGGTATTTATATGGTGCCTGTTGTGTGTAGCTTTATAGATGTAGACTGGGGTGTTGATGGCTGGCTATTAAGTCTTTGGCTGTTGTTTCCTCATGCTGACAAGCCCTTGCCTCCTAAGTACTTGATAAACTGGGGGTAAATCAACACTCTTCATTGAAGAGGGGCACATTTTCCAGGCTTCAATCGCTTCCTGGGCTGTTTTTGTGCCTGCTCGTCCAACAATCTTAGTAGTTGCAAAATTGAAAATATGTCCTTGTTTATGCAGTGTGAGGCTATCAGTAAGTTTGGGTCCCCTCTCATCCCATCCCATCATATAGGATACAGAATAATGAACAAGATATGAGAGGCAGGTTGAATCGTAGTATTTTTTTTTCCAGATTTTTGTCACAGTAAGAGCAGTTCAGCAATGGAGCATACTAGTTCTGGATGTGTTGAGCTCTCTTTTACTATATATCTATTCAGATTGAGAGACTGTGCAGGGCAACCATTTATCAGGAATGCTCTATTCCTACATTGTTCTGGGGATGGTTCTTGCTGGGCAAAATACCCTTCAGTTCTGTTGTTTTATGACAAGATGGGAGAAATTTATGTAATAATATATGAGATTGGCTAAGGAGCCAAGCTGTTCTGCATTGTAGAGATATTGTACTGCTACAATGAATCTCCAGCATGTAGGGAGTGATATACCTGGTTGCTTGAGAATTAGATACATTAAAACAGGTTCTGTGCACATTAAATAGGTACATATTTATGGAAATAAGATGATTTGTGTAGAAACTAATTTCGTATCCTTGCATTTTCTTTAGTGGTGGATTTTGGTATATTTGTGTATTGTATAACTTAAGAATTCAGTTACACATGTGCAGTTATGCTTTCATTTTCACGTTTCAGGAGAGGAAGGCGGAGAAAAGATGACAAAAGTCCACGACTTCCTAAAAGAAGGTAAGTTGTTTTTGTATTGCTTAAAAAGGTAATCTAGTACAAGTCCAGTTATCTAATTAATAATTATTTAATAATATATTCATCTTTAAAGGGCCTTCTCTGGCTTTTTCTTAGTTTTGTGTGAAAGTAATACGATAGCAAATAGATGTTAGATGCCTAGTTCATCACTATTTGCAAAAAAGCCATACCTTGGGTGATACCTTTCTAAACTGCACTGCAAGCCTGCATCTACAGATCTTTCAGTGTTATGAATATATTATATTTTCAGGAATTATTAAATTCAGTCTTCCTATGTATTGTTAGACATGATCATTTAGGAAAAAAAGCTAGAAACTATACAATTTATTACACCTATAATTGAATTCATAGCATCAAAACTGTGTTGAATAAGTCACAAAAACATAGCAAATTCCATAAAGTTGATAGCAAGCCAACAATTTAAAGGGATAATTTTCACAACTTCTTGTTCCCAAGAACTATATTAAGCTCTGTTTGACAATTTAATCTTCTAAAGAAAGGGCTGAAAAATTGTGTCGAACAAAGCATAAACAGAATCAATGTTCTTTCTTCCAGTGGATTTTAAAGACTGCGTTTATTTTAAATTATTTGTATTTAATATGTATTATATATTAATGAAGAAATTAAACCATTTAATGTGGTTTTTAACACTGATGAGCTCTCGCAATACACAAAATTATTATTAGAAAGGATACTATGTTACAGGTAGTTCTTGCATAATGACCAGTCGCTTAATAGTTTAAAGTTATAATAGACCCTCCAAAAGCTACTTATGACTCAGTTCTGGAGTTGTGACAGCTGCACAGTCCCCCCCCTCCCATGGTCACATGACTACCTTTTAAGCATATGGCAACTGGCTCACTTATAGTCGCAAATTGAGAGCTACCTGTATATAATATTTGTCAAAGTTGTGCTGTTTTCTCTTTATTGCTCATCTGTGTGCATTTTAGGAAGAAGCCTCCAATACAATATGTACGTTGTGAAATGGAAGGATGTGGCACAGTTCTTGCACACCCTCGCTATCTACAGGTAAGAATAATATTTACAAGCAAAGGAAGGAAAAAGAGATGCCCTTCTTTATTCTCTATAAATTTCTTTTTCTGTTTTGTGGACTAGCCTAGAAAACATTGCAACAATTCTCTGATGCTCCGAATTCTAAACACCCCAAATCCCAAATGCTTGTTTCATACCATGGCATGACTTACTTTTCAACCCTGTTCATGATTCTTTCTCCTAAAATGCTAAATTGTAACTTATTTATTCTGGATACCGTTCAAGGTTGATTCAGCCTGCCATCCTTCTGAGGTTGGTAAAAATGAGGGCCCAAATTGTTGGGGCAAGATGCTGACTCTGTAAACTGTCCAGAAAGGGATGTAAAACACGGTGAAACTATAAGTCTTAAGTGCTATTGCTACTTTTTTCATAACCTTTCACCTCTTCTTTTTCCCGCTCTGCTATTACATTTCATTAATTTTATTATCAAATCCCACATTACACTAACCAGGATTCCTTGATCTTGTCCTGGTTTGACATTAGTTGTACCCAAACCTTTCATTATCCACCATATTCATTACATGAACTATTCATTTTTCTTTATCTGTTTTTCTTTAGCATTTGAATATGCCATTTCTTTTGCAATTATTAATGTATCTTCCTCTGAGTTCTAGACTATTGGAAAGTACCTTTTATTCTCATAGTTTCAATATTCTCTGAATCTTATTGCAGAGTCTAGATTCAAAAAATTTCACAAAGATGAAAAAGACCTTCATTGTTAGATTTTTTTAAAAAAACTTAATTCAAACTTTATTTTGCTATTTTTAATGCAATTGAATACTCTTTCCAAATTGGTTTCCTTTATGTCCTACTTTTCTGTGATTTTGCTTTATTGAGTTCTCTTCATTTATATTTAAGGAGTTGAATCTTTAATGCTCTTTCTGTATACTTTGTTTCCTTAGTCGCTTTACTCATTTTCTGTGTCCATTGAAAACTTTGTCACTAATCTGACTTATTAAACAGAGCCTTGGATTTATTGACTCCTCTCTCCCTCCCCCCCCAACTCTTGTTGCTTCTCCCTGCGCAGCATTCCAAAAATACAGCCTTCCATTCTTTTCTTTCAGCAAAATTCTTTTTTGTGTCACAATAATCTTTTACCTTGACTATTGCAACCTTTCTGGTCTTTTATCACACTTTCATTCACTGACACACATCCCACCCAGCACTGAGTCAGTTTGGTTTAATGGTGAAGGGGCTGGCCTAGAGTTGAACAAATATCTATATTTTTAAAAGTGGGATAATCACAAGTACAAAGACCTGCAAATAGAAGTAGAATATCTATAGCAAAAGACAGCTAGTACCAATAGTAATAGGTGTCTTGGGTGTAATCCCAAAATACCCAGAGCATCATTTGAATACCATTGGCATTGACAAAAATCAATATCAGTCCATTGCAAAAGGTAGCTTTACTTATAACACCTTACATCCAGTAATGATACATTTAATATTCTTTAATAACATCTGCCTGTCTCAAGTCCTTAGGAAAGACTCAATAGCTGAATAAAAACACCAAATCCAGTTTAAACATCTGGCTGACTGTGTGACCAAACATAATAAAATTCTCATCATTCTGAATAACTTCAATTCTTACATCCCTATATTGCTACTCATCCTCTCACAGGTCCTGCATTAACTTCTTGTCCTAATCTTTAAAGACTACCACAATCTTATAATTTTTCTTTTTTAGTACCTACAATATTTACCTTAAGGGAAAACTGTCCCTTCCCCTCCCCAACAAGGGGGAAATAGCGAATGATTCTTTAGTTAAGAAAATGATAATGAATATATTGGACTATAGTGGGTTTACGGTAATAAAGTATTGATGTTATAATTTTGTATTGTGCCTAGTTATAGATACATGGAAAATAAAACTATTGCTATTGTTTTCTCTGTGTAGCCTTGAGTTCCAGACTTACTTTTAATGGGCTATTAGGGAACAAATTACTGGTCTCAAATTTTCCCAGAAGCCTTCACATAACATACCTCATCCTATATCTTTTTGTAGTATTTCCAACTATTTGGGATGTTAGGCACTGGAATTTTGGGAAATCATGTGGGTGCTACAAAATTGGTGGTATTGGGATGTGCCCCTTCACAAAATGGCTATTGTAGGCATGATCCTTTAGAAAATGATCTTTTTATAGTCATGGGCCTAAAAGTGAAATAATTCCAAAATTTGGATACTAGGTAGAGATGATGTCTAAACCTTAAAGCTTCAATTCTCTATATTTCTTAGTCACTTTCCAAATTCTTTGTAATATGTTCCTATTAAAAGAGCCAGTTTAATGTTGTGATTAAGGCATCAGGCTAGAAACCTTGAGACTGAAATCTGCTTTAGGCATGAAGATAAGTGAATGACCTTGAACCAGTCATTCTCTCACATCCTTTTGAAGTCTTCCCCAGAAAATTTGGCCAGGAAGTTTCCAGGAATCAACATTAAGTCAAAGAAACCAAAAGAGAGAGAAAATGTTCCTATTCTACAAAATCTGTACACATAACATTTCCAGCATATGTTTTTTAAGTTCTTCGTGTTTTAATCTGTATATTTATATTGAAATATAAGGTGGCTATTAGAATATTAGATGTGTTTACCACACTTTTGTATTAAGTCGCGGGTAATAAAAATACAGAGTTTTCTTTGTTTTCAGCATCATATCAAATATCAACATCTGCTGAAAAAGAAATATGTATGTCCTCATCCCTCTTGTGGGAGACTTTTCCGGCTCCAGAAACAACTGTTGCGGCATGCCAAACATCACACAGGTAATACGGATTGCAAAGAAGATCCCCACACTTTCTCCTTAAGGAGGAAAGTAAATTTCTTATTAAATAGCCAAGTCTTTAGATATAAAATGCAAAGCTGATGCAGATTGCTTGATGACAGATACACAGATGTTCTGTGGCTATATTTAAAATGAGTATGACTCATACTGAAGGATGCAGTTAGGGTGTTACTGCTTCCAGTCTTTTAATATTTCCTTTCCTCACTTCTTTTAGCACTGATAGAGATAAGAATAAGTTACACTGATTCTGATCTTCATAATATAAGAGATATTACGCAATGAATTATTTGCAATTGATATAAATAAGGAGAATACAGCATAGGAAATCAGGTAATTGGAGTAGACTGCTTATTTGACAGAAGTCACTTTTGACAAGCTTGGGCAGTACTGTCTACCTTCCTTGTTTTTTAATCTTCCTGTTTCAAAATCAGAACTCCCTTAGGTAATATATGAATAGTTTGAAGGAATATAAGCAAAAAGGAACACATTTCCATTAAGATATGTGTAGCTGCTTTTATTAAACTGGCAATCTCTTGGTGTAAGCTTCAATTTCCATAATTCCATTGGTATATGAAAAGCAATGGTCCCACTGTCATTGAACTGTGAGCATTATGATCCTCTGTACCTTCATGTACTCTGAATGAATATATGCTTTTATTGGCAAAGTGTGGTGGAATCACCAGCTAAAGGAGAGGGGGGAGCAAAGAGGTACGTCAATGTGGAGTTGCCCCATGACAGGAAGTGTTATAGATCAGACTAGTGAAGCCTTATCTACTGGTTCCCAAGGGAATTCAGCCAGTCTGGCAAGACTCTTGTAATATAGATGACCTACAATAAAGACTAATAAAGGAGAGTATTTGTAGCTTAGGGTTGAATTGAGGGGTCCTTGGTGCTCTCTTGAGTTTGGTTGTTTTCTTGCAGACATTTCATTACTGAAACTGGGTAACATCATCAGTGCATTGATGCTGTTATCTAGTTTGGGTAATGAAATGTTTGCAAGAAAATAACCAAGCTCAGAGAAGTACCAGGAATGCCTCACTACAATAAAGAAGCTGCCTTGGCCTATTCAAAGAGTTCTGGTTCCTTGTGCCTAACACATACGAACGAATAATATATGTAGATCTTTCAAATATAATGAGAAAGATTTTAATTTATCTCCCTTCTTTGGAGAATGAAGAAAAAACTAGAATATATAAATCTCAGAATAATGGGACTTTTTTCGTAAGATTCTACTTGTATTTGAGAAAAACTTCCTCATCACTATTAGAAAATCATAGTTATCCTTTTAATTTAATCAGTGAAGCAGTCGACGTGATGTGCCGGTGCCTGGAAGATGTGAGGGTCTGGATGGGGGTGAACAGGCTTAGACAAGACCGAGTGGCTCTGGGTCTTGCCTCCCAAAGGCCAACTGGACGGTCCATCTTTAGTCCTGGGGGGGGGGCAAATTTACCTCCCTCAGTGCAGGCACGCAACTTGGGTGTCCTCCTGGACTCACAGCTAAATTTGGAACAACATCTATCGGCTGTGGCCAGGGGGACCTTTGCACAGGTTCGCCTAGTGCACCAGTTGCGGCCTTATTTGGACCGGGAGGCTTTACTCACAGTCACTCATGCTTTACTCACTTGTCACCTCAAGACTGGATTACTGTAACGTGCTCTACATGGGGCTACCCTTGAAGGGCGTTCGGAGGCTGCAGTTGGTTCAGAACGCAGCCGCGAGAGCGATTGTGGGCGCGCCAAGGTACACCCACGTATCACCTATCCTCCGCGAGCTGCACTGGCTTCCTGTGGGTCTCCGGACGCAATTCAAGGTGTTGGTTATCACCTTTAAAGCCCTTCATGGCATAGGGCCAGGTTACCTACAGGACCGCATTCTGCCGCACAGCTCCCAGAGACCGGTGAGGTCCCATAGATTGGGCCTCCTTCGGGTCCCGTCGGCCAGACAATGTCAGCTGGCGGGCCATCGGGGAAGGGCCTTTTCTGTGGTGGCTCCGACCTAGTGGAATCAACTTCCCCCCGATTAAGAAAGCCGTTAAAATGGCAGGCCTGGGGCTGATGTCCCCGGGGGGGCGGGATATGATCGGACTCGCGGTATGATTGGATTATTTTATTGTTTTACGACTGTTTTTAATTTTGTACGCCGCTCTGAGTCCTTTGGGATTGGGCGGCATATAAATATTTGTAAATAAATAAATAAATAAATGATTTAAACTATTAACCTTAATGCTGTGATTAGGAACATAGCAGATTCCTATTGAATGGATATGGATTTGGATTAGATTCAGGTTTTGATGTAAAATACTATGTGCTGCTTTATAGATCAAAGAGATTACATTTGTGAATACTGTGCCCGTGCTTTCAAAAGTTCCCACAATCTGGCAGTTCACCGAATGATCCACACAGGGGAGAAACCATTACAGTGAGTAGTGTCCTTGATTATGAGGGATTAAACTAGCTCTATCAATAATTTCTTTTCCTTTACATTTTTCAAATATTATTCTGATGAATGAATTGTCCTCTGCTCCCTCTCATTTTTCTGTAGATGTGAGATCTGCGGATTCACCTGCCGGCAGAAGGCCTCATTAAACTGGCACATGAAAAAACACGATGCAGATACCTTTTACCAGTTTTCATGCAATATATGTGGAAAGAAGTTTGAGAAAAAAGACAGCGTTGTAGCCCACAAAGCCAAGAGTCACCCAGAAGTGCTTATTGCTGAGGCACTGGCAGCCAACGCAGGGGCTCTCATTACCAGCACTGACATCTTGGGTTCCGATCCAGAGGCTATTGTCCAACCCACTGATGGCCAGGGCCTCCCCCTTCTTCCGGATCCCATTGGAAACACCACTCCTGGAGAGTGCCTATTGCTGAACTCTGATGGGATGCCTAAGGCATACTGCAGTGGGGGTAACCGGGTCAACCTGATGGCTGATGGAAAAATATTTGTTGGCAGTGCTAGTGCTGAGAATACAGAAGGGCTGGTCATCAATACAGAGATTCTTGGAGCTACCACTGAAGTTCTCATTGAGGATTCTGATTCTACAGGACCTTAGTGGGAGAGGAGCACATGTGTATTGGGACAACTTGAACTTGTATTTAAGAAAATAAATGGGGAGAAGCAACTTATTCAACATAGAGAAACTAAACATAAATTGCTAGTCAGATAACTAAAGGACCTGCCCCCTGCCCCTTCTGCCCCAGCTCACCCCTTTCTGGCAGAGTGGATCACTACACTACATTTTTTTTTTCACTCGTTTCCTTCTTGGAGAGGAATGTTGCCTTTACACAGAGATTGATAAAGCAAAAGAATTCTTGCAATGCATGGGAGGGAAGCAGCTAGAGCCTATCCCTCTCCCAGCTCTTCCAAAATAAGCAAACTTCCTGCTTCTTGACCATATTGCAAGATTGAAAATGCTTACACTCTGGACCAATATTTCATTCTTGAAACTGTATTCTGTTCCTCCAGTTGTATCAACCTGTTCTATGCATTACTAAATTCTGACCCTTGCAAGCTCTTACTTTTCATTTTAGGGCTTGGGATATAGCTTGGCACTTTAGAACCCCTCCTTAGGATGAGCTGTAAAACAGCATATTTTCCCCATATTTTGTATCTTCCCATCCATAAGAAAAGAGAAGGGATCTCGAAATGTTGGTGCTTGCTTTCTGAAAGAGGAGCGCCATCTTTCTATATAATTGCTCTGGTGCAAAATACATATGGGAGAATCAGAATGGGTGCTAGGCTTATAAAAGAAAACTTGCACTTTGTACATGTCTTTTTTTTTGTGATGAAGTCCTTATTTATTTGCCTTCTTAAAAGGGGTCTATTTTAGTTGCTGTCTAGAGAATGTTTTTGTTTCAAAAGTGAACATCCTACGAAAGGGATATAAAACAGAATGGGCTTCTTCAGCAAACCATGTTTAGGAATTCTTATTCAGTCTGAGTGAAGGAAATACTTGTGGAGCAGGATAGGTCTTTAGCACCTCTAGTGAACTGTGAGGCTCCTGTTTGCTTCAGCATTTATTGTTTAAGGATGTAATGGCTGTTCAAGAAAATGATGTCATATATTCCCTCACTAACTAACTTCCTATTTGCTCGCTCACACTGTGGTGCTTATCCTTTCTCTCTGACGTTGATGGGCTAATGCCATTAACAGGAAGCTTTGTCTTGAAGAAGTTATATTAACTGTTTTAAAGAGCCTTGGCTGCTAACATGCTCTGCCTCGTGAGACTTTGATATAATTCTTCAAACTTCATTTAGGGACATTATTTGATTTAGAGTGGTAACAGCGCCAGCTTTACTCTGCATTATATCCACTATTCTCAAATATATGCAATTGTTTCTGTGGAATTTGACTTATCACCAGACAGGTCTAGATTTGGAAGGGAATAGTGTTTAAAAAAATATAGAAATACCTTAAAGATATATTTAGCACATGATTTACATAAACTCTTCTCTTACCTGAGAGCTTATGATGGTACAATATCCTGGTAGTACTTCTCTGTTAATGATCTGATATGTTCATATGATCAAGAAGTAAAATGAATTTCCAATTTAGACTTTATTCTGGAGCTGTATCCTGTATAGTTCTAAACCCTGCTATGTAGTGCTAGCTGGCATTAAGTACAATTATTCTCAGCAGATCTTTTTACAGTGCTAATTATCTGGAAGGAAGACTTATAATTTGTTACATTGAAACCAAGAATCAACTGGGTCTAAAGTGAAGCAGTTACTGCAGTCCATTACATACTTTCTGTGACTCCTGCCTGGATGCTTGGCAGCCATTCAGATATATAACGTGTAGGTGTCATTGCATGCAGCTCAGGACTGCATGTTCCGCAAGACTGCTACTGCTACAAATTGTGTGATTAAAATTGATGCGAGAAAAGTATTGGGAGCCAAAAACGTGTACATACTACTGAGGAAACTGACTTCTGTCTCGATTACAGTATGCAGTATTTTGCTAGCGTAATGAACAAATTACAATATGAACCCTGTTTTGCAAATTACTTGAAGTATTTATTCTGTTTGGCTATCAATCTCTTGTCTGTTTCTAGCCCCCCCCCCTTCATTAGATGCAAGTGTGGTTTTATTAAAATAACAATCTTATATTTAGCCAGGATAGCCGTCTGCACTCTAGGTGAAAACTTCTAATTTAGATTTGTGATGACTATTTATCAACCAATAATAATTCCTTTAAAGTTGTTCCCATCATAAGCAAGCAGTTTCAATTACAACTGCAGCAAATTATTTGTATTTTCTTCTAGTAAATTCCTCCCCCCCTCTTTTTTTTCCTTCGCGGGAAAAGCATGCTGCTGGGAATTGAACTTGTATAATTTTCCCTCTACCAGATGGATAGTTTACAGTAACTCATTTAACTTTGTTCCACTCCATATACAGTTCCGTAGTCTAGTAATATCTATTAGCTCACTCTGGTTCTCTAGGAGTTGGACTCCTTCCTGTTAATATTAAAGGATAGTTCATATCACTTTTTGTCAGAGGTTGACAAAAAAGACCTTTTTTTAGTCATGTGAATAAGAATTCTCTTTTTAGCCCTTTATTTTACTACAACCAATATAACTGGTGAGAACACGAGGCTTAGATGTTCTTCAAGGACTAGTCTTCTATTGTGTGAAAAGTACTCCATCTACTTCAAATAGTTTCTGAAAAATGGCACAATGCTGAAGTTTTTGCAGCTGGAAAGAATTGTCAGATCTCTGGTAATATGGTAGTGAAGACCAGGGAGAACTGTACTAGCATTGTGAATCCTACCAGAGAAAGGACAGGATTTGCAATTTTTAGCAGAACTACCTGAAGTAGTAGCCACTGAGTGGCAACAGACCTGTGTTGCATTGTGGCACACCCTATTTTTTAGAGTTAAATAACAGATGGTTGAGTTAACAAGTCTTTGGTTCCTTAAAAGCCTTGTGTACAAAATTTCCAGAAAGCGATAGTGGAAGTTTAGATGGGGTGCCAGGATGGAGGGGCAGTGATCCATGTTCATAAAGGTTTGTGTATACAGAAGTAAATAAAACAATTAAAAGGGATGCTTTGTTTTTTCATGTCATGTCTTTAAATTCAGGAAGCCATAACCAAAATAAATACTTAAAGGGAAAAGCAGTCTGTGTCATGTTACATGCCAGCTACATGGGAAATGTTCACAAATGAAATAGCTTCCCACGCACTGCTGTAGTGCAGGTCTTTCTGCAATGCCCTGCTGCAAAAGATTGCCTTTGAAAGAAGCAACAATAGGCTGACCCTATTTAAATGGTTAGTTAATTTGCTTAAGGCCTGTGAAAACACCTGTTAATATATTATGAAACTATCCCAAAAAGCATGCATTACTTTTGGAAGTATCCTGAAAAGTGGCTGTGTTTGTAGGGTTAAAGCGCTACTTCATTCTTCTAACAAAAGAGATACTCTGTTCTCTCCCATCATGATAAATTTAATATTTCTATATCGATCTTCAAAATCTTTGGAAATGTTTTGCTTCCAATATAGAGTTATAGAAAAATTGGGTTACAGAATTAATATTGTTTATGATTCAGTATGCTATTTTAAAGATCAAGCTTGAAGAGAGATAATCGTGGCTGAATAATTCTTATGGAGCTATTAAGAAAAAATGGGATGTTCCCTACCCCACAAACAAAATTTATGCATGCCCTGTAAACTCAGTTCAGAAGAAAGTGCCATTTTCTTCTGAGGTTCCTGAATATTCTGGATAATAAATTTCCTTCCCTTGTTACCTAGTGTGGGAGATTATGTACATCAGCTCCAGAGATGACATTTCTAAGGAATGGAATGTATTTGATCATGCATTGACTGTCAGTGCATTCTGTAACATTTGAATTTGGACTGTCTGTCCAAATGTGTAGTAAATCAATTTAATTCTGCAATGTCCTTCAAGGAGCTATATAGAACATAAGGTTCATTACAAAGGCAACATATCATTTCTAATATCTATCAGAAGGAGAAACCAAACATCTTCCCAACCTAATTTTTTTTTAAGTATTTTGGAGGATTGTATAGGATTCTGCCACCCTGGGTCTCTTCTTGAGATGAGTAATTGTCAGATTGATTAAATACATTTCAATATAGTATAATGTCAAAGGAAATTGGAGCAATCTGCTTCATTATGTTTCTGTTAAGATGCTACAGTAGAATACTAAATGACTAAAAGACTGCTAGCACATAATGGCTTATTTCAAAGTATGTCAAACATGGTAGGGGGATTAGTGTGTTTTTTTAGAAAAACAACTGTACCATATAGGAATGACAAATTAGAGAGGAGCGGTCTAAAAACAAATGTTTGGTGAAAACCAGTGAGTTCAAGCCAGATTTTTGAAGTCTGCTATATTAGACAATAACTTTGGTGGGTAGGATTTTTTTCATACTGATGGAGTTATTATACATTTAGTTCTTGCAACAATTGACAAGAACATGACACAGAAACCAACCTAGAATAGGGAAACTTCAATGCCATCTTAAAACGTAGATTAGCATTTTAGAAAACAGCAGAATAATATAGCTTGTTTTGCTAATTTGAAATTAATTATGAAGCAATTATGAGCCTGAAAGCCAGCTGGGTGACTTTGACCAGTCATACTCTCTCGGCCCAACCCAACTCCAGGTGGTTGTTGGGGGAAAACAGGAAGAGGAAAAAATATTTTGTTTGTTTACCACCTTGAGTTACTTATAAAATAAGGCAGGATAAAAACCAAATTTTCATTCACATATCTAGTACGGTGTAATGGGAGCTCTGATAGTTTCTCTTGAAAAGTTCATTATGTCATAGGTGTTGGCTGGGGAGTTGTAGTTCCTTTGGGAATTAAGGTTTGAATTGTATTGTGCAGAATATAAACAGTCTTTTGATAGATCATCACAAGGTTTAAATTTCAGTATCAGGTTGTTTGATTTGTTTCAGATTACTAAAACAAGAAAACTTACAGCCATTGGGCCTGGATTATCTTCTACTTTGGATTCTACTAAAACAGTGTTTCTCAACCTTGACCATTTTAAGGCATGTGGACTTCAACTCCCAGAATTCCACAGCCAGCATTGCCTTAAAATGGTCAAGGTTGAGAAACACTACTAAAATATCCAGTTAACTTGTTGAGCTATGAAAAGAAATGCCAGAGAACTCTTACCAAGCTGACTGAAAAACAATGACATAATACAATCATGCATAACAATAGTTAGATGGCAATTTTCTGCTACAAAACTATTTTGATTTGAGGACATTTTGCAGTTAATATTTTTATGCTTTATTTTTTATATCTCATTTTCCTACAATGTTAATTTTATTTAAATTGTTTAGTAGCTTACCCTATATTCTTGTCTGGCAACTAATCTTTAACAACAATTATGAAAGCAGCAACGATTACATCAAACAAATTACAGCATTTTTTAAAAAAATCTTAAAAATAGGGGAAGTTAATCTGAATTACACAATTAGGGATTAGCACTGTCCATAGTACTAACCAATCTAAAAGTTGTTATAGGAGGTCAGTCAAAACTGTTGGGCAATTCTTATTGCTATATGGAACTTTCCTCAGATCAGCTTAATTTAAATAAGTTTGACATTTATTAATGAAATCTCAAATTCTGCAGTCAAAAAAACCTGTGTAGAATAAAATATATTCATAATGACTAATTCCTTCATGTTTCATTCTGCCACAATTTGCACACATTTTTTTAATTGTGGTTAAATCATAGGGTGTGTTGTACCAAACTATCTTCATTAGCCATGCAAATGTTCCAGAATATATAAGATGATTTTAAGAAACTACTACTAGATGATGCTGACACTTATTCTTCCATAGAAAATGAAGACTCCGGGCCATTTAGTCATATCTGGAAAACCACCACCAAAATCCTGTATCTTCTCTATTCCACCAAATGTGCCTCCAGTAGTGGTCTTTCTGGAAAAAGAGTGAACAAAAACCTCCCCTAATGTTTTTTGGTGGCCCAATTTCTGTAACTGGTGAGATGTTGATGCAAAGTGGGAATTATTTTTATCTATGGGTGGACGCAGCTGGGGTTTCCTATGACTTTTATGGGAGTTGGGGTTTAGTTCTTTTCCTTGCTAAAAGTCATTTAGCCTGCATTGTAGTTGTGTATCTGAAAATAGCAGGGAAAAGATGTCACCAATTTTCAGCATTCAAGCTCAGACTTTAGGCCGCAGTGTTTCTCAACCTTGACAATTTTAAGGCACGTGGACTTCAACATTGGCATGTGGAATTCTGGGAGTTGAAGTCCACGTGCCTTAAAATTGTCAAGGTTGAGAAACACTGCTTTAGGGACTGCGAGCAGGGCTCAGGGCCACCTCACTCATTCTACATCTAGAAGCTGCTAGAACTCAGATTGATAAATGTCATATTTCAAATAGCCTGGGAAATGTATGGCACTGTAAGTTATCAATGGCATTTGTTCTTGAAATGGCTCAGTAACCAGCAAAGGGCTGGAGTTGCACAATATGCTCACCTATAATAACAAAGAACAATCGCTGTGTTCCTTCCAGCAACATGTTAAGCTAAAACAAATGACAGTGTGGTTCACCACAAAACAAACCTCATAGAATATTCTAGAGCATAATCTGTTCAGTTTAGAATAGCCATTGTGATCTATAAACCAAAGTTTGACACAGCTAGTGTGCTATAATAAAGGGATCAGGTGTCCTGGTTATTCTATAACTACTTACATTTGGGCCGGTTATTTTCCAAGGCAGCCTCGTGTCCAAATGTGTGTGACCCAGTGGCCAAACTGATCTCTCAGGGGGCTGACATCCCACAGCTCAATGGGCTGGGTTTGGCTGTTGTTTTTATAGGTTGGCTTGGTTATGGTAGGAAGACGGGAGTTCTTTGGCGATTATGTTTTACATTGATTTTTAAATTGAATGGGCAAAGTAGAAATGTCTAAAATGAACGAAATATTTATTTTTCAACTCCACACCTGAGCACCGTTGTTTCAAGTTGATTGGAAGGAGAGAAAGTGCTAGCTCCCCTCTTTAATACCGACCGAACTGAATTATCTGAGCCAAGAAACAGGAAACTGGAGAGGAATGTAAGCCAATGCTGTATTGCAACAGCATCAATTAGGCTGTACCTAAAACAGCTCAGATTCATATTACCGATCTTTTCCAAAAACCCCAAGGTTGCGAATGGTTTATTGACACCAAAAGAAGCAGTTTCTTTTCACAACTGGAAAATAAACCCTGCTTAGAAGAGACGCAAAGGCACGTCTGGATTCTTTTTCTGTCCTGGTCGTGTAATGGTTAGATTTCCCTGGGTTGAATTTACAAGGATTAGCGGGGCTATTCGCCAATCAAACCCGAGAAAAGCGTACGGAGCGGAGAGCAGAGCGAACGAGCCAATCGCCGGGGGCCAAACAAGGGCCAGGAGGTGACCGAAACGCCCGCGTTGCTCTCCGTGGGTTAAGTTCCGCGCCTGGAATGTGCAGTTTCTCCTCAAACCGCGGGGGACGGAAGGAGAGCGAGCGAGCGAGCGAGCGCGTCAGGCGCACCCGTGAGGAATTCTCTCGCTCGGGCTGGACTGTAGGACCTGAGCGAGGCTTTTCCGCGGCTCCAGATCGCTTTCTTTACTGGTACGAGCGGCGCCTCAGCTCCTGCTGTCCTCTGCGGGCGATGGCTTCCTCGGAGCGGCAGCCCGGGGCCCCTCCACACCAGGAGTCGTGGCGTCGCACCGTTCACCTCCTGAGGAAGATGCGCTCAGATGTCAGCAGCCTCTTGGAATGCTACGTGAGTTCCTCTACTGCGCGCGTTCCTCTGTGTGCGCGCAAGAGAGATTTGTCTTTTAGGGCTGGGGTTCAGATTGGGTGAGAAATAGGGTATAGTTGGAGAGAAGAGAACGTTGTGCTGTTGCTTCCATCACAATTTTTTTTTAAAATCCTAATAATTTTGTTAAGGCTATCAGTCAATGAACAGTGAACACTTGTTAGAAAATTGTATAATGCCCCAACAAGAAATTCTATGATTTATACACAAGTGTGATGATACCTAAGTAAGATCTTTCATCACACCTGGAGGAATGTGTGCCAGTGGTAAGTGCAGCTCCCAAACCAAGCTGGTGCTGCTGTATTGGGTATTTTTTTGCCTTTGATCTGAAGACTGCCATCAGCTCCTCTTTACACCAACCCCCCTTAAAAAGCTATCTAATATTAGGGGATGAATTATTGGTATACTGAATCATCTAGCTGGAATGGACAAACGCTTGTGCATACCGGCTCTTCCTTCCTGTGGGCAGAGTTATCCACCCCCAACTGGATGCTGAACTGCAGAAAACAAATCACTCAAGTCACAGAATAAAATGTATTACTAAAGAATAACTAATAAATTAAAGAAATTTCAAATGTCTAAGAATTCATGCTTATCAAGTTCTCTCTCTCTGTGTGTGTATGTGTTTGTGTGTGTGTATGTATGTACCCATGTGCACAAAAATCATAAAGTGCTTCTCCCAAAAAGAACGTTTTGCAGTTTGTTGCCTTAGGGGATGGAGAACCTATTTTCTATCAGAGATCAAGGCAGAAATGAAATAAGGGCTCAATTTTATTTATTTTAAGGTAGGTCTGGCTTTGTCAGGAAAGAAATGGGGGGGGGGGGGTAAAATTCTGTGCTAGACGGCCACCTTGTGGGAGACTATGTGTATAACTTGAAATGGTTTTTTTAAACCATGACCACATAATATTTATTTTAGGGAGTTTAACAGACACCCTGATGACGGTCTTGACCAAACCTATTTCACATGGTAAGTTGGGAGATGATAACCATCATCCCAAAAATAATGGGTGGTAATGAAAAGAGATCTCCATTGTAACTCCACCTAGAGGATGGATGGGTTGGTTTTAGTTAGGTTTGCTACAATGATCAGGTGATGAATTTAGCAAGGTTGAATTCTTATTGATAAATATGCCAAATTGCACTCTTGAAGATACACAGGATGGGGATGAGTCCTTTCCTCACTGAAGATGGGGATCATCTGTCCATCCTCAAAGGCTCATCTCAAAAATAAATGATAAGATATCATGAAATAATCCCATCTGTATCAAAGAATGATTACAAATATTATGAAATAATCCCATCTGTATCAAAGAATTAATTATTACAAATATCATGAAATAATCCCATCTGTATCAAAGAATTAATTATTACAAATATGAAATCCCATCTTTATCAAAGAATTAATTATTACAAATATTATGAAATAATCCCATCTGCATCAAAGAATTAATTATTACAAATACTTGTTTCTTCAAGGAACAACAGTGATTTTTCTGTTTGCCTGATTTTGATATTGAGATTGCAGAAAATTAAAATTAATATTACCAAATGTACCTAGTAATGATGCCTCCACTTGACCCCTTCTTCAAGAAAAATCTGTCATAGTATGTCACGGTATTAGATTCCTCAGATGCTAGACAGGATGTGAGCAACTGGTTCTGGGAGACAATCAATGCTTCTTCAAGGGAAGGAATAAAGCTGCCTCATTTGAAGGAAACAGTAGGGGCCTCTTTCTTGTAGAAATTATCCCTGGACCGACCTGTATTTGATAAAGTTCAATCAGTCTTCAACCTGCAATTTTCACCAAGAATTTGGTGCTATAGAAGATTGCTCAGGACATTGATGATTTGGAACCTCTTTAGTCAGGATTTGGGCCTAGTATAAGTTAGAAACAAAATTGGTTCCTCTAGTACAGGGATCTTCAAACTTGGCCCTTTCATGACTTGTGGACTTCAACTCCCAGGATTCTTCAGCCAGGCATGCTGGCTGAAGAATTCTGGGAGTTGAAGTCCACAAATCATAAAAGGGCCAATTTTGAAGACGCCTGCTCTAGCAAATACCTATTTCAGGACTTAGATGGGGCTAGTACACCTTTCTTGGTCCTTTTAAAAATTTCCATAGCTTTCAATACCACCAACTTTATCCTTTTGGAACACCTAAGGCCATGGTGGCGAACCTATGGCACACGTGCCACAGGTGGCACACAGAGCCCTCTCTGTGGGCACGCGCGCCGTCGCCCCAGTCTAGGCCTTCAGCTGGGTTTTATAAAACCTTTTTGCTTTAGGCCTCCGCCACCATGTGCAAAAAAAAAAAAAAATTAAATCAATCAATTTCAACTTCTTGCGGGAAAAAAAGATCTCGCAAAGTTGGAATTGATTGATTGAACTTTTTAGTCCCACCCAGTCTGCCGTTACCACCGCAGCTACGCCCACCCAATGGGCCACACTCACCCAAGGGCCACGCCCACCTGGCACCCGATGATACGTAAATGGGTTTTGGGTTGCAGTTTGGGCATTCAGTCTCTAAAAGGTTCGCCATCACTGATAAGGTTTGGGAATAAGGCACCATTTTACAATGGTTCTTCTGCTCTTATTTGAATGGGCAGTTCCAGTCAGTGGCCATATGGGGAAGTACTCCAGTTCATGGAAACTTCAACAAGTGTTTTGCCCCTAGTGGTTCATAATGAGGCAGTGGAACTTCTGTATTTAATATTGCCATTTTATTAATTAGACTTAGACTTAGTTCCATCTGAGTTGTCCGGCATGTTGGGCAATAATTGCTCTCTTATGATCAGATCTCATTTAATTGCATCTGTTGTTTCAGTAACAGGAAAAAAAATGCATTTTAATTTGATAGGCCAATTCCTAACCTTCTTCTGTTCTCACAAAGATTTAGGACTGGCAGTGGTGGAGTTTTATGCTTATGTATTTATATTTTCACTTTATGCTGTTTATATTTTTCCAGGATTGGAGCAGATTAAAAATATTATTAATAAATAATAAAAGAAACAATGTTTTCCTTCAGAATATAGCCTCAACAGGAGGCAGCGCTTAGCTGATTCAGCTAATTTTGGAAGCTAAGATGATTCAGCTCTAATTAATCCTTGGATGGTTAATCATCTCAGAATGATAAAGCTACTGGCTGTACAATAAAACATAATTGTTTGGTTTATGCAACATTTCAGACCAGCTGCCCCAAACTTTATGGCTTACAGCAGGGGTGTCAAACTGCCGGCCTGTGGGCCGGACGTGTCATGAGGAAACCGTGCCCAGCCAATTGCCGGCAATGGGGAAAAAGTTCTGATATGTCGCACGTCATATGACGTCATGAGTTTGACATGTCTGGCTTAGAGGATCATGAAGCCATTTTTAACTTGGAGGCAAGATATGTTTTTCACTAGTTGAGTTGAAAATATGGGGTTCATATTCTTTGGGCTTTGGGAATTAATAGTGAGAATGAGGCCTTCATTCCCATTCATATTTTACTATTTTTCATCCGTAAATCAGGTGACCTGCAATTATTGTTTTAAATCACCCAGAGTCATTTAGGTGAGATGGGCCATATAGGAATTCAATGAATGAATGAATGAATAAATAAATAAATAAATAAATTTGCCACCAAATTTTAATACTGAAATCTTAAGATGTTTGGATAGTTTTCAAATGTTTAATTTTTTTCAACCATTATTTTTTAAATCTTTATATTTGTATTTAAAACTTATTTTGCTGAGGACTGATAGAAACTCAACCTATGTTGTAAAACCTGTTGATCTAAAAGTTCCTAATAACTTAAAAGCAGTTAATAAGTAATTTCCAAAAGTGTTTTATAAAGGAACTGTGGGAACCCAGTGTCCTTTCAAAGATCCAGCTGTGATTTCAGCTAGATGGTTATTCCCTTATCTCCTAATGCTAAAAACCCACCAGAGACTACTGTCTCCTCATGAGGATCAACTGTCTGGAACACACGTGGCTGATCTCAAGTCCTCTCCTTGTCCAGAGAGGAATTATTGAAGAGTCTGTCTACTTGCTGGCTCTTCATTCCACTGCAGCTGTCAATTCCAGTAGTGCACCATTTCTTCGCTGGATGTCCTGTCCTTTGTTTTTTCTGTTTATTTTTTTTTTTATTTTGTATTTTTTATTGTTGCAATTGTAATTTTTAATAAAATTACTATTTAAAATCATTTTCTCCTCCTACCTCACTCTTGCTGCTCCCCATTGTTTCAGGTTGAGAAGCAAGAGCTGGCCCAACCCTACAACCTTGATTTGATCGATGTTGATTTGATCGATGGAGTACCTGTAGCTGACGTTGAAGAATGGAGTGAGATTTCAGATGCTGAACGTCTGGGAAGCAACTTGCAAGCTTATTGGGCATTTCAGATTCTGTTGGATCAAATCTTAGAAGAGCAGAGGACTGATTTAACCCCAGAGGATGTAGCTTTCCATGAATCTATCCAATCAGTTTTGCTGCAAGTTTCTGCTTTAGCTTACCAATTGGAGGAACTGATGGTAAAGCTGAAGCACAATGTGCCGGCCAAAGAGGTAAAAAATACAACAAACCCTGATGAAAAAAGCTTGTTTGAAAGGAAAATAAGGGGCATGAAGGTGTTACAGGAGCTTGGCCAATGGACCGTCAGGTCAGTCCGAGACCTTCACAAAATCTCTACATCAGTTCAGGCATCATCCGTCGCACTTGAGAGTGACAGCCTGACTCAGGCCCAGGAAAAATAAGGCTTCTGTTATATTCTTAAGCTTCTTTAAAACAATGTCCTTCCCTCATTTGTGGTATTTAGACTGAAGCTGTCCAGCCAGTCTGAGCATGCAGAGAATGATCCCATCCATATTAGTCTATATGCATCCCATTCCCGAGTGATGAAGAATTTCAAGAGTACCAGTGCTACATGGTGACTGTAGGCTTGTAGTGTTGTTGTGATATAAGGTTTATTTGCAAATATCTGCAGGCTGAGCACCAGCTGAGTATTCATAATACTAACACTCCAATGGATTCCTTTTTCCTGGGCGTTCTGCCAGGAACGGTCTGCCTCCCTCTAGTTCCAGCCTGGACTACTTCTCTGCTTCATACATACCATTCACTAATCTCCTCCCCATGATTCTTCAAGGAGGAAAGACTCCTCATCTTCCACTGCAAAATTATTATCAGAGTGTTTCTGGTGGCCTTTTTCTTTGATAAGTTCTTAACCATGACTAGCAGCAGTCCCTATTTAAAAAAAAAATACAGTGGCTTTTAAGGGCCACTGCCTCGGGGCAGTGATTTTCCAAATATGGCGATGGAGATTAATGTGGTAGTCTGTTGTAACCTCCCCATGTCACTTCAGCCCAGTGGTGTACCTAGCATGTCTGATCCCCAAAGCAGATCATTTTTATCACCTCCCTGCTCTGTCACCAAGAACTACTTTGGTGCAGGCTCTTGTTATAAGCATGAAGCCAGCTGGGCCGCTCACTCGCTTGTAGCCTTAGGGAGAAAGCAATAATAATAATAACAACAACAACAACAACAACAACAACACCATTGGCATTGACAAATTCACTATTAGTCAATTGCAAAAGGCGGCCTTACTAGGAACTGCTTCCATCCTGCGACGATACCTGTAATACCATCAAACATCTACATCTGCCTATCCCAGGTCCTGGGTAAGGACTCGATAGGTAGACAAAATGCCAAATCCAGTCTGAACATCTGGCTGACTGTGCGATGATCCATAATAATAATAATAATAATAATAATAATAATAATAATAATATGAGGAAGTCCTTTTCTTAAGGCGGAAGAGTACAGATTAATACTATTATTGAAGCCAACATGATCAAAGTACATAGTTACATTTCTTTCTTTCTTTTTCATTTAGCTATCTTAAATGTATAACTCAATACTGCCAAGGCTGACATTCAGGAATGTTTCTTTAGGCCTCTCCTTTCAATTCTCATCAGCAATAGGCCATGATGCTCAGATGGGGCACAAAAGAAATAGGCGTATTTTTAAGGATGTTAAATCATTTCAAGTTCTAGTATTTAGTATGAAAGAATTTACCCAAGAAACCATTTCTGTAAGTTTATATGCAAATCAGTATGAGACAACTATAACAAAATAAATAGGATTCTATAGAATTTATACCTCTACATGCTTAAATCTGAAAAACCAATGGAAGTATGTTGTGTAGGATTGAGGGCTCTTTTTCTGTTTGGGGCAGAAATCTGGACAAATATAGGCCCAGAGTATTTAGTGCATAAAATAAATGTGGAAGGGACTCCATCTCTTTCTCTCCATCTCTCCCCAAAAGGAAGATTATGGAAATGATGTAGTGGAAGGTAGGAAGGATTTGTGATAATCTCTCAGGATTTTGTGCCAGAGTAATCCAAGGATTGTTTTCCAGAGTAAGAGGAAATAGAAATAAGTAACAACATTGATGCAGAGCAAAAACCGATGGACATTATTTTGTATGGTCCAAGTTAAAACATTTTTTTTTAAAATAGATTGATCTATAATATTTTTGTGGGTATGTTTTTTCATTTATAAAATAAATAAGCCAAAAGAAATCTTTAAGCAAAATTCTATGAACATATTCAGCCTTAATTTGGAGAAAGTAAGCATTTTGGTGACAAAAATAAAGACAGAAAAAGAGAGGAAGGATAGAAAGAATGTGAATAGGTGAACTGTTATAAAGGCTATGGCAGTTTCGCATTTGTATTGTGCTTCCAGCTAGCCATCTATTTCATTGCCCAAGTCTTCTGATTTGCAGATTAAATAGGGATTGGCCTGTACTGACTGTACAGGAACGTATTCGTTATTTTAGGACACAATGGGCAGGCTTATGTCATGGCAAGTCTGCAGCGCCGGCACCCAATTGATGGGCAAACAGAAAGGTGTCCTTCCTGGCAACAGAATGAGCATCAAGATGACTCAGCTAATCAGGCTTAATCTGCTGGCCAGCAAGAAGTACATTGTCTGTGCGTTCAATTTTGCTTTGGGGGGGAAAAAAATCTTCTTTCTCTGGAAAATGTTTTTTTTTTTTTAAAAAAAAAAAACGTATTTAATCTCATGACAGTGGAAAGCTTTTTAGGCTGCCATCTTTAGCCACTTTACTCATATCTGATGTGCGTACCATATTGGGAGACTACACATTGGGAAGTAGGGCATCTCCTCCCTATTTGGAACACCCTATACCATAATGCTCAGCAATATTGGAAATGGGAGCTCCTTCTTTGACAAGACCTGCCAGATTACAGCAGAAGACTTCAGAATACAGAACTGTAGTAAGGCTCAGGAACAACATGGAATGACTGCTAGAGGAAGGAGTAACTCTTATCTATGATGGTGATGGTGTCTCCCTCCCTCCCCCCCCCACCAAATTTGGAAGAGCATTTAGTTTTCTGGGGAGTGTAATTCCCTTAAATTTTGTGAGTTGTTTGCTACTGTGAATAATCGTTATGAAGGAAAACCAAGTAGCGTGAAAGACCACCCTCTGAAGAGTTGTCCTTATTGCAAATACTGATTTAAATTTATATTCCCTTCGTTGTCATGAAGAAGAACATCCAAAATCAGTACAATGGAATAGATTTTGTACAAAAGTTGGTGCACAACGGTAAGACTCCTCGCTCCCATATTGCTGGGCATGTGGGACAGAGGAGTAGTAGTAAATCATTCTATTTTTCTGTAAAAGCTCTGGTCATCTAAGCTATGGACTCTTGGGGGATGGAGAGCCCTGTTTCCTACTTACAATTTATATTTAATGTTCTTTCATTGGGTTGAATCCAAATTTGCTCTTCTGTTAATGAAAGGTTCTTTGGCTCAGGTTCTGCTGAAGCTCCCACTTAAAAAAATAGGGAGAATATATATATTTTCTGAGGTTTTCGCGGGTGTTTGTATGTAGGTCTTTGGTCATTCGGGTTTTCTCCCGCATAAAATTGAAAGTGTCTTGGTGACGTTTCGACGAAGTCCCATTCGTCATCTTCAGGCTGGTGTTTTCAGCTTCGTGCTTCGAGGAGTGTATATATATATTCATACTAACAAATAAAAGAAAAAACAAACACCAGGATATAATAAACCAGCCTGTTTAAATAAACAAGCCTGTGGTTAAAAAGAGTTACTAAGCTTTCGTCCAGCCCAAAAACTGCCAGCATCATCAGAGTTAGAATAGCAGGAGATTGGGAAGGATATAGCCTCCTGCCTCTGCACCCGGCTCCTTGAGCGCGTCATCGGCCTGATGCGGAACAACTCAGTGCAATAAGGATTAACACAATCAACGGGCCGATGACGCGCTGAAGGAGCCGGGCGCAGAGGCAGGAGGCTATATGAGCTGCCTTCCCAATCTCCTGCTATTCTAACTCTGATGATGCCGGCAGTTTTTTTGCCGGACAAAAGCTTAGTAACTCTTTTTAACCACAGGCTTGTTTATATTAAACAGGCTGGTTTATTATATCCTGGTGTTCGTTTTTTCTTTTTTTTTCTTTCATTTGTTAGCATAATGCCCAGGATTCGCATTTTTTCGCGGGTATGAAATGGGACTTCGTCGAAACATCGCCAAGACACTTCCAATTTTACGCGGGAGAAAACCCGAACAACCAAAGACCTACATATATATATACACATACATACATATTTCTGAGGTTTTCGTGAGGTTTTTGCGGGTGTTTGAATGTAGGTCTTTGGTTATTCGGGTTTTCTCCCGCGTCAAACTGGAAGTGTCTTGGTGACGTTTCTACGAAGTCTCGTTCGTCATCTTCAGGCTGGGGTTTTTGGCTTCGTGCTTTGCTCCTAGAAGCACGAAGCCGAAAACACCAGCCTGAAGATGACAAATGAGACTTCGTCAAAACGTCGCCAAGACACTTCCAATTTGACACAGGAGAAAACACGAATAACCAAAGACCTATATATATGTATATATTAGTTCCACTTTTGCCATCTTCAAAACTGCCTCTCATGTGATTTTGAAATGATTACACGACCTTCAGAAAAGATTTTCAGCTAGAGAACCTAAAGCAGGGGTAGGCAACCTTGGCTCTTTTATGATTCATGGACTTCAACTCAAGCTGGCTTACTGGCTCAGGAATTCTGGGAGTTGAAGTCCATGAATCATAAAAGAGCCAAGGTTGCCTACCCCTGACCTAGAGAGAGAGGTGGATAAAGAACTCATGACAAGTGCTACCCTCTCTTCTGCCAGTAGGAATACCCACTTTCAGTATTGTGAAACTGGGAAGATCTAGATTGAACCTGTCCATTGAAGAAATACAAGAAATAATAATTTTTCCCCATAATGGCGTCTGCCTTCTCCCTGTACTATTTCTAACTTAATTGTTTGTTTATCCTCTTTTAAAACCATGTGAAGTGCTTCGTTTAGCATGTTTGTTGAGCTACTGAAATATGCAAAGTATGTGAAATGTAATCATTATGAGCAATTCCTTATTTTTGTACTGTGAGCTACTTTTCTGAGGGAAGAAAATATGTAATAAATGTTAAATGTGATCTTTTTGATTAATGAAAATAATACTGACAGATTTCATCTGTAACATAAAGATATAGCTAGCTTGATTGGTTAAAATTAATATTTTATTAAAATATTGAAGAGGATGTCATTTAACCGAGTAGATTATTTTAAATTAATTTTATTATATTCAGCTCTGTCTATAATTGCCTGTGGAACAAATTCCTTCTCTCTCTTCAGCTCTTATTGCTCTAGCGAAATCTCTGGTGATTCAAGAGAAGAGGAGAAGATGGAGAACTTCCTTTGCTGAAAAGGAAGTTAATTAATGTTTGGATACCGCTGAATGCATTACCTTTCATTCGGGTATTCTAAAAATTGTGGCAAGCAAATGTCACCTTAGAAGAGGCATTCCCCTTTTATATGCACTGGAAGAAATGCCTCTTCTCAGACTATGCTAGCTGTGGCACATTTGTGTGTCAGTTAATGACTACCAATTGATGTTTTGTTTTGTCTCAGAGTGATAGTTTTATAGACCTGGAAATGTACTTCGTGATTAACTCATGTTATCAAAAAGGTTTTATTTGAGAGCTATTTATCAAATTATATTGAAAATTGTTCAGAGATTTTAAAAATAAAGCGTGTTATTTTAAAACAAAGTATTTTTTCAATTTTTTGTACTAATTATTCAAATGGGAAAATAATTTCAAAACTTGAAATATGTCAGGCTAATAATAAATTATAAGCATTGGGAGAAGAAAACAGGAATGCAGATAATGCTGCTACCAGCAGAGAAGAGTGATAACAAAAACTTTTCAAGTTAAACCTTTTTTTACTTTTAGAATTTCATCCTTTCTGAACAGCTATACTGCTGGATAATATTTCCTGCACTTTTTATTCCAATTCAAAAATTATTCAAGGAATCTTGTTATTCGGGATTTTAACTCCATTCGATGTTCTGCTTTTTAAAAAAATGTTTTTGATGAATTTTATTTAGTCCTGTAATTACTGAAATGCACAAAAAGTTTCACTGAAGCACTGGTGAGCTTTTGGGCCAAATGACAGTGATCTGTTGACATTTCATCAGCAGTTGTGGCTGGCATCTTCAGAGGCAGAGTAGAAAACTGATTGGTTGCACTGGCAAGCAGATCCATGGTTGGCCCACGCCA